GTTCTGCCGTTGATGCCAGTGTATTCTGCAGCAACATCAACAGCAGACCCCGCGTTGTGCAACACCGCCCCCGGGAAAGCGCGTAGGTGGTGGTGATGATGATGATGGTACCGTTGGTGCTGGTGCTGGTGCCGGTGCTGGTCTAGTACACTAGTAGTCGGTGGTGGTGGTCTTTACCACCTTCCCCCTTGGCTCACTCTTTAAAGTAAGCCCGGCACCGGTGGAAGTGGAAGTCGCGATAATAGTGGGGCCGGCACGAGAATAGAGGATCGAGGCTACCACCGACAACCACAGCGGCAAGGGTGTGGAACAGAACGCACTCTCTGGCTCTGGTAGTGATGCTCTGGTGCTTCCAACTGGTTTTCCATCGCATCGTTCCAGTTATCCTCCGTCCTCGTCCTCAAATTCGGTCAACTCTCTCGACTCTTTCCTGCTTCCCATTTCCCATTTCCTGGTGGTGGTGGTGTCCTCCGTGCTCCAGGAGAAGGAGGAGGTGAGGGAGAGCCAGCACCCATCGCACAGATGAGAGTAGGGAGCACAAACCCAGTCGCTGTCGGTGGTAGTGCATAAAATAGCATTGAAGGCACCAAGAGGGCGCAATTGTCCGACCGGTGCATAACCGCTCTGAGGGAATCGGAGGGCGCCGCCGCAAGGGGTTCCGACCCAGTGGAGGTGGTCGACATAAAATCTCGCGCACATGCATCATCCACTCATTGGGGAGGATGTACTCGCTCTGTGTACTGCTGCGTACTAATATTAGAGTTATCACCACTACACTTGTTGACGACAAACACCCTCGTACTATCGCACTTAGTTGAATCCTTCCTCAGTCGCGGTCCGCGAACCACCGCGATCACTGCTCCGAGTGCATTCTCTTATTCAGTGGTTATTATTTTACTGAAGACACTTTTTTATTTTTTTTTTGACAATGTACTTTCTTGAGTGATCGGTGAACTTTTAGAAGCTTTAAGCTCTCAATCGTGGACTCTAGTGAACGTTTTTATATTGTCAAAAAATTTATTTATCAACATTAATAAGACTTAAGCAGACTGGCTCCTGAAGACATCTAATCTGGTCATCAGAAAGCTCTCGGCCCAATCTTCGGGCCACCAAGATTTTCATGTTCACTAATTTTTATAAATCAGGTAACAACCAGGCCGATGCATGTGGCTCGGTTTTTTATTAAATTATTTTTTATTCCACTGGATTGTTTGAATAAAAAAAAAATGTAACTTTTTTCTTTTCTTTTTCTTTAAAGAAAAATTCACCATGAAGATATTTAAACGGTTGTTTGCTGTAAAAAAATCGAAACTTTTTTAGTTTTTTTTTATTTTGCTGAACAGTAAAAGCTGTCACGGTTATCGATAATGTCAAAGGATTTGCCTTTTTCTACTTTATTTTTACGTTCGACAGAGCTTTTGTACTTGTACTTTCAGTCAATAACTTGAGAGATAAAAAGTATAAAATAAAATTCTATAGTTACTAAAATAATAATAATAATAATAATAGAAATGTACCTTTTAATAATAAAATAAAAGTCGACAACTGAAGATCAACCTGAAGACAACCTGAAGATTTAACGATATGTATTGAATTTGGTAACATTTATCAGCTGTAAACCGGAAGTTATTTCTATCGATTACCGCTGAATGCGCAGCTTTCCCACTGCTCTTAAAAATCAACGGTCAAGGTCGGATCCACGTGTCCTAGATCCATTTCAAAACCCCGAACAATTATCACTATTTAATAAATAAATTAAAAATATATATTTTCTCTCAGGATAAAATTATAAAATTATTTAAATGCTCAAAATTGGCAAGATTTTTAGGATAAGTTTTGATAAAAAAAAGCGCGGTATCGCAATTAAAATCCCGGGTGAAAACTCCGGAATTTATAATCTCTTTGTGGTTTTAAATAAAATCGATCGAGCCCTTTTTTATCCGGTATTATATTTTTATAAAACAATTTATCAAAGAAAACAGAGTGACAAAAATAGCAATACCACGGTTAATTTGCTCAGTGCTTTGAACTGACCAATTAACTATTTTTCCATTATTTTTTGCGGCAAAGACAATCACTTGAATCAATACTCACTAAATAAAGTACAGTAGCGATTAAGAAAAAAAAAAAAAGGTTACTATCAAAAGCTTTGTAAAATCTCAATTCAGTGAACAGATTTGTATCCATAAACACAGAATTATCCAGGTAACAACATAACAACACATAAGCGAATCAAGTATCGGGTGCAAGTGCTAGAGACTAAAATTAATTTTGTCGAGAACAAACCGATCATGTTCGCTAATTATCATTTGTTAATGTTCAACCAAGCGAGTACTTTAGGTCTCTGTGCATTGAACCAATTGTATATATCTGTTAATCCTCACATTAAATCTCTCACCCTCTTCGCTCGGGCTCTTTCCACTTCTCCCGTTCTCACCCTCTATCAAAACTGGGTACTCTCAATAATACCTCCCTTCTGTGTTCTCTGCAGCATACATATATGATTTGATATGATATGATACCAGCCAAGCTCTTTAAACTCTACATATGATATACATACTTGTACTCACCAGCTATATTCCATTGCAAACTCAGTATTAAACACTCGAGGCATTATTCCTCGGAAAATTTCATACATCGAATAACGTTTGATTGCAAGCGATCATACATCAATATTTATGTTCAGTTGCTTCAACTTTATTACATTCCCCGATTTATGTGCTAATTTAAATCGAGTCTATGTACTCGCTCGCTTTTATACACATATATTTGTTCATAACTCTTTTGTATAAAAAAATAATAGTGATAATAATCTCTAAAACAAAAACGCATTCATCCATTGTCGCCAAATTCAATTTAACGTTCTATTTTATCACTCTAGTTTTTATTGAACCCTTTATTATATTTTAATATCATTTTATTTCATGTCATACATCATCTTTGATTAAAATATCGCATCACACATAAAATAATTCATCGGTTATTAAATTCATCGCCGCATTGATGTATGCCTCGTCGGATTTATAAATAGTTATTGACCGGCGCGGTTTTATCAATGCTTTTGTTCTATTGATTTGCTTATAGCGATGAGTATCATATTATTGTTATTATTATTGTCATTATTGTTGTTGTTGTTTTTTAAGTTTGAACATTCAAATTTTTTAAAATTTTATTCATCCTGTCGTCGGTATTATTATGATAACGAGTAATTACTTACGCAGGATTTATCAATATAAATTTTGCTTATTTTATTTTATTTAAATGCCTGCCTTGATCATGAAAATTGGATGTTTTTTTTTATTTTTCCGTTAACCTGGAACCTGTAAAAGAGAAAATATATGTTAATCAAATAAATTGGTAAGTGTAATTAGTAATTATTGAGTGAGCGGCAATTGAATATAATTACATTTGTTTAAACTAGTTTACAAGGCTTTGCTTCATTTTAAATAACGACACAAATGTTGATGAGATATTGAAAATGTCGCATATAAAGGCCGTATGAATTAGTTAATTGATCGATAGGGACAAATAAGTATCAACCGTTTTGAGGCTATTTTATTCGATCGCTGTTTTATAATTTATACGCGGTAGTATTTTCTCGGATAAAGATTTCGTTTATTATTATTAAAAAGAAAAAATTACGGGAATTAAAATATTTTTTTTCTTCTTGTTAAAAGAAGATATTTGCTTAAGATTTTTTTTTACTCTAGTTTAAAAAATTTGTTTGAAGTCAAAAAATGCAACTTTTTCAGAAAAGACTTAAATTTAGAGTAAAAAAACATTTATTGTATTTAAAAAAAATTTTTACTTGTAATTCATTCGAAAAATACAAATTTTTGTGAAATAAATTTTTAAAGTCGAAAAAAAATTACAAAATTAATAAATTACAATTTAATTACAAAGGATTGACGCTTAAGGGGTCATATTAGATTTTTGGACTTTAAAATTGTAAAAAAAATTTTTTAATTAATAATGTAAAATTTATTTCTATTTTTTCAATAGAAAAAATGAATTATTTTTTACTTAAAAGTTAAATTATAATAAAAAAAACAGCTTAATTTTAATTAAAAAATATCTGACAAAACTAAATTACACTTGAATTAAAAAAAAATTATATTTATTTTCGAAAATCATTAATAAAAATTTCAAAGAATTAAATAGAAATTAAAAATTTATTGAGAAAATAGAGTTTATATTAATTAAAAGCTTTTGAAATTTAATGCTTGTAATTATTTGTGGTAAATTAGCTAAGCTTGAATTTAATTAAGCTGTCTGATAAACTGGAAATAAATTAACGATTAAACTAAAAACAAATTTAAAACCTTTCAACTTAAAACAGAAAAAAAAGTCTTACGCTCGTTAAATGTTTTACAAAACTTTAGAAGAAAATAAAAAATTTTTTATAAAAAAATCTCAAAACTTCACAGTAAAAAATTTTTCGTCAAATTTAACACAAAAATTTGTGTTGATCTAAAATGTTAAATTCTACACAAACATTTTTACACTTTACACAATGACGACAAATTTTTTACTGTTTTTTATGTAAATTTATTAACATAAATAAAATTTATAAAGCGTAATTATATAAAATTGCCGCTAAAATAAAAAAAAATTGTTTTAGAGTTAAAACAGTGTAAAATGATTGAAAATTGGGACTTTAAGCCTCCATAAAGATGGAATTAATAATAACAATTGATTATTATTACTTAAAAAAAATATACGAAGAGGAAAAGACAGGCAAAAGTAGCCAGAGAAAATCATAACAGTCTGAGTAAAAAAAAAATCGATAGTGTTGTGACTGGGCACGTGGCGTTTGAACTTCCCGCGTGAATTCACCGGCGAACCAGGAGCTAGCGATTAATAGTAGGGCCACTACACAGAACCTAAATCCTCAGAGTAATATTTCCATCAATCGGTGTATATAGATATACAACAGTAGCACTAGACTGTACAAAATGATACAGTGAAAGTAAACGAGTAGTTGATCATTACCGCCATAACTCGCGACGGCAGATGCACGAAGGTCAGGACGTGTTTTAAAAATAAGGCCGTAGGCACTGTGTGGCATTACATTATTATTGTATTGGTGGTATGGCAGCAGTGGACGTTTAAGGGTCGTGTGGCGTTGTTGTAATGGCAAAAAGTTTGCAAAAGGTGAGTAGTCTACGTCCATAACAACATTTCATTATTTTTCACAAAATAATTACGCCCATCCTAAATAACTATTTAAACGCCCTCGAGATATCCACCGATCACGCGACAGTTACCTACAACAAGAAAATAACCTCCGTAAATAAATAAATCGTAATATATTAAATAAAATAAAATAAAACAGCAATCGAGTTGAAGAAAAAAAAAAAAATAAAATCTCCAGTTGCCGTAATTGTGTCTCGTGTTATTCACAATGGCGCCTAAGCATCGCGAATATTGACATTCTCAAAAACATTAGGTTTTTTTTTATTTTTTTTTTTAACGTTTTACAGTTATTTCAATCGTCCATCTCCAGGTACACATTTATAATAAATATATTTTTTTTAATATCGGATAATCGTGTCCATGTTAAGGATATCTGTTACGGCCTTTAAATAATCGACGTAGGTTATGCGAATAGATGTTTTTAAATAGAATAGTAGTGTCTCGTGAACCCTGAAGGGTTTTACAGTTATACTGCAATGTGGCACATTTGCAGAAGCGTAGAGAACGTTGTGTTGGTCTAGGTGTCGTGTGATAGCTAACTAAATACTCTACAGCTGGATCATTTGTGTTTTAAATAAAAATTATTATTATTTTTTTTTTTTATTTTTTTCATTTGTGATAAAAAATTAAATTGTTTTAATTAATAAAAAAAAAATAGTTGATTAAATAGAAAAAAAATAAAAATAATTAAAATTCGAGTGAAGTTTAACGCGGGTGCAGATATATATGTATGATTGAATATATAAATATATAGATATATATATATAAATATAAATATATATCTGTCTATATATAAGTACTTACATGTATGTATATGGATAGGTAGATATATATGTGCATATATATAGATAGATATATATATATATATATATATATAAATGTATATAAATAAGTAAAGTGTTTATTTTATTATTAGCAAGTGCTGAGTTGATTTGGTTGTAGGGTCGGGATTGGAGATAGACAAGATGGACCAGCAGTATTGCCTACGGTGGAACAATCATCCAGCGAATTTAACGGACGTATTAAGTTCTCTGTTGGCTCGAGAAGCTCTATGTGATGTTACATTAGCGTGTGTTGGTGAAACGTTCAAGGCACATCAGACAATACTTTCGGCATGTAGCCCGTACTTTGAAAATATATTCCTGCAAAACACCCATCCGCACCCGATAATATTCCTCAAGGATGTCAATGACACGGAGATGAAAGCCCTTTTGCATTTTATGTACAAGGGCGAAGTTAATGTTAGTCAGCATCTGCTGCCCATGTTCCTAAAAACGGCAGAGGCGTTACAAATACGTGGACTCACTGATAATAGTGTAAATAATAAGAACAACGACGACAAAAGCTCGTCCCCAGAGCCCGACCAAACGCAGACAAGCGCTAGGCATGCCGACTCACCTAACCTACAACCACATCCTGAGAAGAGGAAAAGAAAAGTATCAGGAACTAATTATGATGTCTCGATGACTGGTGGACCTCCTAGTGAACGTTTCTTATCTGATTCTCAGGTAATTATTTTTATTTTTGTTTTTATTTTTACATGATACTAAAGTCCCCAGACGTTTGACAATTTTTATAAAAAATAATTCTTAACAAAATTTTCACTTGTAATTTTTTAATTTAAATATTTCATAGTAATTTAATTTTTATAAAAAGTAATTCTTAAAAAATTTTCACTTGCAATTTTTTAATTAAAATATTTCATAGTAATTTAATTGTTATAAAAATGAAAAAAAAAAAAAATTAACAATGTCTGTTAACTTCAGTATCATTATTTATACTCCAAATTAAAAAAAAATAACTGTCAGATAAAAAATTTTTTTTAAAACTCTTTAATGAAATTTATTACATAATTCAATTAATGTCTATTTAAATATCAATGAATTATTTTAAATTATTATTATTATTACCATGAAATGACTTTTGTTGTTTTATTATTGCAAGTGTCATTAAATTAATTTATGACAAAAGCTCAATTTAATAAATTACCTTCTAACTAATTATTGTTAAAAATATCCAAGGCCGTTATTAAAGCAAGTCTAAAAAATATTATACTTAATTGCAATCAGTGAGAGAAGTAATTAATATTTAAGTACTAAAATCATTAAAAAAAATACCGTCAAGTACGCAGTATTTCTTCCGTAACAGATAAACGATTGAAAATAAAATTAAAATTCAATGCAGGTGTGAAATGTTTTCCATGAATAAAATTAAAAATTGAATGGTACTAATAATAATAATAATAATAATAATAATAATAATAATAATAATAATAATAAAATAACTAAAAAATTAATAATGACGCACTAAGTTAGTACGCTTGATACCGCTTATAAGATGGCATTAATTGCAGTATAATTATTTAAAATATCATATTTTATTTATAATCTCTAAAACCCTATAACACATCTGTTATTTAATTAGTCTCATCACAAGATAATTAATCTTTTTACACATTATTATATTGTGTTCTCATTAAATTTTCTCAACAGTAATTAGTTAAATAGAAAAAAAAAAAGCTAGAATTTAATTACACATATTGAAAGTATTTTTTTATTTTTTAACTTAAGGCTTTAAATGACAAATAATATTTGTATTTTATTAGAATAAAGATAGCCAGAATTTGACGATGTCCTTACGAACCGAAAACTTTCTCCAGGTCCTAGGTATTTTATTTGACCTAGATCTCAGCTAGGATACTTTGTATGTTGAGTCACATGGTTATTTTAAAAAAGTCTTAAGCCTTTTTTTTAGATTTTTAAAACGTGGGTCCCTTTCTCTGGCAAATATTTAGCACAGGAGTATAGAAACTAAATTTCTCTCTCGCTCCTTTAGATTTTGCGTGAATGCCGCACTTGTATACAGGATAATTATTTTTATTCCGGTATATATCAAGTTGTAATACTTGGTGTCCTTGAAAAAATAGCGAGACAATGTTACTATACTCTACTCTTCATCATTCATGCATACACACACGTATATTTATTTTATATTGTCTAGCTTTTCCGGAATCGTATTTACTATTTTATTTTTTATCTTTTTTTTTTTTTTTCGTTAAAAAACTCAATTTAACAAAAGAAAAATGAAAAAAATAAAATAATTTTTTTACTTACTATTCTTTACAAAGTATTAAACGTACGTATGATATATGTGTATATTTGATTACTCAGCTTTTCAAATAATCATTTAATACGTCCTTGTAAATGGGACCAAGTTATTTTTTTTATCATAAATTTTTTTTACCAGCTGTAACTGTCCTTAAATATTTTATTTTAAATACATTTATACTGCTCTAGTTATTTTACTACAACTTTTTACTTGAATTATAAATTAATCATTTTTAAAATATCTATTGATTTATTTCTTGATAGTTTAATAATTAAAATTAATTGGAGTAAATTTTTATACCTTTAAAAAATATTTCTTCTCTCTTACTGAAATAAAAAATAATTTTACATAAATTAGAATTTAAAAAATAAAAAATTCAACTACATATATTAATTCAAAAATTTTGAATATTAAATTTCTACATTGTCAAAAAAAAATAATACTCTATTTTACATATAACAAAAAAAATTCTGATTTGAATAAACTGAAAAAAATTTTATAAAAAATAAAAATTCTGTTATTTTAAAATAAATAAAATTTTGAATGATAACTCAGTACTGAAAAAATATCAGTAATAAAATACTCGTACTTATTTAGTAGTATAAAAAAAAATAAAAAAAAAAAACACATTAACTAACGATAAATGTTATCTTTATTATTTGCAGGCATCGTCTCAATGTAGTTACAAATCAAGTCCTACAGTGATTCCAAAGTCAAACAATACACTGGGCGGTGATTTAGAAGATGGAGGCCGAGCAATATCACCGTCATCTCAGGCGCAAACAACAATCAAGCAGGAGCTCGATCACCACATGCCTGACTTCCACGACAACATTTCTCTACCCGTGAGTGCTAATCCAGCTCTTACGTTATCTCTTAACATTTTCAATCTTTTCTTTTTCCGGCAGCTTGTTAATTTAAATTATTCTGCGCATGCTGTTTTCCTCATTCCCATTTTACCCTTACTATTATTATTACTACCATTATTGTTATTAATAAAGTCTTCCAAGTGCTACCGTACTCGCTAGGTTTGCTAATAAAATACTCGTCAATAAAAAAAAAAAATAATATAAATGTTAAACTCAGTCATCGACGCATGACGTGATTGTGTAAGCATTCGAAAAGGTTGTGCTACTACGCCCGACCCCGCGACCACTTATTTTTTTTTATTTATTTTTTTGCACATCGCGAATACACATATATCGAATATATTATATATATATAGAAGAGGTACGAGTGCGAAACTTCTTCATGCATAAATTTATTTTTTATCGTTACGTCTGCTTTTTCGACTGTGTTTGGCCCTGAATATAATTATCATCATTTTGTCATTTGTATTCAATTCATATACTATTATTATTATTATTATTATTATTATTATTATTATTATTATTATTACTTATACTAAAATATATAGATTTAACCCAGCGCAAAAATTTTTGGTCACATGGGAAGGAAGGGATTGAAAAATAAAAAAAAAAAATTGGCTCTAAAAATAAAGCGATGAGATTAAAATCCATAGATGTGTGTTATTAAAGCACATATCCTTTCCTTCTCTGTTGACAGACAAATGTGGAGTGGTTTCACCAAAGAGCCGGTTTGCAGAGAGACGAAACTGGAGTCGTGGAAAATGTAAATAATGTGGATGATCAATTGGCCATGTCAGTCTCTTATCAAATGTCTCGCGATAGGAAACTGATATCTGGAGGTGGCTCTCTGTCAGTGATTGACACTCCCGCGTCATCATCTCGGCAAATCGCTTCACCTGACACTTATACCGGGGAAACTCTTGATAGGCCAATGGCCAGTATGATTAACACTAGTCTTACTGACTCGTATAATTCGCTTGAAATCGCTAACAAAAATATTTATGCCCCTATTAGCAATAATACTAATTTAAAAACTACCTTTTTAGCGTTCAGTGTTAATGAAAGTGCGAGACCGAGCACAAATATTAATACGCGACAAGGTATATCTGTTATACAATCGACCTTGTGCAGTAATATGACTAGTGATCATCATAATCATAGTCATGCTCACAATCAGCGTCCGGGTGGTCTGCACGCCGCGAGAAAACTCAGTAAATTCAAACCAACTTGGCTGGATAGTTACCCGTGGTTGAAGTACGACTCGGTTAATAATTTAATGTACTGCAAGTTTTGCAGAAAATGGAGTGACACTATGCCGGAGCTAAGGACCTCCTTTGCCGCGGGAAACGGTAATTTTAGGCTAGAAATAGTCAACCATCACGATAAATGCAAAGCTCACTATTTGTGTATGGCCAAAGATAATCACACCAAGGGTGCTAGAGTTTGAGTCGGGGGTAGAGATCGAGACCAAGTGGCTCTACTTTTATTTTCCAGTTGAAAAACCGGGTTCGAGGGTGCTTTGGTGACAGCAACGAGAGCCTTTTAAAATCACTTAAATGTTAACCGCTTACCTCGTTTGTTTGTTATTGTTATTTTAATTGTTCTTGTTTTACTCGGTGATAAAGACCCAGTTATGTAGTTTTAAGATTTTTATGCATTTTATTTTTTTTTACTAATTACTCTTTTGTGATTCACTTTTATGTTTGTGATAAACGAGGCTCGTGTTAATTAATCTTTATTCTAGCAAGTTATACAAATTAAATTAATATTGAAAGATATTTTTCAAAAATTTATTATTTATTGTGTGACTATAAAAAAAACACGTTATTAAAAGGCAATAATGTCCTAAACTTTATTTTTTATTATATTTTTGCAAATAATGATATGAGACCAACTACAACAAGTAGATATTCAAAGACATCTACCTAAAAAATAGGATTTGTTATAGATGAAAGTCATTTAATGATAAAAGCTAAAAATTAATTTATTTTTAATTTTCCAAACTCCGAAATAAATTGAAAAAAGTATCTAAAGGTGACGAATAATAGCTCAAATTGGAGATAATTATGTGAATTTTAACATAAATTTAAGCTATCTTTTACGGCTTAAAAATTATTTAACTCGACCCACAACTCGTAAACTAACTGGCCGATATTGCTCATTTTCGAATTTGATCTTTGTATTGATCCACAGAATAAGCCCACAAAATTTCATAAAGATTGGTTGAGAACCGTGGGCGCAATCCTGCTTTAGATTTTCTAAAGAAATTTACCTAAAAAATTATGCAAGCATGTGAAAATTTTTATTTTATATTCCTCAGTAGAAATAATTAAAAAAATTCAGGCTTTGCGCAGATCTACTGCGCAAGTGGCATTATCAGATTTTTTGTTCTTCCCTTAATAAAAAAAAAAAGATAAATATTTCTATTATTTAATTAATATAATTTATAACTAATTGGAAAATATTTTTATTAACATTTTTTTACTTTATAAATAAAATACTTAAATATTGAATCATAATTTTGAAAATAGTGGATCAAAATCAGTGCATAGAATATTTTTATTTAATTAACAAGTTATTAAATTTTATTTACACATTATACGGCATAAAAATTCCGATAGAATTTACATGAAGAAGCGAAAGAGTAAAAAAATATAAATAAATGAAAATGAATAAAAAAAATAGCCCAAAGGACAAACTTGTGATTGGTTATTCACCGATGATATGTAAATTTAAAAGCGTCACAACAGTCAATAAAATTGCAAATTCGGATTACATAAATAAAATCCGAAGGGACACATATGTAGATTTGTAATCACGTTATATTAAAACAATAAAATAATTTTTTTTATAAATATAAATATTAAATAATAATAATGTTAAAAGCATGGAGGCATGATTTATTTCATACACTGTTACAAATTATTACCATAATAATGTAATTATTAAGCAATAAATTGTTGTTTTAAAAACCGCAGTTTATGTTTTAACAACAATTATTATTTTTATTATTATTATTGCAGTAATAATTGTCATCTATCATCTATTCACGTTTTGATTTATTTATTTATGCATTGTCCTCAGGGTCATCCAGTTGGAATGCTAGGCGAAGACGGAGGACCAACCGCGGGGGCACTTAGCGATGGTGTACCTGGTATGGAAACTTCTGAGCACCATAATCCCCCGGAAATGCTCGACGGACTTGATGGTAAGAATTTTTTCCTCAATTTATCTTATTTTATTTTTTTTTTTTTAATGAAAAAAATTTCAATTTCCTTCAAAATTTTACAAGTCAAAAAATTTCAAAATAAATTAAAAAAAATTTTCAATTGAATAAAAAACTCGTAAAATTTTGATGGAATGCATGAGAATGATTTTTTTTTAATAAGTAACATACGTAGTTGTACGAGACGAGCATCCCTTCTAAATCTAATCTAAAGTGCGAGTGTATTTTTTTATTTATTTTTATTTTTAATTTTCGTTAACTTAAAATAAAAATAAAGAAAACTATCAATGCCCATATTTAAAAAAAAAATAAAACAATAATATTTATTAATAATGAAAATTAATAAAATAATATTATACAATAGAATATAATAAAATGAATAGAAGAAAAAAATATATAATATCTAAATGTCAATATCGAATATTAATTACATATACAAACATGTAGGTTGTGGTGATGGTATCGTGCATTTGCTATGTTGCGGTTAAAAAAAAAATTGTTGCAAGTGTCTCTCTCCCTGTCTCACCAGTACTTAATTTATTTTTATTTTTTTATTATTTATATTAATATAAATATATATAACGAATACATAATACAAAATATAAATATATATATATACATACATAGATATTATGTATAAATGTAAATACATAAATAACAACAATTATAAATAATAAAATATATAAAACTATAAAAATCTATATTAATAAAAATAATGAAGAAATGTACATGCAAATGGACAGTACTCGGCAGTGACTGATGCTGGTGCGTGGGTTGATTGTGTGGCTGACTTTGTCGAGTGATCGTTTTCTCTCAAATATATTTTAACGGGACGGACTGTAAATAAATTTAGGTTATTTATTTTATTTGTTTATCCATTAATTTGAACATTTTAACGGGCTTATTATTTTGCATGGTTTATGTTTACGCTTACGCAATTCCTGCATGCTCCCAATTCATTTTCATTTAATTTTTTTAATTTTTTTGTAAATAAAAAAATAGAAAAAAAAAATGAGCAACATTTGTGGTGTTTATTTTTTAAATAATTAAATTTATTGGGGTTATTTTTTACTTGGAAAATTAAACGATCGACGTAGAAAAGTGTGAAGTAGTGTGTGACTCGTTATTTTAATTAAAATAATATCTGATAGTATCTTTTATTATCAATACTATTATTACTATTACTATAACTATTTTTGTTACTTTATATAAACTATAAAAGCAAAGTATCCATTTGTGCGAATTTTTCACCGTTTGATTCATAAAGAATTTATTTATATTTAAAAAAAAAAAAAAAGTTTATATAAAAGTATGTATATAAAACGATATCTGAGGAATTCTTCTTTCGACTGCTGCGAACTTTTCTCTCTCTATTTTTATTATTTGTTGCGACATTGTAGAAGAATGACATTGTAGAATTTGTTGATGTTGCAAATAAAGAGTGTGCCGATTTTTGCAAGACAAATTTGATAAAGCTCAATCTGTGAGATGAATTTTGGAGAAAAAAAAAAAAAAAAAAAAAAAAATTGCTACCAGTATTATAAGCAAGTGAAAATTTAAAAAACAAAAATTGAACCGGAATCTTGCATTCCAGGACCACCAGCGAAAAAAGAAAAGGACATTAAGTATGACCTTCACAGTAAATTAGAGACGCAGCTCGGTACGGAAAGTTGTAGGTTATGCGGTAAGAGTGTTGCGAACATAAAAAAGCACATGAAGTCCCATTTTCCTGACAAATATCAGTGTCAGATTTGTATGATTTCATTGACGAGGTCCGACAATCTCAAAAGGCATATCAAACTTAAGCATGGGATCCGCGAGGGCTCCATGATTTCCCCGTTTATGCGCATGGAGGCTAAACATTTTCTCGCAAAATCCACCGACGAGTCATATCTCACTTAGTTCCAGTAATTAATAAACAACACATTCCGTATTCATTTTTATTTATTTATTTATTAAATTATAATGTTGATACTTTATCCCAATCATTTCAAAAAACAAGACATTAGACTCAGGAAATAAAAATAAAATTATTTCTTTTTATTTATTTATCGTAGTCTGATCGTTATCGTGACAAGACTACCTCTTTATTTATAAATAATATACTTATTATTATTATTATTATTTAGTGCCATTTAATGATAAAGCGTGCGTGTTTTATTTACAATTTATAATTAATTTTTTTAATTCTTAATACGGCAATTAAAATTGCATATTACCATTTAGAATGTAACTCTTTTATTAATTATTAATTATTAACATTTATCTTCACTATAGAATCATATATATAGATATGTAAATAATATAAATATATAGTACAAAGCTCTTTCTCTGTAATTTTTTATTGAAATTAAATAGAGCAGGAAAGTAAAAAATATTGGGGTATTAAATTTCACAATTTAATAATCGTGTTGATGTTTTGAGGTAAAAAAATCTTGGTAAATTTCCACCGAGCAAAGGATGAAACTTGTAGATTGTAGATGCGTTATTTTCGTAGCTCGAGTTTAGTACTACCACTAAAATGCGACAAGCTCCGGTATATAAGCTTTCGTCTTTACAATATCCTGTATTTATGAGTCTACTTGAGTACACGTACTATAATACTATTGAAATACGCATTGCATAAAATCTGGATCCGAGCTAAGAAGTATTACAAAAAATTCACCGAGGTTTTATTACATCTTCAAGATATCTTGTATATATTTTTTACTCACTTCTTAGTACGTTTGTACCGTTAAAGTGTTTTATTATTTTTTATTCTTGAGGAATAATCGCAAATAGTTTTTAAACGCCAAAACCACCGTATAATTATCTCGTAAAAAATTATTTTTACTGCTAGAAATTGTTACACCCATTAATAAAAATCCAATCGTTTGAATAATTATTTTTTATTGCTTTATTTGAGGTTACTCGCCATTTATTTGGATAATTTATTACAATACGTGCGCAGACCGACAGATTAATTATGATAGTAAATTTATTTTAAACTATTTTTTGTCTGTTTTTTTTTTTTTTTTTTTAATAATAATAATAATAAAGTCATTTTTCGATTATTGACAAATAATTGGATAAAAATTTAGTACTTATTAACAAGTGGGGTCAAACTCATTTTGGGTTTTATGATAGATTTATGATGGAAAATTTCGTAAAAGAAAACAATAAAGATTTCGATAGCTTCTTTTTGCCTTCAAAAGTTGGAAAAAATTTTGGCTGTCATGTTTTGGGATAAAATATCTATTTTATCTTTTTTAAATATATTTGTTTTTTTGAGAAATACATTAAAAATTGGACAATTTAAAAAAAAATAAAATTTGTAAAGCTTATTAAAATTGTTAAAATCAACTTTTTTATTTTAATTGTTCATTTTTTCATGTATTTTTCAAAAAAAAATATATCAATAAAATCAAACAATTTCGTTCAAAAAAATTTAATGAAAATTAAAATACCTGACCCCACTTGTAAATATTGACCAAAAATTTATTTAATTATGGCTTTTTTGTTTTTCAACAATTACATGTGATCTGAGGCTTTTCGTATTTTCCTTCCCGAGGGGTGTAATATACTATTGATTTTAATGATAAAATAAAAATTTGTTAAAATTAAACCGCAATTTTTTTTTTTAATTTTTAAATAAAAAAAAATATGATTTTTAATTGATCTCAAAAAATCAAATCCTGGCATTGGTTATCCAGAAACTCAATCTATCGATTACAAAATAGGATTAAACTATTAAACTCGACTATAAAGGGATGCGTGGAAAGTAAATTACTAGCCAAATGTAATTTCAGCAACATTTATTGAATGTGAAGTTTAGAATCAGAAAAGAACTTATTCATTAATTACTAAAAACTTCTTTAAAATCCTAAAATTAATTTAAGATTTTTTTTTAAAAATTACAAAAATATAAAATTAAAATTTTCTTCATTTTGAGTTCTAATTTGAGATAGAAATAGTAAAAATAGTAAAAAAAAAAAAAAAAAAACTGAACCAACATTCAATTTCCACACGTGAAGTGAACACTTAAAAGCACATAAATTCAGTCTCGTGTAAATTTCCTTTCAATCTAAATTCAGTGGCTCACCGGATTCTTGAGACAATATTTAATAACCGTTTGATTGAATAATGTATTCGAGTAAAAATGAAAAAATACGATAACTTAGAGAGTAAAAAGTCTAAAAAATCTAAAATGAAGACTCGAGCTGTATGAATTTTTAATATTTTCGCATTAAACGTTTTTATATTTTTTATTTAACTTGAGGCTATATTCTCTAGTGAGAGCTAGTGTAGAATCGCCATCGCCGTGACCGCGCATTTTTATCGCGAGTTTCTCCATTCACTTGACGAGCATCTTTGTAATGGATTTGTTCTACTAGTACTCGAAAGAATAAAAAATAAAGAGTTTTAAATAAAGAAATAAATAAAATAAAAGGAAGATATATCTTTTGATGCAGAGAAAGCGGCAGATATTGTATATTTATCTTATACACATACATACCTACATATAGACACATATATACATATATATAAATATATATTTTTTAAATTCAGTATTATATGAAATTATATTTTAATAATATTGAATATTTAAATTTTAATATCGCGATTTACGCCATAGGTTGTGATTAATGACTTAGGTTATTGACCTAAATATTTAGCATGAATACCCGGCTAAAAAATATCTAACGTTTTATTTATTTTCCTCGGGTATTAGCTGAGTAATTAGGTCCGTTTGTTTATAAGCGGAAAAAATAATGGAAAATCAAGAATTAATAATTCGAACAAAAAAAACGTAATTATTATTAAATTAAAAATAAAAAATAATTTTTTAAAATTTATAAAGACTGAATAAGGATCCCCGAGTCAGAGACTCGAAATAGTCATGAGAAACTAGTCCCCGAAGGCCACAGGCTCTAACGTAATTCCAGATTATTCTTTGAGGTCTCATTCTGGTGCCTTTTTATAAGTCAATGTCAATAATCATCCGTGTTCAAAAATAGTTTTACGTTATTAAATAATAAAACTTTTTTACAATACTGAATTAACAAAAAACTAAAAGGTACAAATTAGATAACGTAAATTTTTTATTTTTTAATAATTAACTGTTTATATTTAGATATTTAAATATATAAATAGATATTTACATATTAATATTTACAATAATAATAATAATAATAATAATAATAATAAAATCATCATTTTTGTCCTGTTCAGTACAAGTTAGCTCTCTAGAGTTTTTAAATTTAGAAAACGCGTTTCGCCTTGAATTCGAGTAAATTTATAATCCTTGTTTACAAAAAAAAATTCTCGATTTAATTTTCACTCACTAAACAACCTCCATTTTGCTTATATTTAATACATATATTAAAAACGTGTCTGACACGTGCTTAACTGCAGTTCCTCTTCCTCTACGTTGCCTTAAATATTAAATTATTTACTCGAATAATGTCAATTAAATCAGAGGATATTTTTATAAAGTTAATTGCTCAATACTTGAATTGAATAAATAAACTATTTTATTGTAAACTTCTCTAGCTAGTGGCCTGTAATTTTATCGCGAGTATCTTTTAAGTTAAATATTTATAAAACTAAGATAACGTTAATTTAATTTTCTACACTGATAAAAATTTTAACTTGACTCAAGAGCAAAAGTTTTGAACCAAGAACACCAATTGGAAGAAAATGAATTTCTTGAGCCAAGAGGAAAAATTCTTGAGTCAAGATAGATTCTCTTGAATTAAGAAAATTATCTTGACTCAAGAATTTTTCCTCTTGACTCAAGAAATTCATTTTCTTCCAATTGGTGTTCTTGAGTCAAGTTAAAATTTCTATCGGTGTATTCTTACTAATATAATTTATTGCTAATTTAATATAATTTGTGTGTAGGAAGCTAAAAATAATGTAAATCAACTTAATTTTTAGTTCGCAGCCTAAAAGGTCGTTAAATATTTATTCGAATTGATAAGAGTAAAAATTGGTTTGAGTTATAATTAGAGCTCGTTATCTAACGCTCAAGTACGCACTATATCGCTAGCTCGACAATCAATCGTCTCTCTCTTTCACCAAGATAAGCTACTTAGTCACATTTAATCTTACCCTTATTACAGTTACCTCGATAAGAGGATCAACATTTGCGACTAAATTCCGCAAAGTGTTTCCTCTTAAGATATCAGCTAGGCTTTGTTTTTTTTTTCCTATTTTATTTACTTTATTTACTCTTATTTTTCGTTTATTTACGCCCATTTGTGCTGCGATTATTTATTATTTTTTAAAGTCTAAATATTTAAACGAAAAAACAAATTTCATTTATTTTTAAATTAAAAAAGCCCGCACTTAGCCGGCAAATTAAAATGGTGACTCGCCATCTTGTCGACAAGTGTTATACAAGGCAAGAAATACTCTTAATTAAATATTTAGACATTTAATTATAAAAAAAAAGCTAACTATAATTTAATACCAATAATTTATTTTATTTATTTAATTGTGTGGATGTTTGTTTAAAAATAGGCTTATATATTTTTATAAACAATGTAATTTAAATGATATATAAAATGAAATGTAAATGAAAAAGTTTGCGTACTATTTAATTTAAAATTATAAATTTATAATTAAAAATAAACTCGAAGAATTTTAATTAACACGCTTAATGAGTCAAGTAAACAAAATAAATATATAAAATTGGTACTTTATCCTCAGCGATCAATATAATACCAAATGAAATAAAATTTAACGAATGGATCAATGAGTGCAAATGCATCAATTGCCTAGGGGAAGGAACTAACCCTCCAAGTTAACCCCTCATTTTATTTTATTTTTTTCCTTGTACTCCCCTTAAAACTAGTGCGTCGGCAAGCAACCCTCTGTTACTCCGCCATGCTCGGTAGAACCCTCGGCTCGATTATTCCAACGAGTTCTCCCTCTCACTTCACTCTCTTTATTCTCGCCATCAGAGTGACGATGAAAAAAGAGGCAACGCACAAGGTCACGCGGTCTTCAGCTGCCACCCTATCATCTGTGTGATACAAGGGATGCTCAGTACTCTCAACTCATGGTTCTTGTCTCTTCTATTTGTCCTGCTATCCTGGCGTATTATAGACCGGAGTTTAGATCCCAGTGTAGACGTGTTACATAATACAAAGATGGCTCGTTAGCTGCTTACTAACACAGACTCACACAGCTGCTGCTATTGTAATAAATCGGTCAGCTTATAAAGCATTTTTATTTTTAAATTCAACTTTCCTCATGGTTTTTACCATTTTGTTAAGCTTTAAAGTTATCTGCCAAGAAATTTTGTGGAACAAAAAAATTTCACTAACTTTTATTGTTAAAAAACTTTTTTTTTTACACTTTTATAAATATTTATGAGTTGAGAAAATTTTATTTTTTACAATTTTTTAGATGAAAATTAAAAAAAAATTATTTATAAAAATGATGCTTTTTTTTTAATAAATTTAAATTTTACTTTTTACAATTTTTAAACTAAAACTTAAAAAAAAAAATTAATAAAAATTTTAATTTAAAAATATTTTTAAATATTTATAAGACAAAATTTTATTTTTTACAATTTTTAAATTAAAACTTAAAAAAATAAATTATTAATGAAAATCTTAATTTTTAAACTTCCCGCTAAAATAATTCATAAAAAATTGAAAAAATTAAAATTTTTTATAAGAATTAAATTGATTATATAATTAAAAAAAAATGCAAGTCTTTTTTTATAACTATTTTCAAGTAATAGAGCCTTAGGTCTATAAAATCCTAGAATTGTCAGTTAAAGGACGAAAGACACGGTTGATCACCAACAAAATTGAAACTAAGGGTCTTGTATCGGGGTCGACTCTCAACCATCCTTCATACTCGGTTTATTAAACTCGAGTCCAAAACAAGTATCAAGACTTACATTAACTCGAGTAGATTCCAAGCTACTTCGATTGTACACTCGAAGAAGTTGGAAGTTGCTCAACCCTTACCTTGTATTGGGTGAAAACGGGTTTAGTTCTACCGCTTCACCAGTTTTATTTTTCTTTTCGCTGCGCTTGTTTTATATTTTATGGATTTTTTTTATATCCACTCTTTACTCTTTTATCAAGTATTTACTCGAATATCGCGTCTAGTTCCTTTTATCCCGGTCTGCTTTCATCGACAAATATCATGAAATCGTCTGGTACTTTTATTCAAGGACCTGTTCCTTTAACAACTTTTCCTACATTTTTTACCGTTTTATCGCTTTAGATCTGATTGAAATATGATTATACCTTAACAGGATTGTGTTTTACACTTTTTATTTTATTTTTTCTTAAAAAAATAATTTTATTTTTAAGATTTTATTTTCACGAATTGGAATTTTTAATTAACAAAATTATCAAGCTTGTGAATTTATATTGATGTTTTATTACACAGTTAATTAATTTCAACAATACCAATATTTTTTTTTACAAAGATAATACATCCCGTCTATTAAAACAATATTTTTTATTAATTAATTTTTAATTTTAAAAAGCTCATGAAATTTATTGAAAATATGAAAATATAAATTTTTATGAAAATTTTAGCAATTTCTGTTTTAAATTAAATAATTATTTTAGTTTGAAAAAATTTTTTGCCAACAAAAAATTTCATTATTAAATTCCATAAATTAATTTATAAAAAATTTTCAAGTAAAAAATTATTAAGTTTATTAAAAAAAAAAAAATATCTTAATAGTTGAAAAATAAATTTTTAATAAATTAATCTTTCACTAACATCATTAAAGATTTTTAAGTAAAAAATATTTTTTACAACTATCTTAATCCACGGGCAATTATAAATAAATCAATAGAGTAATAAACAAATAAATAAGTAAATAATAACACGTCAATAGCAAAGTCTTGTCGGTAATAACATGGCTGCGTGAAGATGCCACTTAAATCAATCAATACCAAGCCCTTGTTGTTATGTCCTGTATCCTCTTGACTGCACTGATGTGCATCATGATCATGACTACGATCACGACCATGATAATCTTCAGGCCTCAGTAATCCCGGCAATGTCTGAGTTCACGGATTCTGTTATATATTATTAAAAGAAAAAGAGAATAAGAATCCTTGAGAGCTATCTCTATTTCCCACTCGCTCACTTATCATCCATCCAAGATTTTATTAATCGCGGGCAAATTACTTGACCATTTCCGAGCGTGTTAATTATCATCAGCGATTTTATTATAATAATAACAAGTTAAAAAAATAATGATAAGAATAAGCGATTAATGTAACTGTATTTTTGTACTGAAATAATTGTCAAATAAAAAATGTCCGAGTGTGAATGAAGTGCGATTGGTTTTAAATTTTCAAGGAAAAAATAATGTAAATTTTAAAGGAGCTATAAAAATATATTTCGAATAACATTGTCATTAAATCATTATCATTATTATCCTTATCATTTTCCTTAGTTATTAATTTATTAATATTTGTTTTAAATGTCGCTTTTATTTTTGCTTATTTTAGCTAACTCACTAACGTTTTATTGATGTAAATAAATTAATCCTAAGTTATTATTATTCATCTAACATTAATGCACTAATAAGAGGTTTTTGCTCACCCTAAATTATTACACAGCTCCATCGGATTTAACTATTTTTAGGGGACATTCATTAATGATTTAGCTCTAGTTTTATTGTTTTAATTATTTTATTTTATATAAAGAAATTTTTTTAAACTTTAATTTTTCAAAAAAACTGCAATTTATCAAAAAAAAAATTAAATTTTAACATTTGTTGATATTTTTGTTTAACTTTGTTAAAAAGTTTATTGAAAAAATTTAACTATGTAAATTTCAGGAAGATTTGTAGTCTTAAAAAAAAAAAAATAAAAATTTTTTTATGTAAAATAAAATAAATTTATATAGTTAAACTTTTTAACAAAGTTAAACAAAAATATCACCAAATGTTCAAATTTAATTTTTTTTTGATAAGTTGCAGTTTTTTTAATTTAGAAAATTAAAATTAAAAAAATTTTTTTTTTAAAATAAAAAGTATGAAAATTTTTTTTATTATGAAATATCTTTCAAAAATTGCAATTGAAAGAAAAAAAAAATTTTTCTTTGAAATCAAAAATTTTTAAATACATCTTTAATCTTTTTATAAATTTTACTAGAGCTAGAGCATTTACGACTGTATTTTATAAAATAAAATCCATCGCCATGATTAAAAGAAAAATTTACATAAAGGTGGCAGTTTGTCAGGATTTTTTTGTCTAAATTCTAGCAAATTGACATTGCAAAAAAAAAACTCCTTGTTGGGTTTCACCCAATAACAATAATAATACCACCCACAAATTAAATAATAATAACAATAATTAAACCAAAGATTAAGAGTTAAGGGATTATTATTACGTGATTAATAGCTTTTTTTCGCACGCCGCAGCTGCTGTACAATATTTTGCACACAAACACACACCTACACACACTCGGTATAAGGAATGCGGTTAAATATATATTATTTATATATAAATGTATATATTTTCGCGTTATTAAATTGAGATTGGTAGTGGATGGACGTTTTTGGGAGACCCGAGATTAGCGAAAAAAAATTAAAAAAAAAAACTAATTAGATTAAAAATTTGCGTAAAATCTTCGGGCCTCCCATTGAATAAAAAAAAAAAAAAAAATTAACTAAAGCTAAAATAAAAAAAGAGGAATCGGGAGTCATCAGTTTAGTGACTTGTCTTGTGTTGATGTTGCAGGTTCAAAAGCCTGGCACATGCGGCTGACCTTTGACCGGGTGCCAGGCGGCTGCAACCTACACAGGTGCAAGCTGTGCGGCAAGGTCGTGACGCACATCAGGAACCACTACCACGTCCACTTCCCCGGCAGGTTTGAGTGTCCTCTCTGTCGTGCCACGTACACACGTAGTGACAATCTGCGAACTCACTTTAAATTTAAACACCCCGAGTCAAGAAAAATAGACCTTAATGATTTTGTCGCCAGCTCCTTGGCTCTCTCCGCGTCAAACAATGATACGATGAACACCTTGTCATAAGACGAGCTTGCGTGGGTGCGCGGTGCGTACGTACGCCCACGCAACGTGGATGCCCAACAACTACCGCCACAACCGCCACCACCACCGCAGAACTGGCGCGTGCCGGCCCTCATTCGTGATACCGAATTTTTAAATAATATTCATAATAATAATAACATTAATAATAATAGTAATAATAATAATAATAATATTATTATTAATAACAATAGTAATAATCTTAATAATAATAATTCTATAACTCATAATAATAACAATTTAAATCCGAGTCTATTTACGCCTGGATGGCCGGCTTCGTTTTTACTGTTCAATCATTTCTTCTCTGAACACCAAATCTTGTAGGTTTTACGCTTATCATCATTTATATACATATTTTAATATTTATATATGTATCGTGTCTTTGATATCAAAGGCCGATTAATGTTTTATGGTTTAATTTTTTACGGCGCATTTATTTTTACCAAAAAGGCATAAATAATTACTTTCTTAGTTAAATTTAAAATAAAAATTTCTCTGATATAAATTCAATGGTTTATATTTTGAAAAAGAATATTTTTAGATAAATTTTAAAAATTTTGGTGGAAAAAAATTTTTTCTTTAACCAAGACAATTTTTTTTCTTAATTATTTTATTAAAAGAATTTTTTTTGTGAGATTATAAAATTTTAAAAGATCTTTTTGTTAAATTTTTAATTAGCATTTTTTTCTACATAATGATTAATTACAGAAGAAAAGTAATAACTACAGTTTAAAGTAATTTTTAATAATCATTTTTTTCTACTGTAGAATTAACTTTTTTGAAGTTATTTTTCCATTTATGCACTGAAAAAAAATTTAACTTGAATCAAGATGAAAATTCTTAAACCAAGAAAAATTTCTAAGTTTAAGAATTTTTCTACTCAAATCAAGAAAATGAAGTTCTTCAAAATTATTTACTTGATTCAAATAATTTTTTCTTCTGTGTGCGCTGTTACGATTCAAAATTTTTTAATTCCAATAAAAGATATGAATAAAAAATTTTTTTTCAATTTCTAGTGATAAATTTATGCCTTTTTGGGTTTAAATAAAATTTTATTAAAGACGCGGTATAAAAATATATTTAAAAAAAGTGATAAAATCACTATTTCTTATTAAATAAAAAAAAATTAACGTGATTTTTAAGGGTGCAGAGTGATTTTTTACAATAAATTTTAGTTGTTATATTTAATAAAAATAAGTTAACATAATTCGAGTTTGGTGAAGATCGATACCCAGGCGTTTAAAAATTTTTATATATAAAAAAATGAATAATTAAATTTCGGATTCGATGGGTACAGCTTTATTTATCTGTGTTAAAAATCTAATATTTGTTTTTTAACATCAGATACGTTGATCGTTGGATAATGAGGGCCTCGTATCCCGCGTGTAATAAAATCCTAAACAAATAATTGATTAATCATATATAATTATAATGTTCAGAAGGTCTTAACTTAATTGAGTATGAGAGAAAAACTAAAATAAGGGAGCAAAATGTGGTGCCAATTCCTCCGTAGTTGCTGCTGAGCGGCGTCGGCAGGCTGGCAGCCGTTTTAGTTTGTTTCTCTTTATTTTTATTAAATTTTATTATTACGGTAAATTTTATTTATTAATGTTATTATTATTGATTATACAAAGGGTTAATCTGTTGTTGTTGAAAGTTTAGAGTTGGACATCATCATATTAGCTTGTAATGTAACTATAATAATTATAATATATTATATTGATTTTTAATTTTTATTTTTTGGGACTGACGTGACATATTTTATTGAAATTTATTTTACGTGCAACTAATATGGATGTTTGACTTAAAGTATATGTTGTTGACACCTGAAGTCTATAAATTAAAAATATACTGTGAGTAATGCAGCAAATTTGTGGAAATTAATGACATTCCACGATTAGATTGGGACTTAAGCATAGACGGATGAATATAAGATTTTTATTGTACGAAAAAAATGAAAAAACTCAAAAAAAAAAAAAAATGATTTATAGTATCATATTTTATATTTTATATATTAATAATCTAACTGTTACATTAATGATTGGTTACAAATAGTTGAGTATAATATAAATTACACAACTTTTATTTTATTACACTACCTATTATTTATTTTTATTATTTATTATCTGTACTCACAATTTATTTTCTTTAGAATTTAAATTTCGCGGGAATTTTTAAATTTGAATTTCGCGGGAAATTTGAAATTTAAATTTTAGCGCGCTTTTTTGCCCAGTGTTACCAAACAGCAGCCAAACAAATAAAAATAATTTGGTAGAACTGTAGCAGCCAGCCATTTTGATAAAAATCAACCATTTTGTCTTAGACAGATTAAAATGACAGTAAAAATAAATAATAGGTACTGTATGTGTAATTATTATTAAAAAATAATTACATCGCACGTTAATGGTTGAGGATAGTCCATTTTGTTTGCCAATAAATTGTTTAAACGTTTATAATAATTAATATTTCGCGGCAATAGCGACTACAGATTTATTTAATTATTATTTAATAAAAATAATAATATATTTTAATATAAATATATATTATTTATATTTATAAAAAAAAAAAAACGATAACAAAGATAATTGATGTTAGTTACTACTACTATTATTATTATTATTTAAATGAAAGGGAATAGTTACAAATGATGCAATAGACATGCAGGTTTATATTTAATGAAAAATATAATAGCTAAAAGTAAAAAGTAAATAGAGAAATAAAGAGTCAAAGTAATAAACTATTCAAAGAGCCAAACCGCTTAAATAATTGTGATCATATGATATTACCGTCTATCTCTCTTTTATTTTTTTAATCGGGATGGTTAAGTTCTATTAACAAGGTTTAAAACATTATTATCAATCATGGGGGCACTTTGCATGGTTATAGCTTAAAATTTAAAAACAATACTATTATTATTTAATATTGATTAATTAATTAATATATATATTTAATATACATACAGAAAAGTTATATTTAACCAGAATATTAATATATTATGCAGATTAATAGATATAAAAAAATAATATATTGGATAATTTATTATATTTTGTTTGTTTTGCCGTTTTATGATTTTATATTATACACAATGTTATTTAATATTCATATACGAATACTTGTGAGCTGATATGTGAGCCGTTACGTGTGCTTTGTGTTATTTATTTTAAAACGTCCGAGTTAACACTTTTTTTTTCTTTTTAGTTTATTTACAACTTTTGTTTTGTTAAAAGACACTTGTCTATCTTTTTCTGGTTAATTTTTAATAAAATATTTATTAACAAATTATATCATTTTTTTTTTTATATTTCTTCTACACACAGTTTTTTTTTTTTTTTTTTTTAGATTATTTCAAACCTCAAAAAAATTTTATGATCTTTTGATATCAAATGCAATTATAATTTTTAATTAAAAAAATTTTTAACTTATTTCAATTTCTGAAAATTCATCCAAATAATTAAAAAAAAAATTATTAATTCAAATTGCAAAATTATAAAAAAATCTTCAATATTTTTAACTTATAAATTTTGAACATTAAAAATATTTCTAAAGCTCAATTTTAAAAAATTATTATCAAGTCATAAAAATTTTTTAATAAATCAAAATTATAATTATTAAAAGTGCGCAAAATTGCTGCAAAAAAAAATTTTAATTTTTTATCTAAAAACAAATGAAGCAATTTAAATTAAATAATTAAAATATCATAAGCTCAAAATACCAAAAAAAACTTAAATAAATAATTAAAATGAGGATGATGCAGTGTAATTGCAATGCCTGTAGGCACCGACATATCCATATATATATATATATTAAACATTATTTCCCTCTTCAATATACATATGCATATACACATTTGAATATATGAGTGAAATTAACTCAACCGCGAATAATTTCCTCGCAAAGAGACAGCTTGAGCTTATTATTCATTACCCCAAAAAGTAATTTAATTTTTGTGGAATTTTCCAAAAAGTAACTTAACAAAATTTTCATTTAATATTTTTTTATATTTTTATTAAAAAAAAAAAAAAAAAAATTAACCAGAAGAAGACTCGGTACGTGGAAAGAAATACGGCCTGCACCAAAAACCAAACAATTACCGCGATTACAACAAATAAACTGATGATTTATTAATTAACGATAATATTAAGCAGGCTGCCAGGCTGTTACATTTAATTTGTTATTAACTAATTATTATTATTATAATTATTAATTACCTTACTCTCCCCTACAAAATACGAAACTTGATCGATAAAATAAACTAAAATGATAACCGGATTTAAAAAATTGATTATTTAAATAATAAAAAATGCTGATATAATGCAACCACTATTAACTAATGCACTTCGACAACCGCTACTACATTATTTATATATATTTACAACTACGTGGTGTGGAGTGGAACATTGTGATAAAATAGATTGGTGCTAACACCTTATTGAAATTGAGATAAATTTAAATTTAATCTAAACTAATAAAATAACTAATTAATTAATTAATTAAATAAATAAATAAACAACTAAAAGTCGTGCAATATTGCAATAGGGAAATAGTCACTCGACAGACCCGTTTTATTTTTCCCAGTCGAATTATTTATCAATTAATGTATTTATATTTATAAAAAAAAAATATTTAATTAGATGATGAAAGCTCAAAATTTTGCAATGTGATATTTTACTCGAAATTATTGAAGTTATTTTTAATTCCGACTTGGAAAAAATAAACGGAGGTGAAAACAAAAGCACAGATTTATTATTTTTTGAATTTTATTTAAATTTTATAAATGAAAGTAGCTGAGGATTTAAACATATATGTATGTTAAATGAACCAATGGCTGTGCACGTGTGTAATTTTATTGACAATGTTACTGTACCTAGGGCTTAAGATGTTTTAGTTAAAAAGGTTTTATAACAGGTTAAGCGAATAATATTACTGCCCGCGATCTGTTGAGTGACAATTTTTATTTCCCAGGTTTATTAAAATCTCTTTGTACATTATTTAACTAAATAAACTGAAAAAATTATTTAAATTTACTATTATTAATTATTAATATAATAATTATAATATAATTCATAATAATAATAATATAACATAATATATATGCAAATAATTGATATATGTGTATATAGACCTCAATATACATGTATATATCTTGTGTATATATTTATTAACTAAATATATATGTTTAAATCAATCAATTTGTAATTTAATCTATTTAGAAAGAAAAAATTTATATTATACATAAATTTTGTTATTTATATTGTTTTAATAATCGTAGCCAGCGATAAGTGTTCTATTTGAAATTATTTTTGAAAATTACTTTTGAATAATTAATCGTTTTTTTTTTATGCGAGTACACGATCAGACTGAAGTTGTGATTGGCCTGGAGAATTTACGATTTTACTTTGTGGAAATTGAGAGAGTGAAAAAAATTTTAATGGAAAAAAACTTTAATTTTTTTTTTAATAATCAATTTTTTTCAATGTTAATCCTTTTATTTTTGAGTTGCAGAAATATCTGACGTTTTTTTCTCACTAAAGTCGGAAACTGTCATTGTCTATTTTAACAAAAAATTTTTAAGTTAGAATTTATATTTAAATTTTATTAAACTGAAATCAGTTGACATTTTACAATTTTTTAATTTATAAATCTATTATTAAAAAATTCTAACTTGTATTTTTTTTTATTTCTACATTTGGAATTTTTTGATAATAATTTACTTACTATAAAATTCCAAAAAATTGACGCAAGTTAGATGATTTCAATATTATTCAATTTGACAGTTTTTAAAAAATATTTAATTAAAATTAAAGAATAATTTTAGTAACATTGAAAAATTAAAAACTTATAATATAAGTTATAATACTGAAATTAGCTGTCAAATTTTAAAATTTTTTCTAACAAGTAAATTACAAAAAAAAAAAAATGCTTTAAAAAATTTCCACAGATAATTTTTCTTTCAATTTTCTTAATTGAAATTTTTTATAATAATTTAATTGGTGACATTAAAGTTAGTAGTCATTAGAGAATTTTTTAATTTTTTTTAACAAAAAAATTTGTTCCAAAAAATTATTTTTAAAAAATTGCATTTTTAATTTCTTAAAATTTCTACATGTCAATTTAAAAAAAATTTTTTTTTTGCCATAATTTATTTGTAAAAAAAAAAATGATTAAATATCTACTAAATTTATCATCATTTTAATTGCTATAAAATCAAAAAAAAAAATTCTATCATTTAATTTTACATGTTAGGTTGTCATTTTTCGGCAAGTTATAAAAAAAAATGATTGAATTAATATATTTGACAGATCCTAACCATCTAAATAAAATAAAAAGCGATAAAATATTTCTCAGCAACTCTAAAATATTATTTTCCCGAAATTTTTTACTATTAATCCAAAAAAAAAGTTATGTCAAGCAATATCTCTGTTAATATTTTTCAACGCTGTCTTCTCGTCTGAAAAACAAACTAAACCGAGATAAGAACAAAAGTAAAAGTAAAAAAACTAAGTTATATATTTCAAATACAGTTACTTACGGGACACATGTGTCGTTGAGATTGAATGACATGAATTAACACAATAAAAACAATATCTTTTTTATTGACGGGATTTTATTCATTTTCAATGACACCAACTGCGGCACTATACATAAAAAAAAAAAATTTAGCCAATAAAACTTATAAATTAATAAATAAATAAATATACATTTATACAAATAAAAAACGGTAATAACTCCATTTAACTTAATATTAATATACGCTGAAAAAAAAAATATATTTAATAACTAATTGTGGAGGAATGTTTATTCGAAAAGCCGAGGTTGTTCGTCGCTAAAAATTGCCAAATTATTTTAAATAAATTTCATTTTTAATAAGTGTAGTTATTGAGTAAATAATTAAATTTATAAATAAAAATAATAATAATTAATAAAAATAATTACAAGGGTACGACAACGAATTGGCAGCCTCGAATTGTATAATCTCTCTTATTAATAATAAAACTAGAGATTAACAATTAATTACAATAAATACAGAGTAATTATACCACTCAAGGGAACTAAAGATTAAGAGGTAAATCGGTTAATTTTATTACGACAACAAATAATAATAATAATAATAATAAATATTAGCTAAATAAATAATAAAATTATTCTTACATTTTATTGTTATTATTATTATACTCTAACAATTAATAAACAAGGTTTTATGTTATGATTATTATTATTAATTTTAGTGTAGATAATATGGATGAAAATATATAATATATATATATAAAAAGAAAAAAAAAAAAAAAAAAAAAAAAAAACACAAACAATTACAAAGGATTTAATTACATGTGCATTTAATGTATTTCTACTAATTTTTTTTTGATTAAACATAAATTGTGTGTTAATAGATTCGTATTTATTATTTTTTGTTTTAATTATTTCCAGCTTTTTTAAAAAGTCGAGTCGCGACATTATCCTTATTTTCCTTTTCCTTTATTTAATTATTTAAATGCTTGTAATTATAATTATAAATTATATTTTTATTATTGATCTAATCACAGAGACAAAGAGAGAGAAATTAGAGAGAGAAAATGATATTTCGGAGACATACGAAGCTCGATTGGAAGTATGAATGATTTAATTAATAAATAATTGTAATGTTATTTATAAATTAAATAATTGTGTTAGTAAATACCTATTGAAAAATAGAAAAATATTTGAACAATGCATCGAGAGATCCACGATCGATCGTGCGCAGTCCACTTGCTGAAATAAAAGTTTAAATAATTGTTAGTAAAAATAAAAAGTAAAGAAGAAGCGAATACGGACCAGACTGCCATGCTGACTGTGGTTTCTGTTGTTGCAGAGCTCAAAAATTGGCGGATTTCTCAGATATTTGAACGACAGAATAACACGGACGAGAGGAGGCGTTGCTCGTTGTGCGGTAAGGTCGTTACGAATGTACGGAATCATTATTACGTGCATTTCCCAGGCAAATACGCTTGTCCACTGTGTCCTGCTGTTTATACACGCAGTGATACACTTCTCACGCACACACGCACTAAGCACGCCCACGTGCAATAGCGCACGGGATTCTATCGTCCTTATTACGGCGTGATCTAGCCAAGAGGATTTTTTTTTCATTATTTTTAAGTTACTTTTTTTTTTTTTCGGTACAACGACTATAAATTTATGAAAAAACACAATTTTTTTTTCTAAAAAATTAGTTCTGAAAATTTTCTTGAAGAATTTTCATGAATTATTTTTTTAAAAAATTTTTTCTTTAAAAATTTTTTTAGGCAATTTTTTCTGCATAAATATTTATAAATAAATTTTTCCTTTAAAAATTTTCATGAAAAATTTTTTCTTCAAGAATTTTTATTAATAATTTTATAGAAAATTTTGACATTAAAGTTGGAAATTTTTTTTTTATTTTATAGCAATAAAATAATTATTAGTGGAAATTTTTAAAATAATTTTTTTTCTAATAAATTTTTAATAATTAGGAGAAATTTTTTCAAATAATTGCAGTTCAATTTTTTTAAATCTATAGTCTTGATACAATTTATCAACATTACGCATTAATTATAAAAATAAATATTATTTGTAAATAATTTATAAATTAAATTAAGCGACTGGTTTTTTTTTTTTTGAAAAATTAAGTAATACATATCTGGAAGCTCAATTATGCCAAAGATAAAATTAAAAAAAAAAAAAAAACATTTGGCAATGCCTAGTGCCTTCAAAATTATCACTAAATTAAAGTATGAACATAATAAAAAAAAGCCAAGTCGTTAAGAAACAAAAAATGTAAAACTTCTTATCGAGCTTCCGTGTCAAATCTTATAGTGTAAGAAAAATTAAACGTCTGTACGGAGATGCCAAAGAATTATATTATAAATTATAGATATACATATACACATAAAATTGTAAAAATTATTGCTGTAAATTTAAACTAGTAAGAGCAATAATTAATTTTTATTGATGAGTAATGAATTGAATTTTATAATGCGTAATGATTTAGAATGCTTATGAGGGTTACGAGAGGCTCTAAGAATATTGTAATGCCTTTATGAATGTAATATATTTATATTAAATTAAATTAAATAGTAGTAATATAATTTAATATAATATAAGAATATATAATTAATAAATAATGATAAATGATGAATATAATTGAATAAAAATGGATTTGCATTATTTCCACGTGAGAAGTTTTAACTGCAATACAAATACAAATAAAATTATTAAGTAAATATCATACAATAATTTTTATAATAAGCAATGTAAAGTACAGTACTTACATTTATACTCACATGCAGGTACGTCACACAGGTGTGTATTTAACATAGAAGCCGTTAACCGTGCTCAAACAAGAAAATAGCAAAAAAAAAAACTATTAATAATTTTAAATCTTAATCGCTATAAATTAAAATTTTAATCTTAACATAAATTCAATTAAACTTTAAAATAATTTCAAATTAAAAATTTTCTATTTATTATAAATTATTTCCTTACTTTATGTTTTATAATTTTATATTTTTTTGATAATTGTTTTTATTTTAATTACGGATTACATTTTTTTGGAGTGTGTGAATTTTTTGAAATTAATGAATGTTTTGGATGATAGTTTTTAAAAAATATTTTTTCATGCTTTTCAAGGCAATTTTTGATAATAATTTTTTGAAAAGTTATTTTTATTTAAAAATTCTTTGAAAGAATTTTTAATTCAAAAATTTATTGTAAAAATAATTTTTCAAAAAAAAATAAAAATTTAACGCAATTTTAAGTTAAAATTATTTGAACAATATTTTAAAAAGAAATTTTATAATTAAAATTAAAAAAAATGATTTTCCAACAAAAATTTCTATAAAATTTTCCAAAATCGTCCTAAAAATAATTTTTTTAAACCTGTAAATAAAAAAAAATTAGAATGAATAAAAAAGAGCATGAAAAATAAAATAAAAAAATAAAAATAATCCATACTTGCATGAGAATAAATGTTAAAAAAGGAACAAACGATTGTTAGGAAAAATCAGGCAGTTAGTCCTAATTGTTGTCTTCTGACTTCTGTTACCACGAGTAGGAAGCTCGTGCTCGGAGAATTTCAGGCTTCTGGTTTGCAGGTCCGGTGCCGAGCGTCCCCGTCGGGCTCTCATATCACGAGATGTTTGCGGTGTCACTTGGTAGTCCCGCTCTGTGGAGATGCCGAGCATGCGGGAAGCAAGTGACCAACCGCTGGCACCACTTCCACATACACACCGCCCAGCGATCTCTGTGTCCATACTGTCCGGCTACCTACAGCAGGATCGACACCCTCAGGTCCCACGTGCGCACCAAGCACCGGGAGTTGCTCTTCGCCAAAGGCGCCTTGTAGAGGATGCCTCGACTCGGGAACCGGTGAACCCCATTTTACTTTTAGTCCTACCTCACTCCCTTGTATTAAATTAGCTCCATTTATATTTATTAATTTATCAATCCTTACCTCAATTTTTACACCAACACAAATAAGACATCTAAAAAATTTTTAGATTTTTATAAAACTTACATTGTAATAAAAAAAAATTTCAAAAAAAATTCCACAAGTAGAAACTTTAAAAAATTATAAGTGCGAATTTTTTTAGATATTTTTTTTTTTTTTTACAATAATTGATCTGAAGTAAAAATTTCAAAAATTGTTAGGTGTCTTATTTTAGTTTCATAACAAATATTATCATCATCATCATCATCATATTAAAATTAGCTGACAACTGTCAATTTTTTTAATTTTTATTACAAATTATCAATTACAATAAAAAAATGCTCGAAAAAATTTCCAACAATAATTTTTTTTCAATTTTTACATTTAAAATTTTTTTTAAAATAGTATTGCCTCTTTTGATACTGATGTTAGCTGACATATGATGAAAATTAATTTAGCCGAAATTAAAAAATTTTTTTATTAAAAGAATTAAAAAAAAAAAATTTTATTTTTAAAAAACTTTAAAAACTACAAGTGCAGTTTTTTAAAAATATTATTTATTTCTAATTTAATAATTAAAAAAAACTCAAAAAATTAAAAATGTCGGCTAACTTTAGTATTATTGACATGAAAATCAATTTAGCAGATACTTGATAATTTTTTTAAAAAATAAATTAGAGTAAAAAATTGACATGTAGAAATTTAAAAAAATAAAAAATGCAATTTTTTAAAAATAATTTTTTGGAAAAATCTATTTGCTAAAAAAAATTAAAAAATGGTTGTGTTTGCTAACTTTAATACTATATAATTGAAATATGATGTTACTTATATTTTTTTTCAACAAATAAATTATTATTGTAATTTTTAAAAAAATTTTTCTTAATAGTAATTTACTTGTTAAAATAAAAAAAAAAACTGACAGATTCCAGCTAACTTTAGTTTGTTCTCATGACGTTAAAGTCAGCTGACATATGAAAATTTCTATAATTTTTTTCGACAAATAAATTATTATAAAAAAATTCAACTTGTAGATGTGTCAAAAAATAATTATTGTAATTTCTTTAAAAATATTTTTTTTATAGTAATTTATTTATTGTAAAAAAAAATGAAAGATGTCGGCTAACTTAACTTTCATAAACTTCTTTCATATTTATTTCCATATCCTCAAATTATGCTCAAGCGTCATCGTCTCATCGTGAAATTCCCGAGGCCCTGGTCACCGATAATTAATTTTATTTAAAAACAATTATTAATATTTATCTCCACATACTCACCATTGATTGATTTTAAAAATCATAAACGTCAATGTAAAAACAAATATTTTTTCATAATATAAAATAATGAATCGGTGTTGATACGGAAATCGCCAGGGTAAAATCTAGAAATATTTATAGTAATTATTATTACATAATATAAATTAAGCAAGTAAATAATTAAAAAAAAAAATATATATATATATATAATAAATACCCTTTATTGTCCTTCGATCGATCACGCTCGCGATCTCTTCTCTTTCTCGCTCTTTGTCTCTTGAAGGATAGTATCGGTATCTTTTGTCCCATCGAACTCAAATTTTTTTTATTTATTGTAAATAACTCATTAAATTATTAATAAATAAATAAATAAAAAAATATAATAAATAAATACTTAAAGTATTAAGTCTAATTGTCGATACTTTAATTATTAAATTATTAAAAATATTGTTTATATTTTTTTATTAATATACAACAAGTGTTTAGGCCCTTTATTTGTATTAAAATAATGTCGGCAATTAGTCGGTCCCTTTTGAGCATTTTATTTGGACCAATGTGTGAAAAGATTATTTATGTCGTTTGACAAGCATCGAATCTTACCTATATAAATTATAAATAAATATTATAATATGAGAAGCTTATCAGCTTCGCTAGGCAGTGGAGTACGAATTTACAAATATAAGTCTTACTTAGAATAATAAAGTTACAAAGATTTAAATAATAAATTACAAAAAAAGTATATATATATATATATATATATATACAACAACTTCGGTACTGTCTAGCCATACATCTGATAAAAATACAATCATATTCATACTGTGAGATTGTTCGAATATTTTTAATTTTTCGGACAATTTTAAAGAAGTTTTATGAGGACCGCCAAACGTATTGTCAGCTCCAAATGACACTCGTGACTCTGTTGTTAATTCTGCTGGTGGTAAACCCATTTCTCGTACAATTAAAAAACCATCTTCATAAATTCCTCTTGCTAGTACTACACATCCTTCTGCGATTAAACCTGATGCAAAAGTTTGTTTTTAAATTAAGGAAAATTATTTCATTTAATTATTCAGGCAAACTAATTTCATTAATTATAAATTTTTAAAAAAAAAAAAAAAAAAAGTATTTATAATTAATACAATCAAACTTCACTTTAAAGGAACAATTATAAAAATTGATATTTAAACTAATAATAATAATATTAATTAATAATAATAATTAATGATAAATGAAATAAATATAAACGGTTCCTGTGAATTAACCATATCAACAACTCGTTGAAAGTCCAAGTTACAACATCGAAATTAATGATTCCGAATTGTTAGATTAAAAAAAAATAAATAAATTGACGAATTGAAATTTTGCTTAAATAAAAAAAGACATTTTCGACAAAAGTATTATTTAAAATTTTTTATAAAGTCAATAAACCAAATATTTATTATATTATTTAATGCTCAATTATTTAAAAGAATTATTTATTGTTGATAGTACTGTAAACATTTTTTTGTGCAATTGATGTAATAAATATTTACAATAAATAATAATCGATATCAAAATGTCAGTGTCATATGTGTCATATTGACGGTACTTAAGGTGCTGACTTAAGTAATTAAAGGAAATAATACTAATATTATTATTAATAAAGTAATAATGATAATTATTAATAAATTATAATAACTATAATTATAATTAATATATAAATGTCTAATAAAGTCCATTAATGTAATGATTCGACTGATTGACTCGGAAAATCGTCTTTTGTTAATTTATTTAGATTTAATTTTTCAATCTTCCAGACAGCTATGGTTTATCGAGTCTTATTCCTTTTTTATTGTTAATTGATAATACTATTGACTTTTTTTTTAAAAAAAGAAAAAAAAATTTTAGAGAAAAAGGAATAAAGGTTGGATCATGATATTATTAAATACTTATTTATATGAATTGTATTTTTGTGAACAGTATTTCAAATTGGTGTTGTACAGTTTTAATATATTATATATATTTATATGCTATTTAATATAAATATATATAGATATATAAATATATAAATTGATAGATATGTATTATTATGTACCTATGATGTATATAGATATATTTAATTAATTAAAGTAAACTGGATTTGTGTAAAAAAATTAGATTTTTTTCTTTATCCTGTCACTTTTTTTTGTATGAGAATTTTTTTTGAAAAAAAAAAATTTAATGGATAAAATTTGAAAATAAATGAATTAAAAAGACTGAAAAAATTTTTATTAGTTGTTAAATTAAAGAATATTTCATTCTATTTTTTTTACTAGTTTGAAGTTTATTTATCAATAATTATGAAAAACTTACATTTTAACAAAAAATAAATTAAATAAAAAGTCTTTTTAAATATATTTTATTAAATCAAGCTCTTTTTTTATATTTATATTTAAGTTTTTTATTTATAAAAAATATCAAAGATATTTATCTGAATTTTTTAATGTTCTATATAGCTTTATAAAAAAAAAATTTATTCATTTCAATAATTCTAAATTTTTCAAAAAAAATTAAAACTCATAATACATAATATTAATAATTATTTATATTATAATTTTAAATGAAATTAAAGATAACAGTTACTTGACCATATTTTTATTTTTTTTTAACAAAAAAAATTATTTAAAGAAAAATTGCATTTTTAATTTCTAGATGTTGATTTTTTTTCTAATTTTTTTCTGTCGTAATAATTTATTTATTACAAAAATTATTAAATGTCTGCTAAATTATGACACTGAAGTTAGCAGACGTCTAAAAATTTTTGATTTTTTTTTATTAATTAAATTACAACTAAAAAAATATTTCTAAAAAATTGCACTTATAGTTTATCAAGTTTTTTATATGTGAAATTTTTTTTTTAATTGTTTAATTGAAATTTTTTCAATAAAAAATTTTTGAAATGTCGGCTAACTTTATTTTCATGCGAAATTAGTTTTAATGAATTTCAAATTCAAATTTTCTCCCGCCATAAACGTGCGCGCGCTTTCCACTCAGAAGGTCAAGGTCCAGCTCATCAGCCGCGTCAGATGCAATAGAATATTGAATAATAACAAAACAAAAACGTGAACCACTTCCTCGAGCCGTCCTCGGCGTAATAGCCGCTCCAGTTAATGAAAACGTTCTTGAAGAATAATAATAACATCAACATCCGAGTCAATAAAACAGTCGCAATAAATCGGCTAATCATAATCATAACAGATGCGGAACATAATTAAATTATTTCCACTCCCACCTCCACCACCATCATCAACATCATCAATATCAACAACATTATCATTAATCACGTGACAATGCCGGCGTTATTTCATCACAACAGCAAATATAGTGTATATATATATATAATATATAATATGTATATAAACAGCAACTAACAGACATATAAGTTGTGTATATAATTGCAGTCTCATTCATGCAGAGCAAGTATTAGTACACATTAAACAAGTAGATACAACTAAGCCGTGAACTGCAAGCCGAATCTTTAAATTGCCTTTGGATACATTCCATAGCATATTACTTGTGTACTTGCAACTGGTGAGTCCTCAGTGGTAAGTTGAGTTTAGTGTTGATTATTTTTATGTAAATATACATATAAAAATAACAGCCACATATAGAAAGCTGTCACGTGAATAATAACTAACGAAAACAATTTTTTTTTCTCTTCTGTTGTTATCTAGGCACGTGAACTATAAACCCGCTATCAGCTATCAGTGATGCTTTTTATCCTTTGATAGTGTTATTATTATTTAAATAATAAATAACCTCCATTAAATACTCATTGTTTTTTTAATATTTATATTTATTTTTTATTATTAACAAAATGGCTTTGGAAGCTATTAAATATAATAATGGAAAGTTGGAAGTCTTGGATCAAACGCTTCTGCCAGTAATTACTCGGTATATACATGTTCAGGGTGTTGAAGATGGTTGGAAAGTTATCAACAAGATGCAGGTATTATTATTATTATTTTTCTTCTTAATGAACATTAATTTAGAAGATATTTAATAATTTGAGAATTTTTTTAACAAATAATTTATGAGAAAAAAACTTGATAGAAATTTTAAAAAATATTTTTTTGTTTAATTTGTTTGTTAAAAAAAAAATTTTAAAATAATCAAGTGACTGCTGACTTTAATGTCATTTTTTTAATGATAAAAATCAGCGTCCAGATTTCAAATAAAAAAATTTAATGAAGAGATTAAAAAATTGACATTTAGAAATTTTAATTGTAAATTGAGCATAATTGCAAAAATGTTAAAAAAAAAATTTTTATGCACTTAATTTATAAAAAAAAAAAAATGATTACTATTGTTATTATAAAACTTATTAAGGAAACTTTACTGTATAATTTATTTGTAATTGTTGACAATTAGGTCCGTGGAGCTCCAGCAATTGCGATGGTAGGCTGCCTAAGTCTTGCAGTCGAATTAAAAAATGATAATTACAGTGAAAAAAGCTCAGTGAGGCGTGAAATAGAAGGAAAAATGAACTATTTGATATCGGCACGCCCTACGGCTGTTAATATTAAAATTGCTGCTGAACAACTGATCAAGCTGGCTAATAAACTGTACAGAGATGACAGTATTAATGTAGAAAATATGGTTTCTGAGTAAGCATAAGTTTAAACACTACTATTTAATTCAAAGAATTAAGATTAAAATTATAAATTATAACAAATAATTTTTTGTTCCCCAGAATACTGAGGTCAATAGATAATATGTTCAAAAAGGATATTGATGACAATCGGGCTATTGGTGACTTTGGGGCTGATGAAATTCTTAAAAATATTGTAGATAATAATTTAGTACGAGTATTAACTCATTGTAACACTGGGTCACTGGCTACTACAGGATATGGTACAGCTTTAGGTGTTGTGCGATCGCTTCACAGCAGAAGAAAACTTGGTAAGATAACGTCGCAATAATAGTTTATTTTTCCATCAACATTAATTCTCTGAAAGCTTGTTTTTATGTTTTTAATCCCAGATATAATTTTATCAGATATTTAAATATGATAAATATTTTTTATGTAAGTGGATATAATAACAATATTAATTTCTATCCCGGATAGAAGAAAATTCCAGATTGAAAAACTGGTCTTGAATTTTTTAAAAGGTATATAAAATTCAACCACAAAAATTTTTACTCCGAAGGGATAAGGCTTTATTCATTCTAAAATTGAATTATTGGTTGAATAAATTAAATTGAGACAGTATTTATAAAAAACTTTTTAATTTTTTCAAATAAAATCACCATTTTTATTTATCAAATATTTATTTGAATTTTATTTAATAAAAAATGATTTTTAATATTAAATAATTAATTGTATATCTCATAAAAAATGATAAATCTTAATTTAATTTTTAAAAATACTCAATATTTTTTCAGAGCAAGTATATTGTACTGAAACACGCCCGTACAATCAAGGAGCCCGTTTAACAGCCTACGAATTAGTCCATGAAAATATACCAGGTACTTTAATATGCGATGACATGGTAGCTGCATTGATGAAGTCTAGAAAAATAAATGCTGTAATAGTTGGGGCTGACAGAGTTGCTGCTAATGGAGATACTGCTAACAAAATAGGAACTTATCAGGTTAGTTTTTTTTAGCTACTTTTATTTATTTATTTATTCATTTGAACACCAATCGGCATTACACAACAATTAATGTATTTTTTAATTTATAAATTTTTCAATTCTGAAATTTTGGCTCGAAAATTAAACAAAAATAAAGATAATAAATTTATTTGGCGATGCCTAGTAAAATTAAAAAATTAATAAATAAAAAGTGTTATTAATAATATTGAAATTTTATTCTTTCCATTATTACAAAAAAAAAATTACTTAATAAAGAAATCCAACAGATTGCAATCCTAGCAAAATATCATGAAGTACCATTCTACGTAGCGGCTCCAAGAACGTCTATAGACTTCGACATAATAGCGGGAGACAAGATACCTATTGAAGAGCGACCTGAGCGCGAAATGACGCACCTGAACGACCAGAGAATCGCTGCCAAGGGAATCCAATGCTGGAACCCCGCATTTGACGTGACCCCCGCTGATCTGATCACCGGAATCATCACCGAGGTTGGTGTTATCAATCCGAAGGACTTGAAGCAACTTGTTTCTACCGACCAACAATAATAAAGTTATTGCATTCCAACCCTCAATAAAAAGTCAATTACATTTAAATAAATAAAATATTAACCCGTCAGCACTCACGTTATGAGCATTTTGGTCACGCAACAACATCCAACTTATAGAGCGGCGCTGTAGTGCAAGTGAGACACTAAAATTCATGTGAGTTCTGACGGGTTAAATTAGGAAAAATATTAAAATAAAATAATCATAAGCTCATATTTTTTTATTCTGATATAAAAAGTATTAACGTTGAGATTGGTTACAATTATTGATAATAAAAAAATAATTTTTAAGATTTAATTATTTTATTTCAATGGTGGAATAATCGGACATTGGTGTGTGATAACACTATTTTGTGCTCATTGCAAGCGTCTATAACCACTTGGTCATTTGTTGATCCAGCTGGGCTGGCAATGTATTTAACTCCACTCTGAAAAAATATATAAGTATGTGTAATTAATATTTATTAAGTATTCGAATGATTCATTATTCTGAGTCAATATAGAATTAGAAAAAAAAAAAAATTTATTTAAATAAGTTGATCTAATGACTCAATTTGTTTTTTAACGCATATTTTATGAACTTTTAATTTTTAATTCTTTTTTTTATAAATTCAAATTATTAATAATAATAATAATAAAAATTTTTAATTTAATTTTATAAAAATTTTTGGTTACCGAAAAAAGTTTCTTAGTCAGTTGGCTTAAAAATAATAAATGCTCTTTAATAAGTAAAATCACCGATCTTAGAATAATATAAATAATTATTGTTATTATTATTTTTTTTTTTTTCCAATAAAATAACAAATACTCACAAGTCTGGCCCGATCAACATTATCCCTAAATGGAAAGAAAGCATCACTGCTGACAGCAACATTTTCCATTTTACAGATCCACTGTTTCTTATCTTCCTCCGTAAGTTTCTCAGGTACAACCTCGAACATAGCAGCCCAGGTAGCCTCATCCATGTCCTTTCCCACTGACCCATTAACATAATTGTCAATAGCATTAGAAATTTCAGCGCGCTTGACTCCTTTTTTGAATTTCATGCCCATGACCTTGGGGTGCTGTCTCAGCCACCAGTTATCAGCCTTGTCACCAGCCAATCTCGTACAGTGAATCCTGGACTGCTGACCAGCCCCAATACCAATCACCTGGCCGTCTTTAGCATAACAAACAGAGTTACTCTGAGTGTACTTGACCGCAATGGTCGCGACAATCAGGTCCCTCAGCGCAGAATCCTGCAACAGCTTGTTATCAGTTACAATATTAGCAAAAAGATTCTTGTCAATAACCGCGTTGTTTCTGCACTGCTCCAGAGTCAGCCCGAAGATCATCTTGCGCTCAATGTCACTTGGAACGTACTCGGGATCAATTTCCAGGACGCAGTAGCCTCCGTTTTTCTTCTTCTTGAGGATCTCCAGGGCCTCGGGGCTGTAGCCAGGTGCAATAATACCATCTGAAACTTCCCGAGAGATTATTCTCGCAGTAGCGGCGTCGCAGGGATCTGAGAGACCCACGAAGTCTCCGAAGCTGGACATGCGGTCAGCGCCACGTGCTCTGGCGTAAGCGAAGGCTAGAGGGGTCAGTTTGTCAACTAAATCGTCAACCTGGCACAACTTTGCCTGGACCGCGTCGAGAGGAACTCCCACAGCAGCTCCTGCTGGGCTGACATGCTTGAAAGAAGTTGCTGCGGGCAAGCCTAGAGCTTCCTTGAGTTCCTTCACTAGTTGGTAGGCGTTCAACGCGTCGCAGAGGTTGATGAATCCCGGAGATCCGTTTACTACTGTAAGAGGCAGCTTCTCCAGGGTGGTGAACACCTGGGCTGGCTTCTGGTGCGGGTTCATTCCATAGCGCAGGGTCAGCTGGGATTTCCCGTTGCTGTACTGCTTACGGAAGTAATCAGATATTGCGTCGTCGTACTCTGAGGTGTGGGTGAACGCTTTCAAAGCCAGCATTTGTCTGAAAAATTTAAAATTGTATGAATAAAATTTTTTTTTTTAATTCTTAAATTTATTTATTTATTTATAAATTTTTAATGTACCTTGTATTTAATGTAGTATCTTTGTTGACGTCAGTCTGCATTTCAGCGATGACCTTTTCGTAATCATTGGGGTCGCAGATTACAGTGACCCGGGCGTGATTTTTAGCAGCCGCACGCAAAAGAGTAACTCCACCGATATCGATATTTTCAACGGCGTCTGCCAGGGTTACGTCACTCTTGCTGATGGTATTTTTAAAAGGGTACAAATTACAGACCACCAAACTTATGTTTGAGTAATTTTGCTTCTTCATGTCTAATTGATCTGACTCTGTCATACGCGCTAAGATTCCTGGAATATATTTATTTTTTGAGTTTTGGCAAATAAAATATATGATACTTAATTGAATATCTGATATCTGACGATTTTGTAGATTTTTATAGCAAATTTTAATGAAAAAAATTTATTATTTAATTTCAATGCCAACACGGAAAGAACCAGATGACACTGGATATTATTCCAATTATACTCAGTGATATCGGTGGTGAAAAAAAAAATTTCAAGTAGTAGCTAAAAAAATTTGGATTATACTAGCTACTATCTGAAATTTTTTTTCACTCAGTATAATATGGGATGATATCCAGTGTCATCTTGTTCTTTCCGTGAAGGCAGTATAGCCAAATGGCAAATGTATATAAAAAAATTATAATAAAATCTGGAATGTAATTTTGATGAATACAAGAAAAGTATAAATTTGAATATAAAAATTAAAGAGTTAAACTCAGTAATGTAAAATACAAAAAGTTGACAAATTAAGATGATAAACTCATGTAACAAAAATGTATGAATAAATATCAATAGTTTAAAATTAAGATTCATTATCTCGTTCACAGATTCATTTAGATAAAAAAATTCTACATCGAGAAATTTTTTTAATTTGTAAGTAAGAATTTTAATAAATATTTTTTTTTATAATAATTGATTTGTTATAAAAATTATTAATTACCGGCATGAACAGCTGGATGTAATGTTTTTACTCGACCACCAAGCATCTCAGGTGCGCCTGTAATGTCAGAAACATCTTTTACCGGTAATCCAGCATCTCTTAACGATTTAGCGGTTCCTCCGGATGCTACCAAGGTCATTCCTAGTTCGTGTAATTTTTTTGACAGAGACAATAAATTTGTCTTGTCAGACACACTCAATAATGCTGAAATTTATAAAATTATCAATATATTTGTGGATGAAAATAATTGCGCAGTTATTGAAATATAAATTTAAAAATAACAATTAACCAAACAAAAAAAATCAGAGCACGTGGTCGGTAAAATAATTGTTTATATTTTTTATTTATTTATAATTTATTTTATTTTATTTACCTAGTTTGCCAGACATCTTCAATGACATTCAAAAAAATTGTCAATGTAATTTGGATAATTGAAGTTTTACTTTGAATTTCAATGGAACTGAAGAGAGATGTATGCGCCTGATGCGGCTTTCAACAAGTGGCGTTAATTAACCTCTTCTCGAGACTCTGGACTTATCTACAACAAAAATATATGTACATAAATATATTTATAGATATATAGTTGTGGATAACAACAATAACATCATTAATGAAGTCATAATAATAATAAAAAATTTAATCTATATTTATAATTGTTATCGTTAATTCAACAAATCCGTGGGGTAAAGATATAAATAAATTACGAAATAAATAATAAATTGAAATTGTTTACTAACGTCATTTATATTTTTATTTATTATCTACTTCAATAAATTATTTATGAAAAACATATTGTTATTTTTAAAAAATTTTTTGTTATAAATAAAAATATCAATAATAATAACAGAATAAATTTGAAAAGATAATTTTTTAAATTTATAATACTAAAGTCAGCTATCTGTCAAATTTTATAATACTAAGTTAGCCGACGTTTTTAATTTTGTAATTTTTTTTTTATTTATTTAATTGGAACAAAAAAATTATTTTTTAAAAATTACACTTAAAGTTTTTCAAGTTTTTTACATATGAAAATTTTTGTTTTAATTTTTTAAAAATCATTTTTCAACAAAATAAATTATAAAAATTTTTAAATGTCGGCTAATTTAATTTTCATAAAAAATCAAAAAAGCTTTAAAAAATTTCCTCTAACACATTTTTTTAATTTTCATATTCGAAATTTTTGTATTAAATTTTTTTCATAATAATTTCATTGCTGTAAAATTAAAAAAAATTCCTAGTGTCTGTCAATTTCTGTGTCTTAAAAATTTGCATGCGCACACATACTTCTTTTTTGATAATTTGACTTTTATTTATAAAAAATAAAATAATGTTCTGAAATTTGACAGTCAAAAAAGGTAATTATAAATTTACTTAAAATTTTACATAATTATTTAAAAAAGTATCAAAAAATCAAAAATATATATAGGTTTATTAATCTGTAGCGCAAAAAGTGACGATCTATTTTACCGGCTCCCATGATTGAACTCTAAAATAATAAAATAACCCAATCCCCAGTATCAGTGTCAAGTTGAGTTTTTAGTCTAATTTAACAAAATAACTTATCAAAAAAACCTGCCACGTAAGATATTATAATTAAAACATTTTATTAACGTAAAATATATATAGCAGTGTAGTATAGCAGACATAAAATCTTCCACCTGTGTCAAGAAAATAATACAATTACCGAGTTTCAATACCGGCTCTGTAATCAATTCTGTCAGCTATCAGCAAACACAACTTGTCGAGTTGGCTGGCAATAACACTAATGCATTTTCAATCTGTAAGTAGATTAGATTATATTTATCTATGAAAATATATTTTTTAACCTATTTTATGATTTTTCAGATTTAAAAAAAAAAAATCATTGAATTTAGAAAATTATATAAAATTGGAGTAAAATGGTGAAGTCAAAGTCTCATGAACGAACACCGAAAGCTAAAAACAAACATTTGAATCATGCTCATCATAAAAAAGAAACCGAGTCATCGAGGATGAACCTGATGAACTCGGTGCTGACTGTAACCTGTATGGCGGTTGCTGCTTGGTTTGGTTACAAAGGGTATCTCGAAACCCGCGTCAATACTCCCTTTGATTCAGAAAAGGTAAATAATTTATGAGAGTAAAACACCGAGAATTTTTAATTTTTTTTTTTTTGGTTTTTTTTTTTTTTTTTTTAGTAATAAGTTAATTATTTCCTTTGATTTGAAATGACATAACACTTTTAATTTTATATTCAAACTGAAATAATTATAGTTAGTTTACTCTCGGTTTATATAGAAAGAGAAAGTCACTTGTTATCTTTTTAAATTTCATTAGATATTACAAATCGTTCGTATCAACAATTTTTCATTAAAGTTTTTTGTTAAAAAATGCCGATGGTGATAAATGTCAAAATGTCACAATATTTAAATAAAAAAAAAATAAAATCTATTATAATAACAATTTATAACCAATACATATCAAATATTTTCTATTTTAAGCATCATATTTTTTATCAAATTATTTAATTTTAAATAATTTATCAACTTAAAAGAAAAAGGAAAATTTATTAATTTTAGTATTTATAAAAAAAATATAAAATTGGTATATTATTATTATTATTATTATTATTATTAATTATTATTAATGGTATATTTAAAAAATAATAAAATAATTGTCAGCTTATATCACAAAAAAAATGAACTAAAATCAATTTATATCTTAGCTGGTGGCGATTAATGGCCTGGACACAGCTGATCGATACTGGGGTTCATACCGACCCGGCTTATACTTCGGAATGAAGACCCGAGACCCACAATCGCTGGTTAGTGGTTTGATGTGGTACCGACCGCAAAACCTGCGGCAAGGCGGCGAGAGTTTCCGCCACTGGTGCGAGCAAGGCGACAAACTTGACAAGTACGGCTGGCTTGAACACGACGGCAAGACTTTCGGAGTCCAAGAGATCCACGACGGGGACCTGATAATAAAAACCTCGTACGTAAAGAAGCCAGGTGGCCGCCACGGTGGTGACTGGACAGCAAGAATCGGCGTGACATCCAAAGCAGAGCCCAAAGATTCCCAGAAATCCCAAGAAATATCTTTCATATTCTACTCCGCCTTAGAAGACAAGTCCACCGGGAACATAAAAGCATCTCTTGGCGCAGACAACCGTCTGTCAGGCATGGAAGGCTACACCGACGGTTTAGGTGCCTACAGGTTCAGCATGAACCCTACCAAAGGCACCGTGGAAGAGCACTCCTTCCTAATCGCCGTATTGCCAGGTCTGAACCTCGTCAAGGAAACAATCCTCCAGAATTTACGACTCGCCTCTCAAAAAGTCTCGAACGTCAAGCGGATTGTCCTAGGAGGCGACCAACTTCCTCTCGACAACGAAGGGAAGAAAACGGACCCTAATTTCTGCGCGACCCAGGTCACCGCTCGAGTTCCTTTCGAGTTCGAAGTTCTTTTTGAATCTGGCAGTGTTCCTCTGCGCAAAGAGAAGCTCACCGGGAAAAACTTCGACCTGGCCCTCGGGGAGCAGCGAAAGCGGTTCAACGACAAGTTCGAGAAAATCTTCAAACTAACAGAGAAAGGCTTCAAGGAAGACGCGATAGAGTTTGCCAAGTACGGGTTCTCAAATTTGATCGGAAGCATCGGGTACTTCTACGGAAGCTCCCAGGTCCAGAGTGTTCACACCAAGAGTCCAGTTCCCTACTGGAAGGCTCCCCTGTACACCGGAGTGCCCAGCAGAAGTTTCTTTCCCCGCGGATTTCTCTGGGACGAAGGCTTCCATGGGCTTCTGGTCGCAACCTGGGACCTGGACATCGAGATGGACATAATGAGTCACTGGTTCGACTTGATGAACTCCGAAGGCTGGATCCCCAGAGAGATGATCCTGGGCTCGGAAGCTCTGGCGAAGGTTCCTGAGGAGTTTGTCACCCAGATCAGCACCAATGCGAATCCTCCGACTTTCTTCTTGACCTTGCAGTATATTTTGAACTCCAGAGAATCGGAGCTGCTGGACAGGCACTACAAATTACTGGATAAATTGTATCCGAGATTGCAGGCCTGGTTCGAGTGGTTCAACACCACGCAAGTTGGAGACTTGCCGGGAACTTATAGGTGGCGCGGACGGGACAGCTTGACCAACCGAGAGCTTAATCCAAAAACGCTGACTTCTGGGCTTGATGATTACCCACGAGCTTCGCACCCGAATGTCGATGAAAGACACGTCGATTTGAGGTGCTGGATCGCTTTCGCTGCGGGAGTTATGGCGAGGCTCTCGGAGCTGCTGCACCACCCGGCGGATAAGTACCGGGACACCCACAGATTCTTGACGGACAACCAGGTGCTCAACGGGCTGCACTGGTCGCCTTCCAGCCAGTCCTACGCGGACTATGGCCTCCATACGGACAAGGTAGAGCTGAGGAGACCTAGTGCGCCTCCCAGGTCTCCAGCTTCGCCGGAGCTGATCAGAGTGGTGCTAGAGGACCCGAGTCTTAAATTTGTTGATTCGAGCTTTGGATACGTGTCGCTGTTTCCATTTATTTTGCAGGTCGTCGAACCGGATTCTCCGCATCTGGAGAAAATTCTGATGGACTTGACCAAGCCCGAGCTGCTCTGGACCAAGTTCGGGCTCAGGTCGCTCGCCAAAAATTCTCCGCTCTATGCCAAGTACAATACTGAGCACGATGCGCCCTATTGGAGAGGACCTATTTGGATTAATTTGAATTATTTGACGCTGAGAGCGCTCAATTGGTATGCAGAGACTCCCGGACCGTATGCCGGGAAAGCTAAGAAAATTTACAAGGACTTGAGAGAGAACTTAATCAAAAATATGCTGGTGCAGTACAAAAAAACTGGGTTCATTTGGGAAAATTATGGAGATGTTTATGGAGAAGGAAAAGGCAGTCATCCGTTTAATGGATGGTCTTCGTTGATTGTTATGATCATGGCGGAAATTTATTAGGTTTTTTGGGTTGAGTTAGCTAATTTGTTTTTTGTCTAAGACAATCAGTCATTTTTTATTTTACTTGCTGGTGTTTTGTAATTTTTTAGTATTTTATAAGGAAGAATTGTTTTGGAGATCGTTTTTAGGTTTTTATGATAAGTAGCTTAGATTTTAATTGATTGAAATTTGTTGATTAGGTAAAAAAAGTTTTTTAAGATTTTTTTGCATAATAATGTAATTTAGAAAATTGAAACTACCTTTTTAATGACGGAAAAATTTTTTTTTTCGTTTTCGTGGTTGATTTTATAAAAATTTAGAAAATTACTTTGCATTTATTGTTAATTTTTTATTTAAATATTTATACTAAAATTTTTGAAAGCTAAGAACAGAATTTCGAATTTTTTATAATTTATTTAAAAATAAAAAGGATAAATTTTTATACAACAAAAAAAAAATTGTAATAAACACATGTACCAATTTTTAAAAACGAAATTTTGAGATTAACTGAAAATGTATTATTATTATTATTATTATTTAAATTTAGACATTAATTAATTAATTTTAGTAAAATGTGTTCATATAAAAAATAGTTAACTTTAGTGAATTAATTTAAAAAAAAAGCACAAGTTAAAGTTGAGGATTGTAAACCTCACTCACGGTTGATTAAAAATTATCTTTTATTTAATTCGTGAGCTGGTACTCACTAAAAAATTAATTTCAGCTTGCGTTTAATTATTAATCATTAATTAAAAATTGTTTAGTCAAAAAAATCAAGGCAATATGTAATTATAATTTTTTTTTAATTCAAAAGTGAAGACTAAGGATTTGATAACTGAAAAAAAAAATTTTTATAATAAGACTGCACACCAAAAAATTGCAGCTAATTAATAAATAAAATTAATATTAATTAATAATGATAATAATCATATCGATTATTATTAAGGATTTTATCTGCTAAATTTTTAACAGCTTCTGCGTATTTGATACTTCTGTATATATTTATATAAATATAGATATACATGTATCTAATATTATTGATAATAAGCATAATTTTTTTTTTTCTTATTGTAAGGATGTAAGATAACAACTAAAAACAGATTTTAATACAGACGTCGATTTTTTCAATAAGAAATTATCGATAACTGGCTGTGAAAAACGAAACATAAACATTAACACAAACATCATTTTTCCGGTCTTAGGACTAATTATAGTTCATAAAAAAAAAAAAAAAAAAAAAAAAAAAATAGTTAAATTAATGAGGATAGAACTAGTATCAATAGTTATAGTGTCATTAAATTAAATAAAAAAATTGTAAGATTTAAACTGAAGAATAATCAACATTTGATTCTAAATCTTTTGTTAATTAAACTGTAAAGTTTTTTTTTTGTATACAAAATTGTGATCTTGTGTACTCGATAATAAGTAAATTACTTAATGTAATGTAAAACGTAATTAGAAATAAAAATATATCATCTTATAAAAATTTTGGCTTAATATTATTTAATTAAAATAAAATAAATTTTTCCACATAAAATATGTATTTATTTATAAAAAACAATCCGTATGTAAATATATATGGAAAATATTTCTTTATAGTGTATAATAAGTATAATTATCTTGCGTGAAAAACGCTAGAAAAAATATGTATAAAAATGTCTCATTAAAAAAATTAAGTGGAATGAAAATTAAGCAAAAATATCAATTTTTCTCCTCTTCTGGAATAAAGTACATGGAGTCGATAAAAAGTCGAGTCAAGTCGCCGACTACTGAACGATCTGGAAGACTTTGGCTCATTCCATACATAGCGAGCTGTGAATAAAAAATGATTACGATTATATTTAATAAAATCTATCAATTAATAGAATGATTAATTTATTACCCGTCCTTCTACAGAGACATCAGGTGTCTTATTAATTTCTATCAGAACATTTCTGACATCGTCCAAAAAGGTATCAGCAACACCCGGCTGGGTGTGAACATAAGTAATGCACAAGTGAATAGCACTCGGGAATTGCAAAGTATTTAAATTCCATCCTCTGGCTGCAAGACCTTCGGATAGACGATAAATGTGGAATTTATTGGAGCCCAAAGCGATTACTGAAGTACCAGGGGTGCCGATGATATAAATACTGTCTAATTCTCTTAATCTGTAAGTAAATTAATTTAATTAATCAATTTAAATTGATTACACGGAATATTTTTTTATAATAAAAAAAAAAATAAAAAAATTTACTTTGATTCGAGGTATTTTGTTGTTTGGATTATTTTTCTAGTTGATTCCAAGTAACCGTCGTAACCAAAATGCATCATTGATGCCCAACAAGCGGCTATTATTCCTCCAGCACGTGAGCCATTTATTGTTGGAGAACCGTAAATACCGCCAGGCCAATCTGTTGTTATTGTGAATTGATGATGACGATACTTTTTATCGCTGTAAAGAATAACTGATGATCCTTTCGGTGCGTATCCATACTAAAAATTTATTATTAATTATAATTGTAATTTAATATAATTAAAAAACAATTCATATTTTATTTTATGAAAAAATATTTAGATACATACTTTATGAGTATCAGCAGAAATAGAAGTAACACCAGGTAGAATAAAATCAAATGGTGGAACATCAAAACCAGCAGCTGGCATAAAACATAATAAAAATCCACCCAGACAAGCATCAACATGAACTGGAATGTTATATTTAAGACCAAGCTTAGAAATTTCTTCAATATTGTCCATTGTACCGTATGGGAAATTCGGTGTTGATCCAACGAGCTTTATTTTAAAAAAAAAAATTTAAATAATTAATTATCTACCCGAGTTGAAAAAATTAACTTAAGTTATTTAAGCTTATGTAAGTTCATTTTTTTAACTCGGGTAATGATATTGAAATTGAGAGACATCTCATCATTTTTAAAATTTTTTTAACAAATAAATTATAGCAAGAAAAATTTATTTAAAAAATTCCATCTTTAGAAGCTCCAAAAAAATTATCGATGCAATTTTTTAAAAAATAATTTTCTAAGCCTAATTTATATTTAAAAAAAAATTAAAAAATTATTCACTGTCATATTACTTAGTTGACTGTAAAATTATTAATTAGTTCATCATTAATAATAATAAAAATTAGTACCATTATTGTATTGCGAGAAATAGCTTTTTTCATGGCATTAATGCTGACTGTGAAGCTTTTTGGGTTGAGCGGCACAGCTCGTACTTTGATATTTAAGTACTGGGCAGCTTTGTCAAAAGCCGAGTGGGCCGTTACCGGTACCACCATTTCGGGGTGCTTGATTCCTTTAACTTCGCGTGCGTAATCGCGGTATGCTTTGCATGCTAAAATAATTGATTCAGTACCTCCAGATGTCATCTGAAATTTTAAATTAAAAAAAGGTTTTTATAAAAAAAAAAAAAATAAAAATAAATAAAACTTACAGTTCCGCAAGATTCATCATTGCCGTGAAATAAATGACAGGAAATTCTCACAACTTCAGCCTCCATTTTACAAACCCCAGGAAATACATCAGGATGCAGAGGATTTGTATACGAAGCGATACCATAAACTTCGGCCATCAATTTTATCAGCTTTTCATCATTTCTGTACACAGTTCCTGATACTTTGCCATTTTTCCAATCGTAGTCGCCTGAAAAAAATTTTATTTAAATAATAAATTTATTTTTACTAACTGGAAAATTTTTTATTTTTAATTAAAAATTAAAATTACCTATTTGTACACTCTGCTTAACAGCTTCAATAACTTGTTCATGATTTAAACCGTTCTTAGGCAAAGTTGTGACACACTGAATGCCTTGGAGTCGATTTTTGCTCTCGTTTTCAAAAGTCTCGTTTAGATTATTGAGCTCGCGTTCTATTTGTTCGCGAACCGAAGGAATGTAACGGGCTAGTTTGAATAACTTTTTCTTGCTACGTACGACTATACTCTCATCTTGGTTACAAAAATTCCATACCCAAACAGCACCGAGAACTGAGCCAGTTGTTATTGTTACTATTTGCCAAGGTTCTTTTTCCTTGAAGCTGTTGTTTATCAGCTCTTTCACGGTATTCATTCTAAACAAAAATATAAAATAACTTACCATTAATAAATAATTAAAATACTCATTTAAAAAAAAAAATAAAAATAAATATATACCTTCTAAATTTATAATAAGTGACAAGTAACTGTTAAAAGTGACTTGTAATGCTGACTAATTTGTAGATTTACTCACCTTTAATTTTTTTTTTTTGTCTTTTTGAATTGTTGAGATAAAAAGCTGATTAAAAATAGATAAAAATTAGCTTGTTAAGAGATAAGTACATATGTACATAAAAATACGTATATAAATATATGTAAAGATAAACAAGAGTGGGTGTAAGTATTTTGTGCAAAGCAAAGAATTCCATATGAAATAATTCTAAGCTTTGACGACAGGCGCAGCAGCTGCTAGTTAGATTAATCAAAATTAATTTAGTAGATATTTAATAACTTTTTTTACAAATACATTTTGGCAAAAAAAATAATAAAAAAAATTGACTTATAGATATTTTAAAAAATTAAAATTGCAATTTTTTAAAAATAATTTTGCGGATCAAATTTGTTTGTTAAATAAAATTAAAAAATTGTCAAGTGACTGCTAACTGTAACTTTAATGTTGTATAATAAATTTTAATTAGCTAATAAATTTTTATAAAAAATATTTAATACATTAATTTTTTACAGTTTAAAATTTATTAAAAAAAAAAAAAACAGCTGATAATTTTTAAAGATTCTAAATTTGCACTTAAAAATTAGCGCCAAGTAAATAAACTCCTAGCGCGCACTCTAGAAGTGGTAGAAAAAGTAAACAAAATCATAATGGCGCCGAACTTTCCTGATAGACAGTCATTTCAAGCGGCACTTCCTTTTGGTGAGCAAGACCACGTTTTCTAAATCTTTTCTACGTAACCTTCGAAGTAGTAGTCACGCTGTATGAGTTCGTGGTTTATTAATTTGTATTTAACTGAACAATTAATCACTAAAAAGTGATTTAAATTGTTAAAATAATTTATTAGACTCGTATTATTTATATAATTCATAAAATGAAGAAACAAAACGTTGATAATAAGAAAAAACAAAATGACTCGAAGAAAGCCGGTCTGGTTGCTGGTGCTAAAATTAATAAAGCTATCAAAAAGGAAAAACCTGTAAGTAAAGTTGAAAAACCAATTAAGCCTGCTAAAAAAGAAAAACTTGTCGCTCAAGTTGAAAAACCAACTAAGCCTGTTAAAAAAGAAAAACTTGTCGCTCAAGTTGAAAAGCCAATTAAGACTATTAAAAAAGACAAACTTGTAGCTCAAGTTGAAAAACCTGTTGAAAAAGTTATTAAATTGAATAAAAAACAAAATAAAAAAGTTGGTTCAACAGAATTGACAAATACGAAGCCAGTGAAAGAAAATATTAAAATTAACAAAGAACCAACAGAAAAATCTAAAATTTTACAAAAAAAATCTAAAGTTCAACAATTAAAGAGGAAAAATGAAGCGGAGCCTGAAATAGTCAAAAAGTTGAAAAATACTGAAGCAAAAGCAACTTTAATGAAGAAAAAGGTGAAAAAGCCAATTATTGAAGCAAGAGTAACTAAAGAAGACAAAAAACTTAAATCAAATGCTGAACAAATTGTTCAGACTGATAAAAAATCAAAGGTAATTGTTAACAAAGTGAAGAAATATGCGGAAGAAGGAAAGAAAATTAGTAAGAAAAGTAAGCAAGATAAAAAATCTAAGAAAGTAATAAACGGAGTTAAAATTGAAGTCGACGGTGAAGAAAAAGTAGTCAACGACCTGGAGATTGATGAAAACCACGTTTTGCAAGCCGTTGATGGTGTATTACAACTTGCTGAGCAAGAAAAAAGCGATAAGAAATTATTTTCATCGGACGATACTCCAATCTTTTTACAAGTCAATTGTATTAAGATTCCCAGAGTACCTTACCACCGTTTGAGAATGTAAGTATAAAAAAAAATTTTTTTTTTTATTTTTCTTGAATACAATGATACACATGATTATAAAATTTTAATTACCAATGGATCCTTATGAGTGTACCATGATTATCAAACTTGTATGAAGTATTATATCAATAAACCATTTGATATTTCAAGCCTTTAAAGTCCAATAATTAATCAAGTAAAATTTTTTTACTAATTTTCAGATATTTGCCGCATGATATGGTGGGCCCGACAGATGATGTCGCTCTGTTTGTTGGTGACTTGGAGAAAGGACGTCGCAAGGACTACGAAAAAACTATCGAACATTGGCAAAATATTCTGCAGGAGAAAGGAGTAAACCGGATCAGAGAAATAATTCCAATGGCTAAAGTCAAGGCTGAGTACCGCCAGTTCGAGATGAAGAGGAAGCTCTCGAAGCTGTTTGATTTCTATCTGGTTGATGGAAAAATTGCAGGACACTTGACTCATCTTCTAGGATCGACTTTTACTCGTGGTGCTAATCCACCCACTCCGGTAAGGTTATGGCGAGATAACCTGAAAGGAGAGTTCGATCACGCGCTCAAGAAAACTTGCATGGAAATTCACGGGCACGGTGGTACGCACTGTGTTAGAATTGGTACAGTTGCTATGCCCAAGAATCAAATTGCTGAGAATATTTTGGCAGCTTGTAAAGTTTTAGAGAAAGAGTATCCTGGTGGATTTGATAATATACGATCTATGACCATTAAAACTAGGAGAAGCTTGGCTATTCCTGTTTATTATTCAATGAGTAAGTATTTTGTAATTTAATTTTTTATTGAGACTTTGAATGTTTTATTGTAATTGATTTAATTTTTTAATTAATTGATTGAAGTATTTTTTTGAAGAAAATTATTTTAATATTTATTTCAATTATTTACAGAAAACAAAGACGACGTCGCTGTGCCAGTAGTTAAACCAAAACGACCTAAAGCCTACAAGGATGTAGTTGGAGGACTTTCAACTCTCGACTCAGACGCAGAAGAAGATGTTCAAATTTCATTGACTCCTCGTGGTGATGTCAAAATTCTTAACCCAAAAGTTGCTAAAAAATTCTATGAAGAAAATTATCCAGTTAAAAAGTTGAAGAAATTAAAAAATAAAACAACTTTCAAAGCAAAAACAACTAAAACCGTTCAAAAAAAAGTTTTAGAAAAAAAAACAATGAAAAAAGTAAAATAGACTTGAGTAGTACTTACTTATAAGTTGTATATATTTTTGTATTATAATATATGTCTTAATTAAAAATTATTTGATAAGATTGTTAAAAAATTTCGTCTAATTTTATTTCAATAAAATTCCATATAAATTATGGAAATATTAGCAACCTTGCAATCACTATGTGACTGCCGTGACTTGTGAACTATAAATAAATAAAATTTTGCTTTATTAGATAATGACTTTTGTTAAATTGCGCTGTGCTTTTTTAACTATTGACGTTTTTAAAGATATAAGTTCATCCCGATGTTACACTCATCAAGAGCTTTCATTTGAGTACCCACATGCATTTTTGATATATTTTTCATATATATAATATATGAAAAATTGATGTGGGTACATAAACAAAAGGTCTTGAGTGTAACATCGGGATGAGCTTATATCTTTAAAAATGTCAATAGTTCACGAGATTTAAGGTCATTTCTTAATTATGAATCTAGAGATAGAGCATTTTCGAATGCAGCCTAAATACTTATCATCAAAAATTGACTATTGGTAATAATGATATGAAGCTAGGAAAAGGGGCAACTCCAGGTCAAGACTTCCAACGATACCAAATTTAATCATATAAATACATTGGCGACAAAATTTTGCTTATTCTCTTAATAATATAGATTTTATTACTTTATGTTACTTATTGAATTATTTTGTACAATAATAATAATAATAATAATAATAATAATTAATCATAAACTTATTAAATAACTTGATCTTGAAAAGCCAAAGCAGTCAATGCTTTTTGATGACCTTGATATTCACGTTCAATAGTACCAGTATTAACATTCCAAAGTCGAGCAATTCCATCAGAAGAAGCAGTGAAAATGTACTGAGAATCAGCACTGAATGCAGCATCCCAAACCCAGCGTTTAGATTCATGTTGCAAGACAATTGACGGTGAGAAATCTGAAGTCTTCCAAAGCCTGGCAGTCTGGTCCGCAGAAGTAGTCACTAGAAGCGTTGAGTCTGGACTGAATTTACACTTGAGCGCGTAACGTTCATGAGCAGCAAGTTTCTGATGAGGATGGAGCTTAGTTATCTCTTCATCTATCCCTCCAGTTAATGTCCAGACATAGCAACTGCCTTTGTTGTTGACAGCAGCCATGTAGGTACCTTCAGTATTGATGCAGACATCCTGGATAGAAGCCTCAGCCTCCGGTATCAGCTGCTCGTTGCGGTCTGACCGCAAATCCCAGAGGTGAATGATTCCGCTCTGGTCGCCGACTATCAGCTGAGACTGATTCGGGTGCAGACAAACACAATTCACCGGTGAAGATGCTTGGAATATACGCTGGCACTGGAAAGTTCCTGACCTTATGTCCCATATGCGCGCCGAGCAGTCTTCACTCCCGGTGAACATCCACTTGCCGTCTTCCTGGAATCCTAGACTTGTTATATTTTTTGAAGCTCCCTCATAGTTTAGTGCAATGCTGTTGTTGCTGGCTGCCAGGTCTTGCATAAATATATTCTGGTAACCGGCCGCTGCGACTGTATGCTTGTTTGGTGATATTTCTAAGGCATTTACTTGTGATACTGTGTGCTGCAGGGTGCGTTGACATACTCCAGTGTGTGCTTGCCAGACTTTTATTGTGTGATCATATCCACCGGTTACAAAAATCACCTGATCACTTTCTTCTACTGTCATTTTTATTTATTTATATTTTTTTCTGGCCTGTAAAAAAATGTAAACAAATAAACAAATACAGTTGATAATATAATAATACTAAAGTTAGCCGACGTTTTTAATTTTATGATTTTTTTTCATTTATTAAATTAGAACTAAAAAAATTTTTTTTTAATTGCACTTATAGTTTTTTTACAAATGAAATTTTTTTGTAATAATTTTTTCAATATAAAAAATTCTAAAAATTTTTAAATGGCTAACTTAACTTTCATACTGATAATGCGCACTTTAACTTTATAAGAGGTTATGTATTGTTTATGACAACTGTCAAATTTGAAAATGGCATCAATAATTAAATATTACATATATATTCATGACACTAAAATTGACAGACATATTAGGAATTTTTTTATTATTTTGTAGCAATTAAATCATTATAAAAAAAAAAAAATTTAATAAAAAAACTCCTTAGTGAAAATTTTTTAAAACATTTTTTAGTTGTAATTAACTTACTGGTGTTTAATTGACAAATAATCACAGAAATAATAATTAATTTACGATAATTTTTCAATTTGAAATGACATAGCACTGAAAAAAGTTTTTTTTATATAAAATAAATTAATTAAGTTATTGTGACAACAATTATATTAAATGATACATAATACTAAAGTTAGCCGACGTTTTTATTTTTTTTTAATAATTGAATTAGAACAAAAAAATACATTTTAAAAATTTCACTGACAGTTTTTAAAGTTTTTTACAAATGAAATTTTTTTTTTTTTATTATAAAATCTTAACCAGAATAGTAAATAAAAAAAAAAAATTATTAATTTTGTAATTTAATGTTAAATACCGTAAATTAAATAAATTATAAATAACTAGCGCTCCCTGGTGATGAAAAAAATGAAACTAGCGACTCCATAGCCATTTTGTGAAAGCCGAAAAGTAATATAAGATGCTTTTATATATACATTGGTGGAAAGTTTGGCTCGTTGGCAGCAGGCAGCCTCGTGTGTTAGAGTGAAATATTTAGTAACGTTTTACCTGGTTATATCCTCAACAGTGACCGTGTAACGATCGTTTAATATATTTTTTATTTAAAAATAAATTAAAAAAAATAAACAATACTTTTTGAAGTAAAAGTAGTAGAAGTTAAAAGACTGAACTAAAAAGATAGAAAGATGGGTGAAGATTTTAATGGTGGTAAGTTGATAAAAACAATATAAAATTAGCGTTGCGACGCCGCATATTCGGCCATTCACTGCAATGGAGTCTGTAATTTAATTTAATATAACATCTGAATTTATTGAGGAAATTGTCAATTATTACCGCGTTGATTAAATTTAATTTCTAAATATAAAATTATATTTTAGCATTTTTGTAATTTTCAATATGGACACTAATTACTATAACTTAATGATGTTCATAATTGTAATTAGTGAATGAAAATTCGTTTACAGACAGAGATCGTCAGGATCGCGATAAAGACAGATCACGTGAACGAGAACGGGATCGTGATCGTGAGAGGAGGCACAAATCAAGGAGCCGTGATCGCAGAAAGCGGTCCAGGTCACGTTCCAAGGATCGCAGAGAAAGAAAACGCAGCAATTCGCCGAAAAAAAATCGCAGTTCTCGCAGAAGAAAACCTTCGCTTTACTGGGATGTACCACCACCTGGTTTTGAACACATCACACCTCTTCAGGTACATTAAATTCATTTTTTAATATTTAAAAATTTATAATTTTATAGCTAAATTTTAATTATTTGAATTAGTACAAGGCGATGCAGGCAGCTGGACAGATACCTGCTAATATCGTAGCAGACACGCCGCAAGCAGCTGTACCCGTTGTTGGAAGCACAATAACCCGACAAGCAAGACGTCTCTACGTTGGTAACATTCCTTTCGGTGTTACTGAGGAAGAAATGATGGAGTTTTTCAACCAACAAATGCACCTTTCTGGTTTGGCCCAAGCTGCTGGTAATCCAGTATTAGCTTGTCAAATTAATTTAGATAAGAATTTTGCTTTTCTTGAGGTAAAATCCCTTTTTAATTTATTTACTTTAATTGCACGCCTTATAACCGAAGCGTTGAGGTAGTGCTCTACTCTCGACATTTCAAAAAAAAAGCATTTTTCTCGAAACTGAAATTGATTTTTTTTATTTATATCGCACTTACAGGTTAATCTGAGTGTACTAATATCAAGACAAATAATTTGTCAGGCATTTAATCAATTTTATTGGTAAAAAATGAGATTATGAGGCGTGCACTTTTGGATTTTCCAAAATTTTTATCATTACAATTTAGCATAATAATTGTTTAATTTAAAATTTTAGTTCCGTTCAATCGATGAAACCACTCAAGCAATGGCTTTCGACGGGATTAATTTTAAAGGACAGAGTTTAAAAATAAGGCGACCACATGATTACCAACCAATGCCAGGAATGACTGATAATCCTAGCATGAACGTACCAGGTACGGTTCCGGGTATGTGTCACACATACTTTTGTTTTATTATTATTATTTATATTATAATTATTCGATAGAAATAATTATAATATAGACACTAACAGATTTGTATGAGGGTTGTTTATTAATAATTTTTCATTAGAGTTGTTGATGTTTTCAGATTCCCCGCACAAGATATTCATCGGTGGGTTACCCAACTACTTGAACGAGGAGCAGGTATGCAAGGCAATATATTTTTTATCACTCCCATTTAATCCCAACCAATTATTCAGACTCATTGTCCGCTTTCATTTATTTACGCGGATTATAATTCAATCCGCGTAATTATATCAGGACATTCAAAATTACAATCCAGGGAGTCTGATAAATTTTTTTTATTTTATTTTTTTTTTTTTTTTTTTTTTAAATTAAAATAGTAAACGTCAAAAGGTATGTATGGTCACGGTCTCCTTCCGCATTGAATAGGGCATGCGGTGTTTAAAAGATTAGGATTCAAACGGAGTTTTTTCGCATGCTCGAGCGTTTGTCGGATCGTTAGCTCAGGTTACGAGTTATTAGAATATATTTATTAAATTGACGATCGTTAGAGACGTTACAGGCTTTTAGGTGGCAGAGAGCAGTATCGTGGTCTTTTTTCTTTCTCTCTTATTTTCTTTTGCAGCCTTTTTAGGCGCAGATTGGAGTAAGCAGTCCTTTCATCCCGACATCCCCGACACCCGGATATTTTTTTATCTAAAACACAGTTCAAAAAAAAAAAATTCAAGTTTAGGTTTTACGGGAGAAAGACACGAGTTTTTTTTGTTTTTTTTTTTTGTCTTTTTTTTTTTTTTTTAATTTAATTTCAGGGTTACAGCAACTTGTATTTTTTTTTAGGTCAGAAAATAATTAAATTCACTCAAATAAATTACTACGATAAAAATACGTTAAATTTTTTCCTTGCAGCTATTTATTTTCAGGCTTGACTACGGAAAAAAAAAAAGTTACTAAAAGTTTAAAATTTCAATAAAAAAAAAAAAATTTTCAGGAAATACCGCGTTTTTTCAGATTTTCAGACAATCCAAGTCCGAGGAAAAGTAAATTTTATCTAAATGAATTTTGTTTAAAGTGTCTAAAAAAAAAAGAAAGAAAATAAAAATAACAGTGAAAAAAAAAGATGTGGACTGATATCAGTGCCCTTTCTCCCTTATTTTTCTTAGCTTAGGGTCGCGCCGATCAAAAGCATTCGCTTACTTCTACCACTACTACTACTACTACCACTACTACCGAACATGACAAATTACCACACTACTGCTCGGAGAGAATGGCTAAGCCCGGCTTTTCGAGGCAAGTACCTGTCCACAATCTCTAATCTCTCTTTTTCTTTTTCTCTCTCTCTCTCTCGATCACATCAATTAAATAATTATCAAGCTTTTAATATCAAAAAAATCAAAAATCCTGATAATTACAACAAATTAGAATCGTTTAATAAAAAGAGAGAAGGATAAAAGTCCGTTGCTTATACCGTGATTGCAATTTCATTTAATCGATTATTAATTATATTTAAAAATCTATTAGTGTCCTGATGGTAATTGTCAAACTAATTTACCGGGTATTAAATTATTTTAAATTGACACGTTGTAGGCAACGTGCTGTTATTCTTATTAGAAATCGCTTAAAGAAAATGATTGTAAAAATTAGCTATTAAATCCCTAGAGAGAGAGGTAAAGATACGGTGATTACAGTGTCGGTAAGTATTTGGTAATGAAGAAGAAATGAAAAGATGAGACTTGTAATCAAGAACGGATTATTGTGAAGGGATTGTTTTAAATAATGAATAATTATAATTTCCAATTAGTCAACCGTTAGGTGGAAACCCGATAGAATTATTAATGTTATTTTTATATACAGGTGAAGGAACTGCTGATGAGTTTTGGTCAACTGAGGGCATTCAACCTGGTGAAAGATTCGGCGACGGGATTGTCCAAAGGCTACGCGTTCTGCGAGTACGTTGATGTGTCTATGACAGACCAGGCTATTGCTGGACTTAATGGAATGCAGTTGGGAGACAAAAAATTGATCGTCCAACGGGCTAGTGTCGGCGCTAAGAACCCGATGATTGGCACTCAGGCACCTGTTCAGATTCAAGTACCTGGTTTATCCATGGTGGGAACTAGTGGACCTCCTACGGAAGTAAGTTTTATTTATTATTTTATTTTTTTTTTTTAATTAAAAAAAAAATTTATTAAAGTTATTGTACAAATTAAAATGTTTTTAATAATATTTTTTTTTCTTCTAAAGGTATTGTGTCTACTGAATATGGTAACACCAGAAGAATTAATGGAGGAAGAAGAATATGAAGATATTCTTGAAGATATTAAAGAAGAGTGTACTAAATACGGTGTTGTAAGATCAGTCGAAATACCTAGACCGATTGAAGGTGTTGATGTCCCTGGATGTGGAAAGGTAAATATATTATTTATATTGATAATCAATACTGAATTGAATATTAAATCAATGTAATTTTGTCATGACAGGTATTCGTGGAATTCAACAGTGTTATTGATTGCCAAAAAGCTCAACAAACATTGACCGGACGTAAATTTAACAATCGCGTTGTTGTAACGTCCTACTTTGATCCCGATAAGTATCATCGACGTGAATTTTAAACTTATCAAGATATAAATGACAACAGTATATTGATAATACAATAATAATAAATAAATAATCTAAAATATTTAGATGTAATTGTAAAGTATAAGTGATTTATTTCGTTACAGTGATTGTCTAAAATATCATCAGACCTTTTTTAAGATTTACTTTGTCGGTCATGCGATATTAATTTAATTATTAATTAGATTTATTAAGACAATTTTGTCTTATATAGTATCAATAAGCATTATTTCACTATTTAAAATAATTCTTTGTACAAATCAATTGATTTTGTTTATTAATGAATTTTTAGTTTTGAATTTAATAATAATATTTAAAAAAAAATAACAAAAAATTTTTCCATTTATAAATTAATGATTTTAATTATTAACTATACATCATCTTGAATAGCTGGATGATAAGAATTTGTTGTTCCATCGTCAGAACTGTCGACAACTATTTTTTTAAGCGCCACATAGAGTCCACCGCCTACTGTTAACATCGCTAAGCCAGTTAAGACCACAATTGACCACGCTGGTATAGCAAGACCACCTTTAAAAATTTAATTAGTTATAAATTAAATATTTAATACTTTAAAATAAATTATTTAGAGTTCTTACGGTAATATTGACGCGTAATTGTTTTTCTTCCACGTAAAATTTTACGACGAGCCTCGACTTGGTTTATAAAACAGCCTAGTATCACTAAAAAATTTTAAATATTAATTTAACAAAAATTAATTGAGTATAGAAAATAATAATATAAATTTACTTACAAAATCCGATGGCTAGATAGATAAGTAAATTTTTTTTAAACATTTTTTTTTGTGTAAAATTAGTTTTAAGTGAGCTGAGAGGAAACTGGTTGGAGAATGATTCAGGAAGATAAGGTTTGATAACAGGTGAACCACGTTATCTTGATGACACATAGAGATAACAACTCTCACTCTTATGGATGCTAGAAATCAAACCGGATACTCTAAATGGGTGAAAAAATATATTAAATGATTTTTTTTAATCGACAAAAGATTTTTTATTTAACTGAGGAAACGGGATTACAGTCTATTAAAATGAATCAATCCCTATTAAATTATATATATCTTTCTTACATAAAGCTTTAATGGGCGTTGATCTTTATTCTTAACTTTCTTAGTTTTCAATTGCACATTTAATTATTTACCAATAATTATTATTATTAGATATCAATAGAATTGGCAAAATAAAATTACAGCGACAAAATATAGCATAGGTTTAATAAATTTAACACTTTTAAATATAATATAAGTATAAATAGCTGGCACAGAGTGTTTAAAGGCATCCCAAAAATCACATTCCATCAGTCCTCAACAGAAAAATTTTAACAAAGACATAAGTGATAATTCCTAATTTATTATTTCAATAAGCAGTATGATTCTTTCGTGACAATTTTCTATCTACTCAGCACCACATTCGCTTATTATTTAAACATCAAACCCTATATATTAATTGTGCATATAAATTATTTAAAAAAAAAATACTTTTTTTAATAAAGAAATAATACTGAATATTTTTTATTTTAGTGTTTAATTGATTTTATTTTTTAAATTAAGAAAAAATGCAAGCAATTAAAATTTTTTTTTTTCATTAAAATTTATGAAATTATTTTATAGAATTTTTAAATGAATAAAAAAAAATCTTGAATATTAATAAAAAAAAAGTATTACACCACCCGTTGACTTTATACGCAAAATTTTTGCAAATCTTTCATTTTTTAAATATTAATAGCTATTATTTAATTGTTTGTTTTTAATTACTTATCCATTTGTTATCTTAAAACACTTTACAAATATTTTAACGTATACACGTGTAATTAATAAATATAATTTAATACTTTAATAATTACAGTCTAAAGCTATGCACTAAGCACTCTATAAACTCCACAGTATAATTTAATTTTAAATAAAGAATTATTTAAAATTCTTAATATCCCTTCGTTTTATCAATTGGATGGCATGTAATTTAATGACTTCGGTGTATTGACGGTGTTACAATTATTACAGTAAATAAATAAATTATTTAATAAAAGAAAAAAATAATATAAATAAATAAATAATAATACAATCGTAAATATTCCTATAAAGACGTGAATTATTGCATCTTTCGTTTCCTCTTTAGAGTTATTAACATTTTATTTATTATTTTTAAATTATTTAAAATGTTATCACCAAGATTTGCGCCCTCAGGCATCAAACGTATTGCTAAAAGTTATTAATTACTTGTTTTATGTTTCTATAATTACCTCTTCATATAGATTTATATTCCTCAATTTGATAACTAATTATCACTAAAAAGCTTTGCGAATTTTTATTTTATTATCACTCTAAAAACTTTAAGGCTACCAAATTTAATTTTATGCGCAAACTTTTCTACTCAAGTGTGCAATTAGTCTCTCTTATTACAATTAAAGTCAACGGCTCAGCTATTGAGATTTTAGAAAAAAAAAAAAAGGAGAGAGAGAGATTTAACTAATTATAATATTTATTTAAATTCACACAATTGTGAACATTAAAAATATTTAATACTTTAGCTCTCTCATTTAATAATTTATTAAATAATTATTTGCTTATTTATTATTTTTTATTGTTATTTTGGTTAATTATTACCGAATAGCCGCGCAATTTTTGTATTCTAAATAATTGAAATTACCTTGTGGCTAGCTGGAATTTTTATCCGTAATATCTTTTTTCGTTTCACTTATGCTAACGTACTCAGTACTTGTAGTTATTATATTATTTATTGTATCTTTGGTCTCGCTGGCGCATTTTGACGAATTTCCACCCGATTTGGTATTATTCTCTTGAATATTTTCGGTTGTTACTAATTTAGTACTACTGAGTATTCCTTCCTTAATTAAAGCTTGTTTAAATGTTGCTAGAGTTTTTCTTAATGTTATACAAAATCCTTTTGACGCTGGTACTAATGGAAATTCCGGTAGAATTTTATTATCTATAAAAAAAAAAGTTAATAAGATTAATTAGTAAAATAATAAAATTTTCCTCGAGAAATATTACTTGTAAGATTTTTTTTTTTTTGATTTTTATAAAAAAAATTTTGGAGGTTTGCTCCAGTAAATTTTATTTTAAAATATTTTTTTTTTTTGTTTATAAAAAACAATAAAAAATTTTTAAACTTGATTTTAACTTTTTTAAAAAAAAATTACTTAAATAATTAAATAATTAAAAAAATTGAAATAAAAAAAAAATAAATAAGTAAAATAATAAAAAAAATGAAATAAAATTACTATAATTAAAAAATAAAATTTACCTATTTGTGCAAAGTCTTTAAAAGTAGTAGGAGTAAGTGGAGACAAAGGATGTTGATTGTTATGTTGTTCAGAAATTTCCATCCAAATATCAAGTCGTTCAAGCAATTTTTCAGCATTTTTCGTAAAATGTTCAATAATGGCATCTTTAAAAACCGACGGTGGATGTTGAAGTAATTTTGTTTGCGATTGAACAAGTTTGAGTACCACCATTTCATTGTACATACGAGAGTTCTCGCGACCTTGCTGTGAGCCCTTCTGCTTTTCAAAGCCAGCTTCATTAAAGTACGGCTCGGAGACAAGTATCAATCCCTGAATGGACACAATTACTTGAAGAAGTGTCGAAGAGCTGGTCCAGACTTCAGTTCCACGGCCAGCCCAAGTGCCCAGTAGACTAACGCAAACTTTACCGTCTTCATAGAGATTCGGATTCAGTCGATCGCTACAGTAAGAGATATAGTGACAGAGCGGCGGTGCTGTTGGGTAATCAGCAGATAATTGAAAGTCAAATAAAAATAAACCGTCCTCGTAGGGAGTTTTTTCCGGACCCCGGAACATGACACTGTATAAATCTATCCGGTCTTCAAAACCTTTGACCCAGATGCCGGGTGGCAAAGAGCTGCGCAACAGCTTCAATTCTTTAGAAACAGTACGGAAAAAATTAGCTGGATCCGTTGGCTGGAACATTGTTAGCTTAAACTTGTGGCTATCTGGAGCGTTTTCTTCTATCGTGAATCCCTCGCCATCAGAATAAACCAGTGGTGGAATTTCAACATCCGATGATGAACAATCCAGAGCAATTGCTTCAACTTTTTTTTCTTCTTCTTTAGCTTTATCTTGTTTTAGCGGTGAGCCATTTTTAGCCGCGTCGGACAGTGACATGCGAGCTAGACCGAATCTCTTGGAGACTTCGGCGTGAGCTAACAACAATTGAGCTTTTATCAATGTACATAATTTAACGCAGACATGAGAGTTGGCAATATGACTATTTGAAAATGTCTCGCGAGGTTTTTGTCCATTCTCATCAATACTTAAATCTCCTGGAGCTGGTGAGCGATCATCGAGAGGAAATTCACCGCTAGATTCACTGGAGCCGGACTCTTTTTTAGAATGCTCCGCTGAAAAAAGTCCCGAGTCTTCAGTCGGATGAGGATTGCCAGTAGAATTCCCAGCGCAGGCTTCAACCGTGTCGCGTATGGTCGTCGCAATTTTCTCCAATGCACCCGCAGTATTTTCAATATTATCCCCGTCCTCTGACTCTGATCCACCCGACTGATGAGTAAATAGTCTAGTGACTTGATCAGCCATCCTCTGGGCCACATTGGCACGGCCGCGTTCTCTCACGCGCTCCAACAGTCCCTGAAAATTACTCTCATGGAAGAAGGAAGTTCCCATTAATTTATCCATGTACCGACAGTCTTTGTAAACCTCCAACAATTTCCGCATGACTTCAGTAGTCTGCAGAGCTGGATTCTGGGTGAAAATTTCTTCCAATCTCGACATTGCGATCCTGGCTTTCTCAATATGTGCAGCTAGCTTAGGTTTTATATTCTCCGTTTGCTCAGTCCCGTCATTGTCTGCAATAAAACAATCCTCCAGCTCGGTTTCCCAAGAAGCGTCTGAAGAAACTTCATCCCAAAGTTCGCGTTCATCGCTGTCGTACTCTCCTACTTTGTACAAGTCCTGCGGCCAGCACATACTCACGTGACCGTCGACCCACCAAACTTTAACAGACCCCTCAGGATAGTTATCTAACACCTGTCCAGCAGTACAGCCAGCGTCCTCGCCTTCAAAATTAGCAATTCGTATTACCAAAGTTCCCGGACGGTACTGAAAATCTGGATGATCTTTCAGATCATAAACCGAAACTTCTCGCTCCTCTAGAAGAGTCGGCTGAGGCGATTGACTAGACGTGTAGGTACGGAACCACTTTATCTTGGCTGTCCGTCCTTGATGGTCGACACTCTGCACCACTCCATACATGCGAGACTCTTCTTTCTGATCGACAACAAAGTCCCCTGGAAAAAATTCCTTGTCATCAAGATGATGGATCGGATAAAGTTGAGTAGAAGGGATCCCCAATTCCACGGAGCCGTCTTGCCAGACAACGTTGGCTTTAGTATTAGTCGACAGTGTCTCTACAACAATAGTTGACCCAGGAACCAAAGGCGCCGGAGGTATCCTCTTTTTGGCCTTGACTAGCTTTTTTTTCTTCAGTACTTTGGTCATCAGCGCCGGGCCTTTCTTTTTTTTCCCCATTGAAGAAAGACTAGAAGCTCCGCTGGACATCGACGCAGTATCACTCTGACTTCCTGTGTCTTCAGTGTCCCAATCATCAGAACTCTCAGTATTGCCTCCTTGATTATGATTAGGAGGCATTAAATTATTCCCATTTTGTACACTGGAGTCCCGTGAATTTTTATTTTCTAAATCTTTCTTTAGCTTATCCTCAAATTTGGCTCTTGACTTTCTCGGACTAGGTTTCGGAACCTGAAAGACTTCGCGCTGGTGCTTGCGCCACTGCTCGCGAGTTATCACATTTTCAGTTCCTTTGTAGACATAGAAATCTCGATCCCCTACCTGAAGGGTTGAAGGCTCAAAGACATTGAGCAACTTGAGCTTTTTTAAATCCGCACCCTCGACTAAAAATTTCGGCTGGGCCTGATCCGACCACGCGCCGTCTTTGGAGTACGCGCGACACTGCCAGTGCACGCCGACCCAGTCAGCCTTTACTTCTTGCACAATTATCTTAGTTTTCTTTTGAGGTTTAAATTTACGTTTTGATAGCATCTCCTTGGAACACTGGATCCACTCGGCGTCTTCTAGACACTGGATCGGTCCCCACAGACATTGTCCGGGATAAAACTCTGACGAATGAGGAAAATCGTTGTCATGGTCGCGCTTTTCTTCAAAGTGAGCCAGTCCTTGAGCATCCATTTCATTTATCACACATTGAGAACCGTCTGGGGTCGCTAACCAGAGCTTGAAGTGGACCATTCTGATTCCTCCGACCCAGGAATCCATGCAGACTGCAATATCCGTGCCGAATTCCTAGATTTAAGTTAATTAAAATTATTAAAATTAAAAAAAAAAATAATTTTTTTTTACTTTTAAAATAATGGCACTGAAATCAGCTGACATGATAATTTTTTTATTTTTATTTAAAAATAAACTAGACATAGAAAATTTTTTTTAAAAATTGCATTTATAATTTTTTCAAGCTTCTAAAAATTATCAGATGTCTCTCCATTTCAGTATCATAATTTTCCACTAAAATACTCACTTCAAGTGGCGTTAAATTTTCGCTTTTGATGTTAGTCAATACTTGCTTGGTCCCAATTACCTGAACACAAGCTGTGAGCTCAATGTCACGGCAATAACCTCTCTGGGTATCTTTACCTTTGATCATACGTCGCACTACGTCTCCAGGCATCAATGACCTGTCTGCTAGATGAACCTAAACCATCAATAGATAATTAGAGACATAAAAAAAAAATAATAAATTATTTATTGTGACTTAACAGCTGACCTTTTTTGAATTAATGAGCTCTTTAACTCCAGAAGGATGCCAGACAACACGTATTTCACCTTTCTTACGTTTAGGACCACCTTCACTGTCCTCACTCTCGTCAGACATATCTTGGTCGTCATTCTCCATCACAATACCGAATTCAACGTTGCCTTTTTTGTCAACTCTGTACACTATATCCTCGTGAAAATATTGCGACTCAGTGATGCCATTATTTGTTGCCATTTTTTTGTAATATTTATTTTAAAAAACAGCTTGTGCGGATTACACCTTACGAAGTGAATTGAAAAAAAAAAAAAATTAATTTTGTACTTGATAATTTTTATTTTATTTTTGTGTTTATAGTTTTATTTTAATGTTATTTAATAATTGTTCTTAAATACCTGGGTATGTTTTTATATTTAATTATTTGGGATTGACAAGACTTTAGACTACACTGGAATAATTTTTTTTTCATCTGCCGACGACGACGACGTCGATGGATGAAATAAAACGAGAGGTTAGTGTTGACTTTCTGCGCAAATGTCAAACTATAAAACACCCGGGAAAATTTGAAATAATGAAAGTAAATTTAAATATCAAAAAATATTAATTTATTTTTATACTTTTTTTTTTTAATTAAACATTTTTGAGAGTGAAAACTTGATAATTTTATAACTTAATCAGAATGTCAATTGTTTAGATATTTTATGTAAATAAATAGGTTAAAATAAAATAATAATAACAATAATTTATGTTTATTTTTATTTACTAAGAAATAAATTAATAACAATTCTTTGGTGTTGTTCTTTGGTATTGACAATCAATTTATATTGATATGGTGTTAGATTTAATTAGTAAAATTTAAGAGATAAATTCATTTATTTTATTTGTATTTAAAATTTAAAATTTCTTTAAACTGCATAATGTGTACGATGAAAACCTTGAGCTAAACTTTGAAGAATAGTTTGAACTTCATTAGAATTACGATGATGAAAAATATAAGCCGTAAATTTTTTTGATGAATTACAGTTTTTATCCCTGAAAAAAAAAAAAAAAAAAAAAAAAAAAAAAAATTATTGAACCAGTTTATAAAAATAATTAACTTATTTTAACATAAAAAAATATTATTTGTCAATAAATAAATTAAATTACCCTGCAATAAATGCAAAATAGTCTGGAATATTGGCAGTACGTCCACAAGATGAAATTTCCATATAAGATTGATTTAAAATTACCTATTAAGATTATTAATAATTAATTATAAAAAACATTTAAGCTTGATAAAGTAGCAAGTAATAAACTTACAGAATCATCTGATTCTTGTGTTACTTTGATACCTATTTCTAAGCACTCAAACTTAACATCAATAAATTTAATATCACCGCGCTTTATAAGTTTGTTAATAGCTTGCTCGATTTGCTTTACATCTCCAGCAGTGCCTGTTGAAACATTCCCACAGTACGCAACTCGGTACCCTGGGTTATCAGGATTTTTCTTGACTTCCACCACAGCTTTTTGTTCCAGACACTCAACTGGTTTTTGTGGCTTCAAAATAACTTTTAGACGATCGATTCCACAATTTTTTATCAGGGACGCAATCGGCCCATACAATTCGTTTGACTTGTAACGTTTCTAAAAATGTATTAAATTATAAAATAAAATCAAATTTTCTTTTAATTAATTAATTATAAAATACTAAATATACACGATAAATTACTTTTATAATATGCAAAGTTATAGGTTGACCAAATGACTTTTTTAATAATTTTCCTAATTTCCCTCGAGTATTTGTTGTGAGTACTTGGCTGTTTATTTCATCCAAAACATCGCCGACTTCAACTTTACCCTAAAACAAATATTTATTATCAATAAATTAATTTAATAAATAATTTTATTTCGATCATGCTTACGTCTTCTGCAGCTACTGAATTTTCTTGGACATTAACAACCAATGCTTTTCCTTTAGTAAAACTATAAATAAAAATATTAATTTTCTTTTTTTATAACGTGAAAATTTATAAATTAATAAATTGAAACTGAAGTAGCAGACAACAATTTTTAAATTTCTTTAGAAAAATAAACTAAGTCTAGAAAGTTATTTTAAAAAAATTGTATTTATAATTTTTTTAGAGCTTCTCAAGATGAAATTTTTAAAATAATTTTTTTGATGAAAAAATTCTAAAAATTATCAGATGTCTCTCAACTTTAGTATCATAATAATACATTATTTTTGATATTTAATTAAATTAAATTAAAAGCAGTATTTTACCAAACAGAAACTCCAAGAGTCTTACAAGGCACTAATTCAAAAGTAAGCAGCTCAGGCAGTTGCCAGGTGTCATCAAGAAATCTGGCATTCCGAATATTCAGACAAAACTGTAATCTGCTGATTTGTAATAAGACTGAAAGAAAAATTTCTCCAAGAATTTCATCACCAAGAATACTCATCGGTTCGTAATAATCTCGTGACACTCCAGGTTTTCTGACTAGCATCTGCACAGGCAAGTGGAAGCATTTTTTCATCAAACATATCCTAATAAATAGCCGCAATTTTCCAACAGGTGTTTGAATTTTTTCATTCTGTGAAACTGCTTCAAATGCCAGTGACAATGTCGGCAGATCACCTAGATGTCTTTCTATCAATTCTTCAATCCAGTCCCACACTTCTGATGATTTTGATAGACCAAAAGAGTTTAAATGATGTATAATACCCTGTTGCAAACATTTTTCTAAACATTCGCAGAATAATAATAAATCCGGACTCCTGTCAGTTATATCAGCATTTAATTCTGTCAATTTTCTCGTCCATCCTTAAAAATAATAATATTAAATTACAAATGATACTTAAGTTAGCTGACAACTGTCAATTTCTTTAATTTTTATAAAAAATCAATTACTATAAATAAAATGCTTTAAAAAATTTTCACTTATAATTTTTTATGATACTAAAATTAGCAGATATTTGATAATTTTTTGAATCAATAAAAATTATAAGTAAAAAAATATTTTTGAAAAATTGAACTTGGAGTTTTTCAAATATTCTACATGTCAAATTTTATATTTTAGTTTTTTTAAAAAAAAAATTTTTTTTATTGTCAACTTCAGTATCTTAATGATTAAAATTAATTTTTTCTTTAAAAAAAAATAATTTTTACATTATAAAAATAATCTTAACCTTAACAATTAAAATTTACCTTTCAAGTCTTTAATCAGTGGATCCGAGACCGTCATTTAATTGTTTATTTACTGAATACTTAATAAAATAATTTATAATTTATTGTATACAATAAATTATAAAGCACTAACATAATTAAATTAGCAAATAATATGATAAATATTTTTAAAACAAAATATTGACAGCTACAGTCGTTTTTGCACGAGAATGAATCTCGGGTTTGTTCGGGATTTTTACCCTATTTTATGTATTTATTCACTACGCATGCGTCAACAACCAGCAACTCGGAACACTTGTATTCCTCCACGAGCGGTAAATTTAAATAAGATTCATTACAACAGTCGCCATCTAAAGTAAGAGAAATTCTCAATACATTTCACCGGTGGTCTGAAAGAAATCACGGACTATTTTTCTCTTGGCGGAGTAAGAATTATTGAGTCCTGCTGTCAATTTTACGTGATAGAGGGAGAGAATTTCGAACAAATCCGAAGGTCTTTCTCTTCGCAGGACGACTATAATTGTATTGCGGTGGAATAAACGTCAGATTTACAATATAGGTTACGTACGCCTGAACCTTAAAAAAATAAAGTCAATCAAGCAGGGTTTGCATAGGAGTATATATTTAACAATTTGTAATTATAATTAAATTTAAAAAATGTTATCCATCTATCATAAAATTATTTAAATAAATTATAAAATATTAATTAATTATCAAAATAATAAAACAAAATGTGGACAATCAAAACACCATCTTTAAGAATTGACGTTGCTGATCTCAAATGTAAAAATGGTTGTGGATATTTTGGCAATGATGAATGGGAAGGATACTGCAGTAAGTGTCATCGTGAACATCTTCAAAAGAAACGAGCATTAAGAGAACGTCAAACACAAGCTCAACATCATGAAACGTATGTATTTAGTATCATATTAAAATTAAAATAAATATACTATTATTGCAATATAATATTTAATTGATTTTTAGAGAGACTACGTCTAAGTCAGGAACACACAGTGTCAACAAAGTGGAAGATAGAAAAAGGCAACAAGAAAAAAAAAATAAATTGCTCAATATTTCTGCGTTCTGGAAGCCACCAACAAAATGTACGTCAAAAGTTAATTATTTTTTATAATTCTAGGCATTTAATATTATTTATATATGATTCATCTGGTTATAGCCCAAGGTCACGAAGAATTATTAAGAGAACTTATTCATCATAATGAAGACTTGGATAAAGTCAAAGCTGAAAATCGGGATTTGATTATGTTGATTGCAAAAACGCCTGCTGAGAAAGATATTAAGAAATGTATTCATTCGTTAGTCAGTAATATTTTGCAAAATAGAAATGCTAAAAAAATTGAAGAGCTATCTGAAATAACTCAAAATTTTTATCAAGTATTTGCTAAACGTATGGAAAATAGTCCTAATTATGCAAACGTTGCTCCAGAAGTTAAAGAAAGGCTTTTAGATTATGTTGAGAGACACTCAATGACATTACTCTATCGAGTTCTATTCTGTCCTCCGTTTACAACTGACGAGGAAAAGGATTTAGCTATTCAAAAAAGGTTTGCTTATACCTATTTTTATGGATTTAAAATTATTTTAATTTATGAAAAAATTGATTAATGTTTTTTGATTTTATGAAATTTTTTATTAAAGGATAAGACAATTAAATTGGGTGAGTGGAAAAAATTTGGAGTGCAGGATACATGAGACAAGTCCAGAAGTTAGAGAGCTAGTTTATACGTCAATCACTGGTAAATAAACTTTTTAATTTAATTATAATATTTATACTTTATTGCTCAAATTTTTAATTTTAACTTTTTTTGCTTTGTTAATTTTTAGATCTCTTAAATATGGATTCAGTAAAAGCACCTCAAGAAAAACTTGCATGCGTTGTTAACTGCTGTAGTAACATTTTTCAATTGCTTCAACAGTCTGTCGGTGGCCCAGCATCAGCAGATGAATTCCTTCCGGCCCTTATTTTTATTGTATTAAAAGCTAATCCTGCTAGATTGAAAAGTAATATTAATTTTATTACCAGATTTTGTAATGCTAGCCGACTAATGACTGGAGAAGGAGGTTATTACTTTACAAATTTGGTAATTTATTTTAAATAATCAAAAAAAAAAAAAAATTTTATATCTATTTTCAAGTTAACTAATGATAATTTTATTTACAGTGCTGTGCTGTTTCATTTATTGAAAATTTAACCGCTGAATCATTGAATATGACACAAAAAGATTTCAATGCTTATATGTCTGGTGAGCGAGTACCTGCCAATACGTGGGATTCAGCTTTAACTATTTGCGAGGTATGTGTAAATATTTATAATTTTCAATTATTATTTCTCTAATCAGGTCTAAATTTATTTCAACATGCGACGTTTCGTCAGTTTTATTCTGATATTATCGGGCACCTTAAAATTTTACTATATAAAAACACATAGTCCTTAATTTTAAAAAATTACCGCGTATGACATTTTTTAATACTATAAATTAGAGTCCGTAATAAATAAAACGAAACAAATCCATTCAAATATATTGAAAAACCTCATCAACAATATATGTTTAAAAAATTAATTTATTAGAATAAAACTGACAAAACGTCGCATGTTAAAATAAATGGAATAAAAAACATAACATCATTTTAATCTACAACATACTGATTTCAATTAATTATAATTTTTAATGAAAATTTTATGGATTTCATTTAATTAAACAAATATTTATTACAGAGCTTACACATGATGTGTGAAGACATTACTCTACTAGATGAGTTAAAAGCCAAAAATAATGAAATAGTGCGCGAAGCTTTAGAATTAAAAAATGAAATAATTGAATTTCATACGAGAATTAAAAAAGAAGTAAGTGATGCAATAGCCAATTCACCTTTAATTATCTCAAAAAGTCAACGAGTACCAACAAATATCGATTGTGATGATATGGAATGTTATAAATTACCACCACCAATAATTCCTCAGGTATAAATTTAATTCAACAAATAAATATTTTTTTTTGCAATTTGTAATTGCTAAAATTTACTTGCAGTGCATGACCAATGATGAGACGGATAGTTTAAGACATTCAAATGATTTGAAAAATACAATGGATGATTGTATAACACCATCACCAACATTTGATTTTCCACCATTTGTAGATTGTTGTTTGGATACAACAAAGCCTGATGATGATACAAGTCTTATCAGTCTAGATGTCCAATGTGATTTTTCAAGCAACGATAATGATCAAATGGATAAAACTTCAGATAAATTTATAGATAACTCACATGGGTTCGCATCAAACTTACCATCTCCATTAACACCCGTCAGTCTTATTGGTGAAGATTATCACGGGTTTACTCTTCAAGGTTCAACTATTCCAACAATTTCATGTAATACTGGTGATTTAGCTCATAATCCAAACGATCACGACACTGACAATTATTCAAACTATTTCCAAAATATTTAATTATTCTAGTTTCAAGTGCAATCACAGAAGCCAAAAAATTTTTAGCATTCGTTACATTTTTTGTTTTTTAAATAAATTATATCTATATTTAATAATTTCATGTACCATTTCAGGATAGAATTTAGAATAAATAATTATTATTTATTAGAAACTGAAAATTTTTTTATTTATAATCGTAAAACTTAAATAATATTTTATTATTAGTGCTTCACATTGTATACAAATTTTAATTAATAAACTTTATGAATAGTTGATAGATATTTTTCTGTCGAAAATTTTTAAAAATCCATTTGAAATAATTTCTACTTCTATAAATAACATAACTGTTTAATGTGCAATTAATTATGTAAAAATAAGTGTGTAGTATATAGAAAAATTATATAAAATAGTTTGGCACATTTTAAAACTATTTTTATTCTTAAAAATGAAATTAAAAAATAAACAATAAAATTCTTAATACGAGTTTACTTTTTAAATTTTGTCATGTTTGCCGCCAAATATTCATGTAATTTGATTGGGTCATTTCAAATTTGTGCTGCTTCACAGTTTGGTTAGTCTGTCATATATATATATATATATATATAATTATTTATGTTGTGTTTATAACCTCTCGAGTGCCGTTGTAATGTTTAATTTTATTTATAAATATGTCAATTACCAATGCAATCACCTCTGTTCATGTAGACAAACTAAGTAATATTCTTAATTTCATTACTAAATAATTATTTTATTTTATAATTTTTTTTTTCATGTATTTAAATTTTGTTTACCGGGTTGCGGTTGAGCATGTTAAAAAATTTATTTATTTTAATCTCAAATATTATAAAAAATATTTTACTGATGCGTTTATAAAATTTTAGATCACAACTTAGAAGAAATTCGATTAAGAGCTTTAGATAACATTATTGCAAAGCTTAATCATGGTTTTGGATGTGATTGCGATAGTGTAAAGAGAGAGTTGGTGTCAAAGCTTTTTAATTGGTTTACATTTGACACCATACCTCATCCAGATAAAGTTTTAAATTTAATTCACCAATTAATTACTGTAAGATTTTATTTTAATTACTTCAATTAATTTTTTTCTATATTTATTTTAATTAAATTCATGTGTATTTTTTTATTAGACTAATGTTATTAATCCGAGCATATTTGGTAAGCTGCGATTTCAAAATGAACTTGGGCAATTACGTAAAAGACTTGACTCAGCATGGCACGATAAACTATATGAAATCGAAGAAGCCGTTCTTCAACATGCGTCACCTGCATTGGAAACAATGGGCAACAATGATTTACGATCATCAGCCGGCGATATCACAAACAGGAAGACTGTTACGGAGAATAATATACAAAAAACAGATTGCAACATAAAGAATAATGAGTTTGTGAATCATGAATATGATAAAATTCAAGATAATTTTATTAATCATTCAACTGAATCTCTTAATGACACAATTCAGCTTGATTTAACAATACCTTCTGACACTGGTACTCCATTATCAAGGAAAACTGAACGAGCTATTCGGTGGTTGGTTATGCCCTGGCAACCTTTAGTATCTTCAGATCGAGGAGTATTATCAGCAATCGAAGAAGCATTAAATAACAGTGCAGACATTGGTCTTATAGTTCGCACTTGTGAATTTATTACTAATGTAATGCTTCAAGATTTTCCAGCGGAAGTATTCCTTCAACGACCATCCATAGTAACGATTCTTCAAAATCTTCTTGAGACATGTATTCAAGACCCGAAAGTAGATGCCTGTCATCTAATACCAGTGATTCTTCGAACATTTAATAAACTTACTCGTTCATTGAGATTCCGAATTTATTATTACTGCGATCCTAGTATTGCTAATCGCAGACAGAAAAATCTCAGTGGACAACTTGACTCTTCGTGCCAGTCATTGGAGGATAGAGAAAGCTCAGAAAGTGGCTTGCCAGAAGCTAATTACCAAGCTTATCAGTCTGCAGTGATGAGCGATCGGAGTCAGAGTGTAGCTGATAATGTTGATGAGTCAGTTCTTCAATTACAACAGATGTTAATTCCTAATTTCTGTATTCAAGTATTTACTTCTACTTTAAAACTTTTAACTATTTATGATGACTCACTAAGACCGCTCAAAGACATAAAAAATATTCTAGATTTAACCTGGGAGCTCGTACAATTATTAATATTAAGTGTAATGCCTAACATCTGGTTTTCTACTGATCAATTGTCTTTAAAAATTCACGAGAATCTTAAATTTATTATGAAACTTCTAGGTGATGTTTTAGAATACTGCAGAAGTTATAGCACCGCTGATCATTGGAGAATAACATATCTTAGATTGTTGTGTATTGTAACAAAACTTTTAAGTTCATTAGTACCATTAGAACTTGCTGAGTATATAATACCGAGTGCCTTAAAAACTGCTTTGTGTGTTGGAGTAATGGATGCACCAATTTATTTTATGTATCCTGATTTAAATATTATTTTACAAGAGTATACACGGCGATTTCAAGGTACTGTTGAAATCCAATACTTAAAACTCTTTGACGAAACGAGATTAATTACAAAATCAATGAAAGCTGCTATTTCAATATTGAAATTAAATTTTAATCATGATCATTTAACTATCGATACTTTAAGGACGATGTATTCATCAAAGTCATGTTTAATTTATCACAAAAATTTGTCAATTATAAAAAAATATATTTTTTTAATGCAAAATTTATATCATATGAAGCTTGATAAAGAAAACAAAACGATTGCAGTTAAACTTATATTATATTTACTTGCTAATGAAGATGAAGAAATACGGGTGAATACTTATGAAGAGTGTCACTGGCTTGTGTCATCAACTTTGGGAATTGAAACAGCACGAGGAAGATATAACTGGACTTCGGTAGCTTTTTTATTTGAACCTAGTTTACTTATAGAAATAATTTGTCATGGAGTAGCTGACGAAAAAACAAAGTCTTTAGCTGAAGATATTTTATTGTACATTCTAAAAGGAAAATTACAAATGGGCGATGGCTGGTTAGTATTTTTAGAAGCTTTAATTCAAGTACTTCCATTATTGCAATGTCTTGCAGAAATGAAATCTTCATTAGGTCAGTGTTTATCAAAAATGTTAGACCCAGACATTGCGACCAGCATTCAATTACCTTTCCTAGAAGTATTAAAAGGTAATGCAAGGTATCTGTTTTCCCGTGATGGTGCAATCAGAGAAGAAGCAGCTTGTCGATTAATTTATTTGCTGGGTACAGAAAAAAATTCATCGAACAAACTTCCTCAATTAGCTTCACTACACGGTCTGCCCCTAGGCTCTTTATTAATTGTTGATCGACAAGGAAGTTTGAAAAAAACTGAAGGAAGTTATCAACGAAGCAGCCTTTTGTCTGTTATAGAAATGTTAAAAAGTCCAAATGTTGAACCTAAAGTTCGTAAATCAGCACTTGTACAAATCAGCGTTATGCTTACTGACTCATCACTTCATAAATTATTTTTAAAGGAAAATGGATTAAAAATTATTTTAGATATTTTTGATAAAGCATTGATTGAAAAAGACTATGATAATTATCCGGATTCAGTAATTCCTATTTTGACAATATTAAAATTAATTTCATCAACTCAATGTACAGTACGCCATGAACTTTCAACTAATACTGACGTCTTTATAAATGTCATGCGAAGTTTATTTTTATTTCCAAATCATGAATGCGTAAAACTAGACGTATCTTATTTACTATTCATACTTTTATACAGTGAATTTATGATGCGTTTAAATAATAACGATGGATCTAATTTAAATTATTCATTGCCTTATATGGTAATAGCAAAAATGCATTCTCCAATTATTAGTAAGACCCACTGGAAATCAAGTATTCACAGAAAATCAGATACATCTCTTCTTTATTCAAGCAACTCACTTGCATTGACATTTATTAGACAATATTGGGCATGGGAATGGAATAATGGAACAGAAATGCTATGGACACCATGGTCAAATCTTAATGATTCAGGAATACTCAGTAACTTGATGATAAAAGAACCTGAATTAGCTTTATTAAAATATTCATCAATCCGTTATTATTGTTCACAACAATTAATCAATATAAAAAATTCTTCAGCACACGAAGAAGTAATGTATGCTATTGATTATCTTTGGATGTATATTAGACTATGTTCATGCCTTCAATTTATGCATATAAGAGAATTAACGTCATTGCCTTGGGAATCAACTTTCGAGCGCTTTCTTTTATCACATCCAATGAGTAAAGAAGACTGTGATTTATTTGTTGACGTACTAAACTTTCTCTACATTCATATCAATGTCACTCATGACCCAGAGGTAATCGGATGGCTGTCTAAAACATTAAAAAATATAACCAAATCATTAGCAGATCTTCTACAGAGTCTTGATACACACAATCAAGACGTTCATCAATCAGTATTGAAGCTTGTGCGATCCTGCTCAAGCCTAGAAAAACTTCAACAACCACAAGACTTATCCTCAGATATGTGGAATGATTATATTGAACTTGTTATTACTAATTTGTGCTCGAGTGACCAGCAACATTTTTACAATCTCGTTTATTTAGATTGGCTATTAACGTGTTTGACGTATTTAACAAGTAAATCTCACTATAATTGTAGCACAGATTTATTATTATCTTCAGGTGATGCATTAATTGAATTAATAATATCTTTTCACGGTAATGGAGCAATCAGTTTTATGGGCTTATCAATAACAAGAAATTCAATTATTTGTTTAAATCATTTACTTCATCATATGCAAGCAAGTTTATCCAAAATAAATTGGACAAATTATTGGTTTGGAGAAGGTAAAACTTTGAGTTGGCTTCCAACTCTTTGGAAAAATCGTGATCCGTTGGTTCGCGCATCGGCATTACAACTTCTTGCAGGATTAGTTAAAGCGCCACATATTGCTCAGCAGCTTCTTAATGGACTTGCAATGGCACCGAGTGAGTTATGCCAAACGCTATTAAAATTCATAATAAATCATGAAGAATCCAGTATTGTGAGAGAATATGCGTGTATTATAATGAGCAATTTAATTAAAAATAGTGCAAATTCATCATTTAAGTACATAGATTCTCTACGATCTAATGTTATTCTCATTTACATTGAACAAATGAATGTTTATTATGAGATTAGTTTACTTTGTAGTAATATTTATTTACCAATGACACTCGATTCTGAATTAATAGACGACGGCGATGATGATTATGATAATGACAATAATAATAAACATGATAATGATAGTGAAGCATCAACAAAAATATTATTATTCCCAAGGAGTGTCCTTCAATTTTACAATTGTCACGATGAATTGTTGATGTTATCTGTTAAAGACTCAATCGGTGATAATTTTCCGCAATTTTTATCTACACCTTCACTCATAACATCCGTTTGTACATTCCTGAATAATTTAATAAACGTGGGTGAACGTGATGTTATTAATAAAATATACGAACACTCGTTGGATAAATATTTACTTGGGTGTTTTGGATCTATTCCAAAGATAAATAAAATGAAAAAATACAAAAGCATTCGTCAATGTTATGATATTATCGAAATGTATATAAATATTTGTATTTTATTAACCAATTGTGTTAAAAGTTGTAATAATTTTGCAACAGTTGTTAATTTTTCACCAGATTTTTTGTATTTACTATTTAATTATTTAGATAAAAATAATTTAAATCAAGATAATTCAAAGCTTGTTGACTTACATAATAAATTATCAACACAAGTTTTTAATTTTTTAAGTATACTCTCGCTTACAGAAAATCAACATGTAGAATCGTTACGAACTGCTATTGAAATTGCTGCTCCAGAAATGGTTATAAAATCTATATGTAACGCGATAAATCATTCGGATGTTGAATTACGTATGAGCGGAGTCGCTTGTCTTGCCTTCTTACTTTCACAAGAAATAGCAAGAGAGGATCAAATAAAATGTGGTATTCCGTCATTAGGAGCAGTATTGGATTCTACCTTTACACATACTATTAATCATCAAACAGATAGTAATTTACGAGAGGTTTTATCGGATGTTAACAAACTCGCGTTAAAGACCTCGAGCAAACATTCAAAAACATTTTACAACAGTGATGACGGTGGATGTACTGATTCAAATGAATCCCAAAAATGTATTCCGATTGGATCAGAACTTTGTAAAAGTCTCATACATCTTCTAATTGCTCATAATTATGCTAAGTCTAATACAAACACCAAAAGAGCTAGAGACAAGGATTTAATTATTGCTGCATTGTCAAACCTTCTATGTGTTTCTGATAAAGCTAAAAATACTGCTTTAGAGGATAATTTAGCTGGAACTTGCATATTAATTCTTAAAGAACTTTATTATGAGCTTAATCTTCATCCTCATCATGTTCATCGAACTCAGCTGGAACGCGATAAACGAGTAAGTTAAAAAAATTAATTTTTTTTTTAACCATTTTGATGTTGGAGAATCTGATAATAATAATAATAATAATAATAATAATAATAATAATAATAATAATAATAATAATTAGTTTGTTCCTATATAGAAGGTGAATTGGAATTTTTTCTATTATTTAGAGTGATTCATTCATTTCGAATGAGTATTTACCAAATTAATTACACAGAAGAAAAAACTTCTTGCACCAAGAAAATTTTAAGTAAGACAAAAGTTATTTTGGAGCAAGAAGAAATTTTTTTGGCTCAAGAAACTTTGACTTAATTCAAGAAATTTTCAATCTTCCTTAATATTTTCTTGAGCCAAGAAAATTCATCCTCCACTCAAGAATTTTTTTTTTAGTGTAACTTCAATAGAACTTTGAGTGGAGAATTTTCTCTAAAAAATCAACACGTTAATATTTTCAATCAAAATAAAATCTAATCGTAATAATTATAATTATGATTTACAGTACTATGTTAAATAACATAACTTGTGTAAATAGTGATGCAAATTTTTTTACTGTGCAGAATGTTTAATCTATTTAACCATTAAACAAATGTTTGCTAAATATTTTGCTCATACAGATCAAACACTTCTTTGCCTTGGTGTCATTTTATAAATTAAATATAAATAAAAATTTAATATTCTTAGAAGGGAATTGATAAGTTGTTTAAAATATATTGTAATAAATTTTTGTATACTTGAGCGTATCCTCACGTACAAAACATGAAACTTTAAATAAAAATATATTTATACAACTTATTGAATGACACACGAAGGTCATAAATATTTTAATTAATTTTAAAATAAAAAGAAAATATCAATAATCAAATGTTTTATTTACAAATTGATTTAAAAGAAAAATAAGTTTGAATGAGATTTAATTATTTAATGGCTAAAAAAAGTAAATATTTATGTATTAATTAAACTAGTTGTATGAAAAATATAAAATCACGCGTTACTGTCTACGGTTTTAAATTTTAAATCAACAAATGAATAATAATTTATTTTTTATATTTTTAGCTTCAACCACTATTAAATGACGTAAATCGAGTGGTGACACTGCTAATGAATTTTGCACACAATAATGAAACTGTTAAATGCACATTGAGTAAATTAGGCCTTGCCGATATATTACACAAATTGTGGGCGTGGATTTCACTCAACGATTCAACGCTTTTGTCGTCGTTAAAATTATTAGCTACATACACGACAAATTGTCCGGAAGGTAGTTATTTTATCAAAGTAGTACGCTATTTTATTATGATACATCCATGTCATTAACCGTTATTTTTTTTTTTTCTTCTATCACTCACTTTCAGCTGCACAATCGTTGACCCTTACAACTACTTTACCTGGTACAGGACCTAGAAAAACTCCAAATACAGTGTCATTAATCCATATTATTGTTCACTTAGTGTCTAAAGAAATTGATAAAGCTGGACAATCTTATAATAATCAACGATTACGATTTTCATTTCACGTACTCAAAAATGCTGTTCATGCTCACGATTGTCGTGTTTCCATTAGCAAAGTAATTCATTAAATATATTCGATTTATTATTTTTTATAAATAAATCATTATTATTTATTGAATATTTTTACTGAAAATAAAAAAAAAACCATTTTTTTTTTTTTTTTTTCAGAGTAATCTTCTTCAATTTTTAACTAAAATTCATCCATCAAGTACAAAACGAGCTAAGCCTTGGCCTTTAATTGAAATTTACTGTTTAGAATTTCTTGTAGATTTTACATTTTTCGAAGAAGGTCAAATTTCCGTATCAAAAGTGAGTAAACACTTCAAAATTAAAAAAAAAATATATAAAAAAATTATTTAAATTATACTTGAGTTTATTTATTTTAAAAATAAATTTTTTTTTTCAGGCAGTAGAGGGTCTGGAAGTTTTAATACAGTTATCGAGATGCAACACACCTGCAACGCGTATTTTAGCTCTATCAACATTACGTAACTTGTTATTCAATTTCTCAAACAGACCACGTATTCTTTGTTCAGGTAATTTTTCTTTTGATTTCAATTTCTTATCATCTCAAGAAAATATAATAATATTGTTAATAAAATTTTTATCAAGAATAACTTATCTTTGGACAATAAATTATATTATTATTCAATATTATTTCAGTGGAATTCATGAACCTTCTTCATACAGTATTTAAATCAGGGAGCTTATGTGAAATCGGAATAGCAGGCTCGATGTTGTGGTCTTTGATTGCAAATAGTCAAAAAGGAAAATTAATTGCAAGAAGTACTGGTCTACCTAATAGTATTCAAAAAGTGTTGGGTCGATTAACTCTTAAACCAGAAGAAAAAAATGACCAAGATTTAGTAAGAATGTTACAATATATAATAAGAGTCCTAAGCGCCTGGAGTGGTACTAATAACTAATTAATTAATATTTATTTTATTAACAAAGTAACTTATGATTATCGATAATAATAATAAATTTTAATTTGCAATCAATTTATTCTAAATATAAAAATTAATCTTGAAATTTAATCAACAGTCCAATTCGCTAATTGCTTAAAATTTATTATTTTAATTCTGATAAAATGATCTTGATAATAATCTCCAATAATGTGCAGTTTGGAACCGCTAATATTTAGACTTGAAATTTCAAAGCGTACAAAGAAAAAACAAACTTCTTGCGCCAAGAAAATTTTAAGGATAACAAAAGTTTTCAATCTTCCTTAATATTTTCTTGAGCCAAGAAAATTCACACTCCAGTCAAGAATTTTTTTTTCAGTGTAGCATGCTGAATAAATTAGTATAATTTTTACAATTTATCACAACTGTATGAGTAGGTAAATAGTTAACAAGCACGATTCTCGTATAATCAATTCTACGTGATCATTTAATGTCATGCAAAGAAAATTACAGTGAGGTTTCTTTAATTTTCCGTGTGATATTTAAATTCTCTCTATGATAGAAACAGTTGCCGAAAAATTCCGCTAACTGAACCGGATTATCAACGCTTAATCCTTCTGCATATTATCCGATGAAATGACTGAAAATCTACAGGGTGTGAAATTCTTTTATACACCGCCAAGTTCGTTCATACACACACGTATCGTAAATATAGTTAGAATGGCTTCCTAAGGGATCAAGACATGGAGATCTGATGAGAAAATAATTGATTTTCATAGCGAGAAGTTAAAAATAAAGTTATGATAGTACAATAAAATCAATGATGTGTCATCAATAAAATTATTTTTACAGGATCAAAAATTTTTTAAGAAAAAGTAGTTCTTAAAAAACAAGTCCGGTAAGGTCTAAAAATATATATCCTAGGATATATATTAAGCTTTTCCGATAAAAGTAATATTTAAAACGTTATCAGCAAAATAGTCGATAAAAAGCAAATAAAATGTGTTGATATCAAATGATTATTCATCACAGATTTACTCAAACGACTTTTTATACATAAAAGTCAATAAAGTCGAAGAAGAGTTGCGTTTAATTGAACAATCGTGGCTTTATAAATTCAGTTAATCAGTTGTGACCGCGTGCTTCATCATAAACTTGAGCACGTGCTTGAAGAAGTGTGTCTAGCTGTTTTTTCGTGTTTTGAAACTTTAATGTGGGGAATAAAATAAAAAACATAGAGAAAAAAAAATATGAATTGTTACTTTTCATACTTATCATGATAACAAGGGTTCAGTTAAAACGTGAGGATGAGCGCACCCGGAAGGCCTAGAAAATTTTTATTGAGGACATAGAGTACTCATCAATGAGTGTGTGGGTGATCTCCTTTCTCTGATACATTACCGATGTCTTTTATATTATTCATACTCAGATTTTTACCTCAATATTGTTATTTCTGACCCCTCTTCTTACTATACAAGGTAGTTTGTTAATACTTGTGAGTTGAGACTTTTTATATGTATATATATATATATCTAAAAAGAGAAAAAAAAAAGGTGGCGGTAAGTATTGGAGGAGAATATTGTGTTGGTGCTTGGTCGAGATCACGTGACGAATGCATTTACGTCAATGCTGACCTCCGAGTTGGTATCCGCGCATACCATACCACCGGGCGAGAATCGAGGGGCCCGTGTAATGTTAACTTTAAGCGTTGAGTTGAGCCTGGGAGAACGAGTGGCAACTAACCGCCACGTATTCTGCCACCAATCTCGGGGACATGAGAAATCTCTTATAAAGCCTGCAGGAAATATCAAACTTGTCATAATTTTTTTCATCTCGAGAGATAGCCATCCACTGTATGCAATTAACTTACAGTTTTTCTATAGATTTTTTACATACTTTTGAATTATTGAACAGAAGTTACATTGTATTAAAATTAAATTTTTTTTTTTTATTTGCAATTTAAATTCATGCTAGAAATTATCTAAATAATTTTATAAAAAATTTGTAATTCTTTTTAGAATATTTTTACTACAAAAAACCACTGAGGAAAATCCTGAGGAAAGTCCTATTGTTACTTCTCGTTACTCATCATTAACTATGAGCGTATCTATTTCATGACCAATTTGGAAAATCTAAACAATTAGCTTTTTTTTAAATCATAAGAATCTGTAGAGGATATTTTTTCATATACAAAATAATTTTAATTCATATTTTAATTTAAAAAAAATTTATACATTTATTTCTTGACCAATTACTGTTTGGAAAAATATTTTTTACCGAAAATATTTGGACTTGTAATTTGGAATGAAAAAGTTTACAGTGATAATTTTATAAATCTAATGGTTTAGAACGGCAAATATATAAAAACTTATTTTTTTAATTAATCTGATGATTAAAAAAAGACTTACAAATACAGACGCTCGTACGTATGAATACATAGTTTGCACTACTTATTAACAATTTACGTCAATAAATTTTTATCTAGTAGATAATTTAAAAATTAATATCTCAAGTACAATTGTACTAACAAAATTTCCAGAAATATCATAAAAATCGTTCCTATTTACCATTTTATTATTGAAAGATGTTAAATAAAAACTTGAACGAGTGTTTTAAATTAACGAAAAAAAGGAAAAAAAAAATTATAATACTGTTTACTTACCAATCGTCGTCATTTGCTATAACATAATACACACAAGAGAGTGGATTTAATGTATTATTAATTTGTCTGAGGCTTTTGATTTCAAATTAAATTATATTCGAAACGATACATCAAAAAAAGTGAAATAAAATGAAAGACAGACAAATCAAATACTCGATCCATGACGTAAATTGTCCCACTCTCTTTTAAATTAAATTCTTTAATTTTTTATTTCTCGCGGGACAAGTTTTCGCATTATGTAAAAATTAAATATCTTTATAAATCAGTGACACTTGATCATATCCAGTTTTAACAAAAATATAATTCGAATATATTAGTAATAAAATAAAAAATTACATTAAAATTAGCTGTCATTTGACAATCTTTTTATTTTTTTTTAACAAAAAAAATTTTTCCAAAAAATTATTTTTAAAAAATTGCATTTTTTACTTTTTAAAATTTCTACAATCAATTTTTTTTTTTTTTTATAAAATTTATGATACTAAAGTTAGCCGACGTTTTTAATTTTTTGATTTTTTTTTCATTTATTTAAATAGAACTAAAAAATATTTTTCAAAAATTGTACTTTTGGTTTTTCAAGTTTTTTACAAATGAAAATTTTTTTATAATAATTTTTTCAATAAAAAAAAAATTCTAAAAATTTGTAGATGTCGGCTAACTTAATTTTCATAATTACATTCTTACATTTTAGTTCTTTTTTTTTCGAATTTTTTTTTTTTATTGTAGCTTTAAGTTGATTTTAAAGAAAAGTTTTGGCTGAATTTAAGCTCGGTAGTATTTTTATTTAATTCGCAAAATTTTTACTGCCATAACAAGTGGCCAGGTCTAAATAAAAAAATTCTGCCGTTTTTTTTTAGAAGTGTGACGTACTTTCTGTTTGTATTTTTCTTTTTTTTTTTTAACTACCTTTAAATTTTGCCGGTGCTTTAAAAATGAACTAATTAGAGCTATTAAATTCTAGAAAAAAACAATTTTAAACATATTTATATTGTTTTTATCAATACACCAATTATTTATCGCATCCTCAATTATTACAGCGTTTGTTTGACGTCAGTTTGTTGATAACATCTATAATGTTCAATAAATACAACTTAAAGTTTTTAGATTTACGCTTACATGAAATTAAAGTATTAGTTAAATAATTGTTTATTATCAATTAATAATTCTGCTACGCACAAATAATTATTACTCATGAAGTAGAAAGAAGAAATTTTATTCTGATTACATTTTGCAGCTAATATTTATTTTCCATAAAGTAATGTTTGGTAAAAAATCATATTTTTAATCAGTTTTACTTTTATAAACTATGGGTTTATAAATAAAATTGAATTTAGAGCGATAATAAATATAAAAGTGATATTATATGAATCACAAGTACGTCAATGTGATAGCATTTGGAAATAATGATAATTTTAATATAACAGAAATTGATTTCAACAAATAGATATATTTCTTTGCAATTAAAAAAATGTTGAATTATTTTTCGTTTCATTCAATTTATTGATATCGACATAAAGTCATTAAAGTTTTTTTTAAGTTCTATAATTTAGGTTTTTAAAAAATATTTTTGAATGAAATTAATATTTTTACTTGTCATTCTCATTTGAATAAAAGAAAAGAACATTATAAATCTAATAAAAAATTTTATATAAATTTTTTTTGTACGTTTTTTAGATAAATATGAAATTAATAATGATACTAAAGTTAGCCGACATTTAAAATTTTTTTTTAATAATTAAATTAGAACAAAAAATATTTTTTAAAAATTGCACTTACAATTTTTCATGTTTTTAACAAATGACATTTTTTTCTTTTTTTTGTTGTCATTTTTTTTTTTCGATAAAAAAATTTTTTTTAACAAAAAATATTTTTTAAAAATTGCACTTACAATTTTTCATGTTTTTAACAAATGACATTTTTTTTTCTTTTTTTTTTTGTTGTCATTTTTTCGATAAAAAAATTTTTTTTAATTTTTAAATGTCGGCTAACTTAATTTTCATAATTAATATTTTTTTTTTTTTTCATTAGAAAATTAACTAATGGACATAAAAACTTACAATTTAACAAAATTCTTTAAATAAAATTTTACATAACTAATTACTTTCTTAAATAATATTTAAAAATAATTTTTACAAAAATATTTTTGATATAAATTTAATTAAACAAATATATGCTTTCTTAAAAATAGATTAAAATAATTAACAATAAATTTGCTAAGAATTTTATTTTAATGAAACAAATATTTTTTTTTTTTTTTTTTTTTCAAAAAAGAATTGTTCTAATTTAAGTCTAGGTATTATTTTAATTTATTAAGTACATAAATATTAAGTTCACTTGCACTCAAATGACTGATATAAAATACAATACAACAATTTTTAACACCAATAAAAATACCTTAATTAGATTTCCCGTATACAATCAAGATTAAAAATAAAAATTTAACTAATTAATATTATCTTCTTTATTGTTAATTAACTGAAAAGATAAAGAAATTTTGTCAGTGACGTAAATAAAATTTTTAGTATATAAATGCCTTCAAAGAAAAAGTTAAAGTTCAAAATTAAGATACAGACATAGTTAAATGTTCATAGCAATTATAGTTTTAAGTTGTAACTCAAAATTAAAAGTACCAATTACAATACTATACACAAAAGCGTTAATCCTTAAAAGTAAGTACGCATGTATATATCTACCTAGTGGGGAAAGAAATGCATGGGAGAGTGGGTACGTTGAGAGCCAATATAATGACGTTCCTTTTCTCTACTCCATTCAGTGAGAATATTGAAGCAAGAGCCTGTAAACGTGGTTAATATTTTAATATTTTAAAATATTTATTATTATAACCACATGAATAAATTAAAATATCAATAATTATTAATCTTACTTACAGTCAATAAGTGAAGTGTTTTATTTTATACGTGAGAATAATAGTTATTGTTGAAAAAAAATATATATATAAAGAGCCATCAATAATGTCCAGTGGTGTAATGTCTAGAATGGAAACTTTTACTCCAAGACTGTGTTTAAAGGCAGTGGATCAGTATGAAACAATATTACAGAGCCGATTATCTAAGGTATTAAATTATTAATCAACTAAATCTGTTTCAAAAAGACACGCACTTTTCACATGTCTTCAATAATTATTATGAAATTTTATCTTCATTAAATTAGTTATCTTTTAAAATTTTTTAAGACGTCCAAGAACTTATTGTTGTTTGATTTATTGTTTTCTTATCATTTATTAATTTAATTGTTTACAAAAGTAGTTTCTATGACGGTTTAAATTTTATTGATTTATTTTTACTTGGATAATTTATTGTAACAAATGTAATAATTAAAATCTTTAAAACCTATGAGTATATAACAACCGTTATAGGAAACTCAGCATTAATCTTTTATATGTATATAGGTCTTGACGCAAATTCATGAGGATGTATGTCGAATAATTTTAAATTATCAACATATATATAATTTTATTGATTTTAATTTATATTTATGATATTTGTTGAATTCATTTGTGAAAATGTATGTTAATTTTATTTTATTCTTTATTTATATATATATATATTAACATTCGGATTTTCCGATAATTTATTTTTTCAGTTTATATTTATTTAAATATAACAAAGAGAATTTATTATAAAAATTTTACAGCTATGTGGTGATACTTTTGTAGTTTAAAGTTTAAAGATCTATTCCTTTTTTTTTTTTCTCTATTTTTTATCTGTTTATTATAATTGTATATATCATGAAGTTTAATACATGTAGATTGTTCTTAAACCATTTTGACCTTAAAAATTTATCTTTTGTTACAATAAAATTAACAAGTTTTTAAGTTTTCGGTAAGAATAAATAAGCCAAAAAACAATAATTCATATTCTCAAATTAATAATTCATTTTTTGCTTATTATTTTAAAAACGGAGGTTAAGATTTCGCATAATAAATGAAATAAGTGACGTTATACGATTGAATAACGATAAAAAAATATTTCAAAAAAGATGAATGAAAAATTGATTAAATAAATTTATTATTTTCTTTTTGTTATAGTCAACAAAAAGCCCACGGAATCAGCAAAGAGTAAAGAATGAGTCTTCAAATACTTCAATAGGCAGGAGCTATTCTGTGTTTCGGCAATGGAAAAAAAATGACCGTGATAGTAAATGCAACATGGATGTGAGCTATATTGATGATACTAAAACCAATTCTTTGTCTTCTTCGTTGCCTAATGTTAATTATTCACAAATGGAGCATTTTCCACTTGTTATGTCAGATGCTACTATGCCTGAAGAAGATCATTCGCTTAAATTTTTAGCTTTGGTAAGAACATTTTCTATTTCAATAATTTTCACACACAGGAATATTTTAATTACCCATCAATAATTAATACTAGCAACCTTGCAGTCACTATGTGACTGCCGTGATTTGTGAACTATACTCAATGAAATTCTGCTTTATGAAATAATTAATTTTGTTAAATTGCACTGTACTTTTTTAACTATTGACGTTTTTAAAAATATAAGCTCATCCCGATGTTACACTTGTCAAGAGCTTTCATTTGAGTACCCACATCAATTTTTCATATATTTTTCATATATACATATATATAATATATATATAAATATATGAAAAATTGATGTGGGTACTCAAATGAAAGGTCTTGATGAGTGTAGCATCGGGATGAGCTTATATCTTTAAAAATGTCAATAGTTCACAAGATACACGGTCGTTTCTTAATTATGTATCTAGAGATAGAGAATTTTCGAATTAAATGAAACCTTGAAAAGGCACAACTCCAGGTCAAGACCTTTCCAACGATACCAAAATTTAACCATAAAAACCCATTTTATCATATAAATGCACTGACCACAAAATTTTGCTTATTCTCTTAATAATATAGATTAATTTTCATATTTTTGTTTCAGAATGCTCTTGATTTGATCGCACCAGCAAGCGATATTTTATTAAAAAACCGGCTAAAGTCATGGTTTCAACTGTCGGGTCATCCTGATGGACTGGCACCAGCGGGCCCTGGAACTGTATGGAAACGCCGAACCGGTGGAACTGAAAATACAGAACGTGCAGTTTATGAAGAATTATCGAAAGATGCTCTAATACGAGATTTTATACCAAAGTACTACAGAGAAGTAGAATACAAAGGCGACACATTTATTGAACTTCAAGATTTGCTTTTTGGTTTTACTGATCCTTCTGTAATTGACATTAAACTTGGTACTCGGACCTTTCTAGAATCGGAAGTATCAAATAATGTTGCAAGAACTGATTTGTATAAAAAAATGATAAGTGTTGATCCAAATGCGCCAACTAATTTTGAACATGAAAACCAAGCAGTAACTAAACTCAGATACATGCAGTTTAGAGAGCAACAGAGTTCTACTTGTAGTCATGGATTTAGAATTGAAGCTATGAAATTACCTGGAGCACCGCCAATTACAAATCTGAAAAAAATAAAAGAACATGTAGCTGTTGTAGAAACATTGAAGCTCTTTTTGGGAAGATATAGTATTACTTATGAAAAATTACTAGAACAGCTAAAAGATATGAGATCACGAATCGAAGCTTCTTCTTACTTTAAAACACATGAGGTAATTTTATTTATTTTATTGATACATATAAATTTATTTTTTCGAAATAATTATTAATTAAATAATATCGTTTCGAATGAATAAATTTTACAATTTGTTAATTTTTAATGAATGAATAATAAATTTTGAATAATACTTACAGGTTATTGGAAGCAGTATTTTTATTATTTATGACGAAAAAAAAATAGGAGTATGGTTAATTGATTTTGCCAAAACATACAAAGTGCCTGATGGAAAGGAGCTGTCTCATCGAAAACCCTGGAAGGAAGGAAATCATGAAGAAGGTTTTCTTCTGGGAATTGACAATCTTATATCTACAATTGAAGAAATTAAAATAACTTTATGAGACTTGGAATAATATTGATATAAAATATTTCTCAATATTAACATGAAGACTTTATGAATAATTTTTAAACAATGTAATTTTTAATATTTTATTTATTCTCTTTTGTATTTTAATAGGTAAATATTTATTAGCTGAATTCAATTTATCAGTAGTGTCTTTGAAAATTAGAATGTGATTTTCAAAATACATGCATCTATATTTATTAATAGGCTATTTGTTTTTTTTTTTTTCTTTTTTTTATCATGCATTGATTACAAAATTATTTAAGATTTGATAATGTACAATAAATTTGTTCAATGCTAAAAATATAAAAAAAGAATATTTCAAACCAAATTAATTCTAGACTTTGATTTTATAATTTTACCATTCCATAAAAAAAATTTTAATAATTTTTTTAACAAATAAATTACGACAAAAAAAAAGTAGAGAAAAAATTGACATGTAGAAATTTAGAAAAAATAAAAAATGCAATTTTTTAAAAATAATTTTTTGGAAAAAATCTATTTGTTAAAAAAAATTAAAAAATAGCTAAGTGACTGCTAATTTTAATCTCATAAATTTTATACTGTTGGAATTAAAATCATTTAATCTTTTACAATGAGTAATTTTAATAGTTTTCTTCATTAAAAGTTATTGATAATTAAATCAAATAAAACCAGAACAATAAACAATAGAAATGGAATGACAAGTTTTTTAGGTCAGTCCGATAAAAAAAAATGTTATTTTTTATTTGAAGTGGCTGTTAATAATAAAAATTTTTTTTTATGGAAAAGTCAAGATGTTAAACCTGGTAAATATTATTGTTTATTAAATATATTAAAATTTTTCCTGTATAATGTTTGACCTTTCGATCCAAAATAAGAAAAGAAAGCAAACATATCTGTTATTTTCTACTGACAATTTTAATTTCTTGGCGGGCATCAGTGGCGGGATCTCGTAGCAAATTTGAAAATAAAAATTTAATCAATCGAATATATGAAAGTCGATTGTTGATTGCTCTCGATAAATTTAGTATCGAGTATCGAAACATTTAATAATATTTGTAATCTCCAGCCTAAACTGTCAAACAAGTTTTTCAAGTTATTAAAATGTGCAATAAAATAAACTTTTTACAATAAAATATTCGAGAACTCAGTATATAAGGTTTGTTCAATATAATAATAATAATTAATAATTAATAATGAAACTTATGATTTAAGAATGAAAAAAAAAAAAAATCAAAGTATATTTACATTTTAGGTTATAATAATGTCAGATGTACCAAATGAGCTAGTGGCAAAACCACAAGCATTAATAGGCCTAAGTGGTTTAGACATAACAAATTCTATGCACCGGTCAATATGGGATTCATTTAATAACAATCGTCGTCCCGATGGATTAGCAATACAATTTAAATTACTGCCACCGCATCATGAATTTCCAACAGCAAAACCTAAAAGGAATTCTTATGAATGGTACATCCCAAAGGGAATATTAAAACGAAATTGGATGAACAAATATCTCAATGAGGTGCCATCAGTTGTTGTTTTTTTTTACGATTTAGATTGGAACGATCCAATGTGGAATGAAAAAAAAATGGAGTGTGCATCTCGAGTTCAATCATTGCGTAGTTCTCTGGAAGGTCGTTCAACAAAAATAGCTGTAGTTTTAATTCAAATTGCACCTTCACCGCCTCAAGGTACTGAAGACATGACAGCTACTGAGCGTGCAACTGCGCTCTGTTCGGCATGTGAGCTTCCAGCAAAATCTTTATATATTTTACCTCACGGAGACCACCTACTTGGTTATACATCAAGATTAGAAAACGCTTTTTACGAATTGTCATTAGCTTTTTATCATCACCATTATCGTGTCGTAAAAGGACACCGTGAACAATTGAATAAAACAGCTCATCAATATTTATTTGTACGGCATCAATATAAAATGGGATTTTTAAATGAAATGAAACAGGAAAAGCATGTAGCATTGAAACATTATCAACATGCTTATAATAATTTATTAGAAATACGTATGGTTGATGCGAATACTTTTGAGATAAAAACAGTCGCAAGTTTTATTAATTATAAATTATGTAGACTTATGTTTTCATTAAATCAACCACGTGATGCTATTTCTCAATTCAGAGCTCACATTGATAGATTTAGATCTCGTACAGGTCCTGAAGACATAATCTTCGAGCATCATGCCTGGATGGCCAGTCAATATTCAACATTTGCCGAGTTATTTGATGAAGCTATAAGACAAGGACTTCCTCCAGTACAAACACAACATCCCGGTTATTATTTTCAACTTGCAGCTCAGCATGCAAGTTTACGTCAATCAGCGTGCAAGGAATTGTGCAGCAACATACTGGAGCAGCCGACACCCGATCCACTTGTTGATGAAGCAAAGCTTGAATTTTATGGCCAGAGACCTTGGAGGCCTGGTAAACATGGCGCTGAACCTGCGGATGCAGAACGTGAAGCAGCTGCAATTGTAGCATTGAAGTACCGAGAGAAAAATTTTAATCATTCATTGGTAATTATTGGGTTATTAGGGAATGCGATATCGCAATTTAAAATATATCGATGTCCTCGAATGCGTAGACTGCTTGTGGTGCAAATGGCCGCTGAATATTATAATTCACGGGATTATGGTAAAGTTTTAACATTGCTTATGCATATGCTTTGGGAATATCGCACTGAACGTTGGCCTGTTCTACTTACTGATTTATTAAAAAATGCCTTACGAGCTGCTTATTTGTCGACAAGTATTCAAGATTATATTACATTGGCAATTGAAGCTTTAGGACCTTCTACAATATTTACTGAAGAAAATAGAGCTGTTATCTATAATAATATTATTAAAATTATTTCTAGAAGCCCTCCTGAATGTGAGTATGATATTCCTAAAGATGTTAAAAAATTAGCTATTGATAAATGGAATTTGGAATTAAATCGGTTAGACAATAATATATACACTATTGATGACAATAATTTATCCTCATTTATAAATGTTAAAGCGTCATTTTCAGCGTCAAGTTACGTAGTTGGTAATCCTATAATTGTTGATGTATTTGTAAGAAATTTGTATGAAGGTAAAATAGAATTTTCTAAAATTCTTATTACTGTTGAAAGTTTTAACTCAGAGTTTGCTGTTAAAGTTACTGCTGATTCTAGTCTATGTTTCGATGCCAAAGAAACTAAAAAATACATTTGTGAATTTCCGGCAAGAAAAAATTCTGACGACAGTGAAATTCGAATAAGTGCTGTATCACTTTATTTAGGAAATGAAAATAATTTTTGTATTGTTATGAAATTCCCGGCTACTGGAACTGATACTGCTGCACTAGATAGATTTTATCCGGAAATTCAGCAGCTTCGCAGTGGAACTAGTTTTGAAACTATACGACCTATTACAACTGCTGAAATAAAATTAGAAGAATCTAGCTTAAATATTTCAGTTGATTCGTTGGTACCAGCACTGTTAAATGAATGGCTACCTGTTAAGTTATTGCTGTCATGTCACCAAAATATTACCAATATTCAAATTAATATGAAACAAATAATTATTGATAATTCAAGTGATCGAACAACTGAGCTGTCACTTGACATGTCTGATAAACAAAATTCAATAGCGCTTAAATTTGAACTACTGAATAATGAAAATCCAATCGAACAAATAATTTATGTAAGATCTCATCAAGTGACCACACGAAATTTTATTATTAAAATTGATTATATAACTGACGATCAAATTGAACGTAGTAAAGAAATTACATATTCTTTGTCAATTGTTAAACCATTTGACGTAACAACGCAATTTTATACTCAATTATTTGAACCCCTGACGAAAGCTTTTGTAAATGAACCATTTATTGTTATGCCACACATTATCTGTACATCGCCTTGGCCAATACGTATTTTAGATACATCTGTAGAACTTGGTAATTCAGTAGCAAGAAAAGATGATGAGAAAGATAGCATTCTTAAGGATATGACTTTACATGATGGAGAAACTGCTACGGATATTTATTGCTTAATACCTAAAGCTGGAAGTGAACAACCAACATCTACTGGAGTTTATACAATTAAATGGCAACGTGATAATCAAGATATTGCTATTGAAACAAGTATCAGTGTAACATTGTCACCAGTCTGGGTCGAAGATGCTGTTGTTGGACTTGAAGCTAAATTACCTGCACAGGGTTGGGTTCAGACACCTCTTTGTGTTTCTTATTTTATTAAAAATCATTCTGATTACCTTTTTACACTACGACTAACTATGGAGTCTAGTGATGCATTTATGTTTGCTGGTCAAAAACAAATTGATATTTGTGTCAGGCCGAAAAATAAAAAAAAAATCGAATGGATTTTAAGGCCATTAGTTGCCGGATTCGTTGCTTTACCAACTTTATCACTATCAGTGCCGATGGGTAATTATTTTTTTATTCTGTAATGGAGATATTATCTATAAAAAATTTATTTGTTCTGTTGAAACACTAATTGTCTTTTAATAGAATTATCGTTTTTTTTTTTTTTAGATGATGAACATAAATTACTAAATAAAAACAAGTTACTGGAACTTCTAGGACGTTCTTTACCTACTCATATTTATATAATGGTAACAAATTTTATTATTCACTACTATGATTGAAAATTATTTTATTTATAATTAATTTTTTTTCCAGCCAAAATCACCGACTCCGGAGACGTAAAAATATGAATTCTGTTTTATTGCATGTTTTTAGCGCGATGGTGCCAAGGGTATGCTCGATTTATTTTGTAAAAATAGGCTCAATGAATTCAAAATATAATATAGTAATATATACAATGTATAAATATATATTTATATAATTTCCACGTATTTGTTTAATATGTAATTAACTAACAAAAAATAAGTAAAAATTATTATAAAATTCTTTATAATTCTTTTGTCTTTACTTAGTCTGAATGATAAGAAAAAAATCAATAACGTTACTATAGTTACGAAATTCAAAACTTTGCCCTGCAGCTATATAAATGGAATTTTTTTAATAATCTTAAAAATGCAACCGATAAATTGTGAGATTAACGAAGTTATTAACAAGTTTCAGAGTGAAGAAAAAAATTTAGAAGAGCAATTAAAAAAATGGTAATTTATTAAATTTTTTAGTCTTCAAATAATAACTTATTTTTATAACAATTCTACTATAAAAACTGATATTCATTAACGCCCAATCGACAGTAAGTGATAAAATATTTGGAAACCATATTATAAATTAGCTTTTATCACTAATGACCATTTCAAAATAGTTATTTAATTATTAGTACTATTTATGTGTTGTAAAAATTTCATTTATTTTACTTATTAATTGTTTATATTTATAATTTTTATTACAGTAAAATCGAAAGTGAAAAAAATAATCATCTAAATTTACAAAGAATTCAAACTCCTAAACGATTACTTTATATAAATAATGAAGAAGCATGGAATCGTAATCAAAAGCTATTAAAAGTAAGCAATTAGAATTATATTGATAATCCGATACACTACATTGAATTACTTTTATTGATTCTCGCTACTCGTTAAGTTTTTTTTTTTTTTTTTTTTATTTCATTTTATTATTTTTTGTTTGTTACAAAATCTCTGTATTTATTTCAGTATATTATACATGTACTCTTAATGATACAAATTTATTACACTAATAGTGATATTAAACATTATTATCGACATTATTGATTATAAAAAATATTTTTAACTTGAATGATTCTATGATAATTAATAATCACAGTTGTCTTTAATTTTATTAATTATTAAATGCATATATATCCATTAAGGATGATCTTAATTATCAAAGATAAATATCAAATTACAAAAGAAGATTTTAAAGTTTCTTCTAACTTTTCTCACAGAATTAATAAATTTTTTATTCAAAAATTATAATTCAAATAATTAAAAAAAAAAAAAAATAAATGCAATGCTATTGTACTTTTTACTAAATTAAAAATTTTTTAGCTTACTAAATTAATTAATTAATTAAGGTAAAGGCACCAGTTTTAAAGTCTTCGACATTTGTGGAAATTTTGCGCTTAATTTTGATGCCTGAGAAGTGTAAAATATTTTATTGTCATATCTGTAATTGAAATATCTTTGAAGATGATAGGGATAACTATGTTTCTTCCTACTTAAAAAAATTAGTGTTTTTACCTTATCTAAAAATTTTCTAATTATTTGAATTAGACTTTTTTTTACATAGTAAAATATTACAAAAAAAAAAAAATTACACAATCCTTCGTTATATAATAAATATTTTTGATAATAAAAATTTTTTATTTTCTAGAAATTGGAAATGTCGAGAGCACGTTTGCGAACACTCACATCATTTACTCCAACTGATCAAGAATTCCGTGAACGTGCAGCATTCTATCGTAAATTTTTAGACAGTAATTGTTAAACTGATCAAAGAAATAGATGATTAGTAAATCCAATAACTCGAGCCGAACGAACAAACTATATTAATAAAAAGTTTGTTGATCGTCCGGATCGATGCATCAGATTAACAAAAAAACAATATTTAAAAAAAATCTCTGATCTGGATATCCTGGTGAACACAATTGTGGAAGAAATATTCTAATTGATTCCACTTAAATTCTTTTGTACGGATCTATAATTGTAAATTTTAAAAGAAAAAAAAAATTAGTAAAAATCCAGAAAACTGAGTGTATAGAAAACTTCTTATAAAGCTTTTGCATGAATTGAATTCTTTATAGAGAGTGAAGAAATATCTTTGAATATAAATATATATTTAAAATAAAAATTAATTAATCAATCAAATATTATTTGGTGTAACTAATAATGATATTTTAAATGAAGATTAAAGGAAGAAAAAATAGATCTTACTGAACTTACTCTGAGAGATCCAAGAAGGAACTAAGTGGACAAATGCGATAGACACTGATCAATTGTAGGTGCAAGACCAAAGTGACACGTTCACATTAATGTCCCAACGGATATACCTTCCAATATCTCTATCACCACTGGCAATTACGCATGACTCTCTATTTTTTTCCAACTACGTGTCTTCACGATACCGGCGTCACGTTTTAAAGCTATTCTGATAAGTCGAAAGCGAAACTTATATCATTTAGAAATATTAACTTTGTCATTTTTACTACTAGATACTAAATTCGCGACGTTTTAATTTCAAAAGACTTTATTTATCTAACATACCTTGGATGAAGACTAAATGATAACTGAATTTAACAACTCTTAGACAGAAATTTAACAAAAAAAAAATCTAACTGGATAAGATGTAATTTAAATATTTTGTACATAAATTACTATACAGCTGATCAAATACTAAATACAAAAATTGAATTTTTTTTATTTTTAGTATTTCTTACTTTTTTTAATTCTTTTTTTTATTAAATCATCTGTTCAAATAGTCACCAGATTCTTCATTGCTTTATTCAACATTGTCGTTTTCTTTCTCAACTGTTTTAATAGTAAAGTAAAACGTGAATTAACAGTAGGTAGCTGCTGTTGAAAAATGTTTATAGGAAAAACACTTAAATGTAAATGATAGGGAATATCGATATTTTTTCTAGGCCATTCTTTCATATAATTACATAATAGTCGATAACTCATATGTTTATAACATTCTTTCAAGCACTAACACTAACATTTTTAAATATTTTAACATAAAATTTATCTTTAGTCTCAATCAGTCATCAAGTGAACACTATTATATTAAATTTTTTGTAACATTCATAGTGCTTAAACCTACTGAAAAATAAATATGTAGATTTTATTTTTGAAAAAACAAAATTTTATTTTTATACATTGTCGAAATAAGATATTACATCAAATTGTTTACTTTCCTTTGATTAATAAATTATTATAATTATAAAGTAAACTTTATCGGTCTTATTACATACTGATTTATTCCTGAGTTTAAATTTAATAATTAAATATAATTTTCAAAGTACTCAAGTTCGGTATTGTTAAATTTTAAAAAAATATTATTAATGTGTTACAAGATTATATACTTTCATTATTTTTAATTCAATTTTACTTTTTCTACTACTAACAATTAAATCAATTTTAACAATAAATTATCAACTTTTTTTGTTACTTAATTAGCTATAAATTGTACTATGTCAAATTTTAATCCAATGGCTGTTATTTGTAGAAATATTTAGTTACTAATTAAAACTTTTTAACCAGTAAATACTGAAAATTTTTACTACTACAGTGGAATAATTAATTAAAAATTGTAACTAATTTTGATTCAATAATAAACAAATTTAATAATGGCTAAGTTCATTCATTTATAGTTTTTAAAAAGTTTTTAATAATTGGTGCGACTTTTTCAGGTTCGTTGAGATGAACATGGTGACTTCCCTCAACTTCATGATACTCAAATGTTTTCGCTTTGTTCTTAATAATATCCATAATTTCTTGATAATGTTCAGGATAATCAAACTTAAGGCCTGGTACAGCGCGGATATTCAAATATGCACATTTTATTTGTTTTGCGTATGCAGAGGTGAGGTCAATTGAAAGCATCCCAAGAAGTGAAACCTAAAAAAAAAAATAAAAATAAAATAATTAATAACAAAAAAGATGAATGTGTAGAAAAAAAAAGTGAAAAAATTACTTTTAATCGTGGATCTCGAGTAAATAAATGCTTGCCAGGAGTCGAGGAAGGCTCTGTACCGCGTCGCATTAAAATTTCCGCACTCTCTCGAGTAATATTACCACCATAAGCATCCATGACAATATCGAGCATTTCATCATAATTGTAAATTGGTGTTGACTCTTTCGTGAGTTGTTCATATTTGAGAAATTTATCAACATTGTCTTTTGTTAAAGCGACAACTTTATCAATAGTTTTTACAGTTGGACTGGCAATGTCAAGACTTATCAGAAGATCAACTTCATCTGGATAAGATGCTGCATAGAGAAATCCAATGGCACCACCCAGAGAATGCCCAAGTAATTTTATCTGTTAAACATTATTATTATTTTTATTAAATTATTTTAATAATATTAATAACAATTATATCATCCCTGATGGCCATCTTAAGTCAAAATTTTATTCAATCTACTGTCAATTTGATGGAAAGAGTTTACAAACCAAACGGTTTTAATTAAGTTGTATATAAGTTATTCTTCACTTTGACTTTAAGACTTGCAGTGTAAGTATTTTAATCAAGTTGTAGTAAACACTGATAGAAGGATTTCTTAGTATTTAATAAATATTTTTTAAATATTAAGAAATATTTTAAATACTAAGAAATGATGTTTAAAAAATGATTTCTTAAATACAAAGAAATCTTCTTAAATGCTAAGAAATCCTTCTATCAGTGAAGTTGAAAGGATATTTAACCAAAAGTTTGGTGTGTTAACTTGTATTCAAATTATGGACATAGATTTTCGGCAATTTTTTTACAACTGTTGTGCTGTAAAAAATTACCGCAAACTTGATGTTAAGTTAACTGTAACTGCTCAAATCCTACTACTTAAAAAAAAAAAAAGGTGGCTATTAGAGATTTTGAAAAATTCTTAAGTGTAAATTTAATCATTTATAATAATCATTTGTTAATAAGTGTTAACGTATTAATAAAGATAGAGAAAAAGGACGTGCAGATATAATGCATTCGTTTTTTTTTTTCTTGTAAAATGTATAGCAATTTTCTTAAAGAAGGAGGTTTAATATTTTTATTAAATTAAAATAATTAACCTTACTCCACTGGAAATGCCTGGCGACTCTGCGTAATAGCATAATTCCATCCCAGTAAACAAAATAATATTGTCCTTTGTGATGATGCGAGGAAAAGCCATGACCGGGCAAATCCAGACAGAGAAATGATATTTCATTGCTAATCATCGGTATTAACCGATCAAAACTTCCTGCATTATCCTGACGTCCATGTAATGTTACAATCGGTTGGATTGTTTTTGGGCCCCACCATTTTCCTATAATTTTTTTTTTAATATTATTTATTATTTTTTCAAGTAAGATTCAAGTATCAAAATTAAAATACTACTTTTGATATTAATTACTTCGTTTTGATCAAATTTAATTTGTAACATATAATAGAAACAATAACAAGTATTGTTGATTGATTTGATATTAAAAAAAAATAATAAAGCCCATTGGATTAACTACTCAATTTTATCCCCTCTAATTAAGATAACTAATGCAGAAGCAATGATCTAATTTATAATAACTCTAGTTAGCTTGCTAATATCTAATGATTTAAATTATTTTATGCTTCTGCTGACCTTACTCCAATTGAAATGTTTAACGATTCTACGAACAAGTACAACTCCATCCCAAAATACATAATAAAAAGATCCTTTATTGAGGTGAGATGAAAAACCGTGGCCAGGAAGATCAATACTTAAAATTGCATATTGCTGTGCAAGTATTGGTGCTAGTTTATCAAAAGTGCCTGCATTATCTTGCCAACCGTGTAAAGCCACGATAGGTTGTACATTTTTTGGACCCCATAATTTTCCTAAATGTGCCAGTAAGACTAACCTGAGTAACGGGTATTGATTTTAATTAGTATTAATTCCAGACACTTACCACTGATATGACCCCATGGCACTGGGATTTTTATTTCTTCAGCTTCTAAATAAATTCAAAAAAACTAAAATTATTTATTATTCGGATAGATTTTATTAAATTTTATTTACCAAATGTTCCTGTGTTATTTGATGAATCCATGGTTAATCTTGCAGAAAATTTATCGAATTTATTCAAGTTTTATAGCGTGAATGTAATTACTAGAGCCTAGAAATAAAAATTCAATTTTTATTACTTATTGCTGACTCATTAGATAGATAAACAAAATTTTAATGGAGATTCCATAATTATTTATTAATGTTTATAATAAATTCCAAGTTATAAATTGATAAAGTACATTTAAAAATTTTCAACTTACTGTGTTTGAAAAATTTTAATGAATTTTTATAATTTCAGTAAATTTAGATATTAATTTTTTGTTGATGCCAGAATTAATAATGATTGAGTAGTGAACATAACCATTAAATAATAATTATCATAAATGATAATTTTCTTTTTTTTTCCCGCTTGTGTATACTTAGTGTATTAACAAGGCACCGGTATCAAAGGGATTCAATTACTGGCGCACATACTCAGTGGGTATTTTTTAAAAACAGTTATTTTTTTATAGGTTGGTACTCTTCTGAGTTCCAGATGGTTTTCAGAGGTATAAATCTAGATACCTACTACAGTAGCCTGGAATAAAACAGGTAGTAAATTTAAATAAAACGCTCGAGCATTTGTAGCATGAAAATTCAAAGCTGAAAATTGTAAAAATTTTTAAGCGTTCATTAGGACTTAAATAAATTGTTTTTGGAAATTTGCACAAGGTATATTCCCAGGTAATAATTATTATTGTAAAATAAGCGCTCATGTCTGAGCTTCAAAAAATTGTCTTTTCAATTGTAATATTAAATTTTTTTTCTTTATTGTGAATGAAAATTAATAGAGCAGATATTTTTTAATTTAAATAATTTTTGTAACAAATAAATTGTGGCAAAAAAAATTGAAAAAAAAAAAAAAAAAAATTGGCATGTAGAAATTTAAAAAAATTATAAATGCAATTTTTTAAAAATAATGTCTCAGAAAAGATTTATATTTGTAGAATAAAATTTAATAATTACCAAATGACTGCTAATTTTAATGATGAAAACTAATTTAGCAGATATTTGATAATTTTAATAAATAAATTATGGCACAAAAATTTATAAAAAAAAATTGACATGTAGGAATTTTAAAAAATTAAAAATGTAATTTTTCAAAAATTATTTTTTGGAACAAATTTATTTGTTAAAAAAAACTAAAAAATAATCGAGTGACTGCTAACTTTAATGTCATATTTTAATGTCATTTACACTTATCAAGTACAAACTGACAAATGTTCTATTACGGACACACTTAAAAACATTAATTTATGTTGGCAGCATTTATTACGCGGCAAGTAAGTGATTTTGTTTAAATATTCGTATAAATGTGCCCGTTAAAATGATTGCGTGTTTTGATGGTAGTAATTCCCCTCCAGTTTGTCGAATCAGAACCGCGGAGTTGATCGGATACGAGTTTGTATCAGAATTGACAGTAGTGCGAGCACTTTAAAAGTATACTGGATTTTAAAAATGATTTTGTACAAAAAATCATACCTAATTCCCTTGTTAATACTTTGGATAAATTTACTCTACTGCATTTGTGACAATGTTATTAAAAAAGAAACAGAAAGTACGCTTGAAAAACTGGTAAAACTTTTTACAGAGCCCGGAGCATTTAAACGTGTCGGTGAAATCCTCGGAGAAAATTCAATTGAATCAGTAACATGTGCCAAAGGTGACGAGGGTCTTGATTGTAGAAGAGCCGAAGCAAGAAGATCTGTCGATTGTCCTGACGGTAATTCATATATTCTTCTATCAACCTTTCAACCTTTGTTTCAAAAACTTAAATACCTGTAAAAATAAATTATTTATTTATTTATATTTATATTTATATTTATTTAACAATAGAAGTAAATTCAATTTGGAACAAAAAATGTAACATCCTGCAATTATGAGAGTTGTGACTTTCTGCGTCACAATGTTTTCCGTCCTTGACAGTAGCCACTCCTACAATAACTTTTGTCGGATAAATTCAGCTCTCATTAAATAAGTGCATTTATAAATGCATACTTATAGATTTTATTTACATTAAAACTATTTATGTAATTACGAAGGTGTTAATGTCACATTCCTTTACGCCTAGTTCGTGTTTTGATAATCATTCATGATTATTATGTGGTTACACCTTTTTGGGTGTAAAAATTTTTAAATTCCAGGATCTTTCATCAACAATTATGAATACTGACAATCTCCTAAAAAAAATAACATTAAAGTTAGCTGTCACCTGACCACTTTTTAATTTTATTTAACAATTAAATTAATTAAAAAAACTTATTAAAAAAAAATGCATTTTTTATTTTTAAAAATTTTTAGATATCAATTTTTTTTTTTGTCATAATTTATTTATTAATAAAAATTCTAAAAATTATCAAATATCTGCTAAATTAATTTTCATTAAAGTTAGCTGTCACCTGACAATTTTTTAATTTTATTTAACAAAAAGATTTGTACCAAAAAATGATTTTCAAAAAATTGCATTTTTTATTTTTATAAATTTTCAAATGTCATTTTTTTTTCTTATCTTCTTTTGCCGTAATTTATTTGTTATAAAATTTTTTAAATTATTAAATATGTGCTACATTAATTATCATCCCAAAAAAATATAATCAAAATAAATTTTTTAATTAAAACTTAAAAAATTACTCACTTTATATTTATGACAATAAAGTTAGCCGACAGTTAAAAATTTTTAGAATTATTTTGATTGAAAAAATCATTACAAAAAAATTTTTTTTAAACTTTATTTGTGAAAAATTTGAAAAACTGTAAGTGCAATTAAAAAAATTTTTTTTTTTTTAGTTCTAATTTAATAAATTAAACTAAATTAAAAAATAAAAAATGTCGACTAACTTTATTATTACTTATATTTTTATATTATAATAAAGTTACCTATATAAAAAATAATAAATAATTTGAATTATTTTTCAGGTGACTGCTACTGCTACAATTGTTCATTAGCGGGTCCAGAACTATGGGCATCCTGCTGCCGTGAAAGCTCAAAATGTTGCTCTTATTTGGCGGCAGCTTGTCGCAACTGCGACCAGCCTTCGCTGTTTTCTTTTTGCTCAAAACATTTCAAAAAATGCTTAAATGAATTGAGAGAGAGTGACACGGTGACGACTACCAGCGGTACCCCGACTATATAAACTGGATGTATTAATGTTATGTGTAATCTGTAGACTGTAGACGGTACACACAGTGAAAATTATTAATTCCCGCTGGTAATCACATGTCGAAAGCACCTTGATTAAATGCAGTTGCATAACAACAGTTAGTCTGAATTTCCATATATGTTTGCACCATCTTGCTTGACTGGTGTTACCTGGAAATTTCACTCACTTGGTTGACGAGATATTGCATTAATTATTTTTTTAATCTTAATATTCAGTTACCAACTAATTAATATAACTTCTTTTTACTATTTTAATTATAATTATAAACTAAGGCGCTATTTATATTATAATTAAATTTAGAATTAATTTTCTTACTTAAGTTATGGTAATTAGTTATAAATTTACTGTTATAAATTTTTTATAAATAGCAATTAAAGTATTTATAAATTTATAAATAGTTATTTTGTTATATAATAAATTTAAAAGTTATTTAAGATTTACATATTAATAAATTTGCTCATTTTCAAAAAAAAAAATTATTATACGTTTTTTGCTTATCATATATCAAGAAGGTAAGTGACCTGCTAACTTTTTTCTAATGTCGAAATGTTAATAAAGTTATTGAATTAAGAAATGTATAATTTTTTTTTTTTTTTTTTTTCAGAAAAAAAAAAGAAATATTAAAAAATGTAAAATTGTTTTTACAAATATAAAAAAAATATTTATAGTGTAGAAATCGACAAGGAAAAGAGTTGACACAATTAAATCACGATGACCAGCGTTTACGTATCTTATTCAATAACATTTTAAATAGCTTTTCACATTCTCTCGCCTCAGGCTTTATATAAATATAAACAAACCGGAATCCTTTAAAAAATAAATAACTCAATTACCAACTATTTAAAACCCGTAATCAATCAGTCTGCGCATTTGTCACATTTTCCGGTTAAAAATTAACAATTGTAATTTTTTTTTCTACAAAAAAAAATAATAATTTACACTCACAATTTTCCGATATTAAATAAATGATAAATAGATTTAAATTCATGCATATTTAAATCGATTTGAGTCCATCGAAAGAAGTTACTTTAAACTTTCATCCCAGAGTTTATCCGCTAGTCATTACAAATTTAATCATTAAATATTTGTGTCTTATGATAATGTTTCATTCTTAAAAATTATCTCGATAATTCTTATTATAAAGATAATAAACATCAACTTAACCTGGAATATAGATAATTATAATTTATTAGGTCACTTCGCTTGTATTTCATATTGATTTTTGTGATCAAAATAAATTATGAGTCGTTGACCGGAGCATTAAAAATAGAAAATAAAAATCTTTAGTTTTTCATTAGTAATTTAATTGCTATGGAATAAATATTAGTTTATAAGTATATAGCTATTAAATTTACTTTAATTGCACAGTGGTACCTTAAAAAATGTATTTATTAGTCAATAGAATAAAAAAAAAGTCTTATATTAATAAAAAGAGATTTAATTATTACAATTATTGACAAGCTTTATTTTAAATGTTTTGTCTGTTTTTTTTTTTTTTTTTTTTTTATTTTATTTAATAACATTTAATTAATCGCCTGCTAATCCTAGGCGGGGAGGCAAAAAAATGAATACGTTTTATAATCGCTGACATTTTAAAAAAAGTTTCTTTTTTTAAATAATAAATTTATATTATTTGGCTTCACATTATAATTATACTCATCAATTATTTTCTTGTCCTTGTTTTACAGCGCGGTTAATTTCACAACAATTTTTTATTGTTTAATTTTTTTTAATCAAAAATTGTCCAGTTTCCTAAAAGTTTGTGTTTAAAATCTAAATGAAGTCTAGATTTAGCACCATACAAAAAATTAAAAGAAAAATCAGTGTAAAATTTTGGAAATTAATGAATTTTTTTTTTCTTTTTAAACTAAAAAAAAATTTACGATAACTACAATCGTGAAAATGGAATATTTGTATCTGTAATGCATATTATCTAAATGATTGAGATTTTTTTCTATTATTATTACAATTATTATTATTATAATATTTATTATTATGATGTTCATTATTATAATTATAATTATTATTATTTTATAATTATACGATTGTTTATTTGTGTATCACTTTTACACAAAAATTCATCGAGCAATAAACTATTGTGACGTACAAAGAGAAAGAGAGAATAGAATCGTTATGACTACGGTTTACTTGATTTCTTTAATTGTAATTGTAATTGTAATGTAATGTAACTGTTATTCTATATGAGATACCGATATTATACTATTTTATCCATTCATTTATTTATTTATTCATTAGACATTTAATTTATGAAATAGGACGATTTTGTGATTAATCTCCAATATTTAAAAATCATTTTTATTTTGGTAATTTTAATATTTATAGTTTATTCACTGACTTTTATTTATTACCTCCCCACAAGTTTTTCTTTTTAATATTAAAAAGAAACAAAAAAAATATATGTATATACGTCAACGTATTATCATTGTTATTAATTCAGTACACACTTATCGAATCAAAAACGTGTCAAGTATCTTTTGGTTACTTGCGTTATCCTAAGACAAAATTATTATTATTTACAAATTAACTTTTGAATAATTAATTTCATTAAACAGAGTTAAATTTCTTATCGTTAAAGTCTATCATTAATAAACAGAGTCAATAATTTTATAATTAGGAGATTAAAAAAAAAATTTTATCTAATAAGAAAAATTTTTTTGGAAACAATTACTATTTAAAAAAAAAATTTAATTTCGACGAATTATCAACTAAAATATTAATTAATAAATATTCCTAAAAATTATTTTGCCTGGGAAACGCACGTCACCTCACCACCCACCGAAAATTCTCACTCATTTAATATCAATCTCGGTCTTCTCTTATTTTTACCTAGACACACATATTGACTCTATTTGTGCGCGAGTTTAAGTCTTTGACTGTGACAATGCGTATTTCCGTACGCTTGGTCGCACACTAACATAAAAAACTCAAAAAATAAAAAAAAAAATTAACCATTATTATTTTTTCTATACCTTTAGTTTCTATTTTTAATATCAGTCCACTCGCTACACTAGATCCATTCATACGCAATTATTTTCAGGAAAGTTTCACTGATTCGGACGAAAGGACTTGTGATTCTCAACTCACATCAAACAAAAAATTAATAATAATAATTAATAATTAATATTAAAGGATATACACAGAATACAGGTACTGCCATCGGAAAAGACAATGGTACCGATGACTAAAGATCATGTTGAAGTTAAAATATTAATTGATGTTTTTATTTAAAAATAAATGTTTTTTTTTTTTTTTTTTTTTTTTTTTTTTTTCCGTTCACTGAGACCTCCACATAACAACAAGTGGAGAATCCGGATTTATATGTATAACAAAGTATCGCTTTCAGAAGCTCGTCAAGGGCTCAATCAGTTTTATTAAACATTATATTAAGTTAAACGAGTGTTGGATAAAACGTTTGTTAAATAAAACGTTTTACATTAGTTATTATTACCGTGACAAAATAAACACTCACTGGCCATTTTCGTTAGCGATCGCCACAAGCACACAAATAATTAGATACTGCGTGTCCTTTGGTGTATGGATTATCTTGAGCAGTTTCTCCCACAAATTTTTAAATATTATTATTATTATTATTATTATTATTTATATTTTTAATTTTATTTATATATATATTTATATTAATCGAAGCTGCTTCAAGGTGAAGTTAATCAATCAATTGATAAATTAATTGTAATTTTTCACTTGTGTCTTCGGGCCCTTGAGTCTCGAGCTTCTAGCTATGCACTCGGTTACGTTTTCCAATTATGCGGGTGTGCTCGTGAGGGTGCTTGGTTACCTTGACCTTGGGAGGCTTGAGAAGGTATCATGTCGAGCAGATATTGGCGTTGAAGGTCGGCAGCTTGTCTCTGGAGCTCGACCATCCCCTTGCTACCGGCAGCTTGAGCCATCGCGAGCTGATACGGGTACAGAAGAGGATTGAACTGCGGCATCATGTGAGCTGGTAACGGCTGGTGAGGTGGCAGCCCGGGTACTTGAGATTTCGTCAACTCTGCAGAATAGTTCAAAACTTTAAAAGGGAGGTTAGATACACAATTCATTTTTGAGCTATGAGATAAAAAATCTTTACCTCTTATCAACTGCTGCTGGAGGGCTGCGGCCGCTGCCGCGTGATGTGGAGAAAATTTACCACTCTCGGCGAGCTTTACCAGAGGGTGGTCTTGGAGTTTTGGTGTAGGTGGAGTAGGAGCGGGTGGAGGGACTTGGACTGAGGGCTGAGGTGCTGGAGGTGTTGCTACTCTTCTGGTAGGTGTCACGGCCTTTGGAACTGGTTTTGGTGCTGGAGGATCCGGGCTTGGACTTGCTGCTTGTGCTAATTTTTGCTCCATTTCGTGTTCTTGTTGCAAAGCTTTTACGAATGCTGTTTTTAACCTGGAATTTTTTATTGGTTTTATTGATTTTTTGCTTTATCCTGTGAACTATTGACATTTTTAAAGATATAAGCTCATCTCGATGTTACACTTATCGAGACCTTTCATTTGAGTACCTACATCAATTTTTCATATATTTATATCTATTATATATATATATGTATATGTGAAAAATATATCAAATTGCATGTGAGTACTCAAATGAAAGCTCATGATGAGTGTATCATCGGGATGAGCTTATATTTTTAAAAACGTCAATATTTAAGAAAGTACAGTACAATTTAACTATAGTCATTATTTAATAAAACAAAATTTTAATTTTTTTTAGTTCACAAGTCATGGCAGTCAAATAGTGACTGCAAGGTTGCTAGCAATAATAATAATAATAATAATAATAGATAATATTTACCGATTAGTATGTTCAGCTTTAAGTGCTTTCTTAACATTAGTTGTCACACAATGCTCGCAAATAACTCGAGGATCACGTCCAGCGGGAGGCCGCAGGAATGTCGCATGTTGTCCACGTGGTCCTTCTTTTTTGCCATTCGTCGCGGGTTTTTCCCATTTCCACACAGGCGTAAAATCAGTCTTACACTGGGTGCATTCAAAGGGTTCTGGAGGTGGCGGTATGGCTGGTTCTTTCGTTATAAAATCGACAACGTGTTCCAACCCCACGAGATAAATAAATTCGGTGTTTGACGGATTGGGTACGAAGTGCATCTCTGGAGGTGGAGGCTTTGGTGGTGGTATTTGGAGGAGTGTTTTCTCCAGCTGATTTCTCAAAGCGAGTTTGGCTGCCGCTTGTCTTTGAGCTGGCCTCTGACTATCCTCCCTCGGTCGCTCCTGAATTTTAAAAAATATTATTAGTATAGATTAATAATATTAATTGTGTATTTATGTATTTATGTGTTGTAAACTTTTATAGCAAACAAATGAACTACGATACTTTATATAAAAGGTATTTAAAAAGAGCTTGCTTCATACGTTAACTTATAAGCGTTAAATACCTGTTCAGGAATTACAGGAGTGTTAATAGCAGTCGTAGTTTTGCTTTCTTGAGATCCAACAAGCTGCTTTGCAATTACACAACAAATTATTGGTATCTCAGTAGCAGGTTAAGATCGGTATTTTTACAAAAAATTTAGTATATATTCTTAAGTAACTAAGTTAGTAATTAATTATTTACTAATGATTATTTTTTAAGCTTACTTGATGCGCGGGAACGGGCGTAGGATCCTTGGTAGATCGCTCAGTCCTGTCGGGTGGAGCGTGGTAAGAAGGAACGTTTCCAGTGACACTAGGAGGTCGAGTTCGCGGATGAGGTGGTTGTGGTATAACCATATTTGGTGGCATTCCCGTACTTGATGTTGGATTTCTTCCCGCGCTTGGCGGTAAAAGCATCCCCGGAGGTGGAGCATGTAAACTGCTGCTGCGACTCGGCGCAGGCTGGCCTCTCAATAAAGGTGGTGGTGCCTTTGTTACTCTGTGACTGAAATAAATAATTTTTTTATCAAATCTATTTTAGAAAACTTTATATCACCGAAAAATAGTGAAAAATAAATAATCTATATTAATAATAAATAAAAAAAATACCTGTGTGCTACTGGCTGAACTGTTACAGGTGGAGGTACTTTATTAACAACTTTAGGCGGTATCGCCGCAATATTTTCTTTGAGCTGTTGCGACTGTTTAATTTTCTTCAACAAAACAAGCTTCATTTCCTCAGACCTCAAGTCTTCCTTGAGTTTCCTCAAGTTTTTCTCCCTTTCAGCCAGCTCGTCTGACGTCAACTCTTTTATTGGCAAAAGTGGCGGCATTTCACCTTCTTCACTGTCCGAATTATTACCATTAACGTAACCATTAATTCGGGGCTCATCCGGGCTCTCAGCGTAACTTTTCTCCGTCCTGGGTCTCAGGATTCTTCTTGGCCTCCTGTCCTCTCCCGTTTTAGGGGCCAGAATTCCCCGAGAGGAGTTTTGGATATTCCTTGGCTCCAAAATTTCTGCATTGTTACCCGAGAAATTGATTCCCAAATTAAGCGGTACTGGTTCAGTGCTCAGGTTGCTCGATGCTGAGGACTCCCGTCTCACGCTACTGCAATAAATAATTTATAAATAAAAACATAAATATAAATATAAATAAAAAAAACTTACTAATTTAAATAAAGAAACAAAAAGTTTAGTTTAACTTTAAATACGATAAGAAAAATAAAACCTGTTTTTTTAAACGCCTTATCAATAACGTGTAATTGTTGATAAAGCTGTAATTATTTAAACAAATGTTTAAACACAACTACTCACCTGACACTCAAGTCAACAACAGAATCTCCATCTAAATCCATTGCTTCCATTTCTCTAGATGTCACTGCCCTACAATAAAATAATAAATTAAATTATACATGTATACATGTTTACGGAAATGCCAATATAATAAAAAAATTATTCAATTAATTAATTATTTAATTAAATTAGTTGTAATAATAAAAATATGAAAAAAAAAAAAAAAAAAAAAAATAATAAATAAACACGGAATTGATGAATAGAATGTAAACTAGACCAAAATGTCCACGTCTACGATTGCCTGCAGGTCAATTACGGGATAACGTTCTAACCTCTGAGTAAATAGCGATCTTCCTTTCGAGCATCTATCTTACGCAAATGAAAAAATAGTAATGTAATGAAAAAAAAAATTACATCACTCTGATATACTCGGTAAAGTAATAACTACTAAACTAAGTAAATAAATAAAAATACGTGGATGGATGGATTAAAATGAAAATAAAAAATAAAAAAAGGTGATATCTCGCATCGTGTCTACTGTCAGAGAGTGATGACGACATACCTCAGCGATATCCAAATGTAAGTCACTTAACATTACTCGAAAACGGTATGTATCGAGGAATTAAATTTGATGCTTCGGAAGTGGCGTCTCCGCACAATGGCAGCTAAGCGTAGAGAGCAGGACTGAAAAGTAATGTCGGGGGGAGGAGGACGAGGCTCAGTGGACGGGCGGTTCGGGGCAGGGGGTGATAGAGGAGCCGAGAGCGGGGAGAGTCGGGACTTCCAAAGCAACAAACTAAACCACGAGAAATAAAAAAAGAGCAAGTGAGACAGAGCTAAGTATGTATATACATATATATATATGTATATATAGTTGTATTTGAGTGTATGTATCTATAGATGTAAATGTAAATGTAGATGTGGAGTACAGTAGTAGACAGAGTAAACCGAGTACGAGTGGACGTTTTATTTTGCTCGTGCTGTATTATATGCTGTATGTTCGTTTTCGTTCGTTCGTTCCATTGGTGTGTAGGAGAGGGGACACTGTCGCACATTAATTACTTCTCCCCTTGGACCCTTCTTGTCCTCGTACCTCGTATCCACGATCCACGATTGCTGTTATGTATATGTATAGTATAGAGTATAGAGGATAGGAGCACTGGCTCTACTGCTCCTCTATCCTCCGTCCTCGGTTAGGTCTCTACTCTCTGTTCTCCTCTGTCTCCTCTGTCTGCCGCTTTCATTTACTTTAGATTGTCGAAACCCGTAATATAACGCCGGGGGCGCGACCCAAAGTTATTCTCCCCGATATTCTCTTCTCATTTCACCGAAACTCCAATAACATATCCACCACGAATACTCGGTATTTGGTCCTCCATACTCTTACTCAGCTTCAGCCTCAGCCCTGCTCACCTCACCTCTTTTTTCCTTTCCCAATTTTTCCCTTTCCCGATCTAGATATCTACTTTTATTTTTTATATCATCCATCTCCACACGTAAACCCGTGCCTAGCAGAGGAATACGTGTAGTGTGTACATCGGGAAATCGATTTTTCACGGCGACCTCACCAACCTCAACCCCGGACATCAGCTCTACAAAAAATATATCATATTAATAACAATCCCAGAAATTTATTCCATTAATATCATCGTTTATTAATCACGATCATTATCATTATCACCATCATCATTTCATTATTATAATAGGATAATAGAAGATAATAAATACTGACTCCGTTACATTTCAAGCTCCAAAAAAAAATTAACAAGAAAACCATTGGTTATTTGTAGTATGCGAGTAAATTTCATGTAATTACTGTCATTTCGGGCCGACAACCGTGTGCGACCTCGCTCTTTCCCTCCTTTTTCAGTCTCTTAAACTATCGCCGTCTTTTTTCATCCATATATCTCCCTCTCCTTAAAGTAATACGTGGCTTTTCTTTATCTTACGATCATTAATATTGAAATTGTACTGAATATTACGCACCTGATACAACAATTGTTCCTCTATTAAACACATAAGTTGTTTAAATAACAATCAATCTATTTTCATGATTCTTATTGTTGTATTTATATTTGTTTATTTAGATTTGAAAAAAAAAAATGTAGCGTAAATTAGGAAGAATGCCAAGGACGTTTAAATATATTTATTGTTTATGTTTAAGGAAAACTGTGAATGAAATTAATTTTTTTGGTATTAAAATTTTAAATATATAAATAAACTTCATACCTGGTGTTTTAATTAGTCAGTATTATTAAAACAAATCAATTGAAGAATCTTGTCATGAAACCGGGTATCATTTACCGATTAAAGTTATTAAATAATCGTAATCAATATATGAAAACATTATTCACTGTTTATACATATGGTTATTTTTTCATCGTTGAATAATTACTAATTTTTTGTTTTCTTTTTTTCTTGTGTTAAGTCAATTGAATATTCAGAGGACGATGACCAACGGCAATAATATCACTCACTGCACACAAAATTAATCCACGTTTTCACAGTAGTTTTAATTCACCTGATTTTTTATCTGAAAATTAATTTTATTAATTACACATGTCCAATTATTTATTTATTTTTAAAATAATAATAATAATAATAACAATAATGACGAGCAAGTTATCTGAGCGTTGTCATTAATTAGTTGGTATAAATAAGTGATAATATATTTATTTTTATTGTTTCAATGATTATCATAGATATGGATATTTACCGAAAAGATGATAAGTGTAACCGAAGTAATAATTAATTATGTATTTGGGATTATTATTTTTATTTTATTGTATTATTTTAATAAAACTGTTGAGAAAAAAAAACACGCGCCACCTTGTATTCCATTGGCACTAGAAACAACTCGGGCCTCAAGTATCGAGTAATTCAATATGGCGGTGTGCGGCAACACTTACGGAGAAACTGATAGAATATAACATGGATGTGAGAGTGTTCTGCGACCGCCGAATTGCTCGATCCTTCTCTCGACTACTGGAGCACCGTGCGCCGTCTCCGTCAGATCATTGTCAAACAACGTGTGTCTGAGGAGTACTATGTAGATACGTAAGAGAACCCGGTAGTAAGCACGCATTCATCACCCTTTCGGGTGATACACGCGCGTGCACTTCTCGTCTGCAACGACCCCCGTTGTGTCAACCACTGCTGACCAACGGAAGTTAAACGGAAGCTCCCGGTGATCATTCGAATATTGGCGCTACTTGTGTTTCATTTTACCGCTAAATTTTAAATTTTTTTATGAAAATTCAATTAGTCAACATCTGAAAATTTTCATTATTTTTTTTATTGAAAAAATTATTACAAAAAAAAAATAAAAGAAAAAATTTGACATGTAGAAGATTTTAAAAATTGTGCAATTTTTTTATTTAAGTATCTTTTTACTTGCAATTAAATTGTTGAAAAAAGTACAAAAATTGTTGAACGAATTTTAAAAATTTTTTATTGAAAAAATTTCAATTGAAAAATTAAAAAAAAAAATTGTCACTTGTAAAAAACTTAAAAAACTATAAGTGCAATTTTTTAAAAATATTTTTTTAGTTGTACTTTAATTAATAAAAAAAATCAAAAATTTTTACACGTCTACTAACATCAGTGTCATATTTTAGTATCATTTTTTTTATTCTATCAAGTTCCAATGAAATAATATTAAAATTTCAAACTGATATGATTATTTTACCATCTATAGAAACACTTATCAACAATGACTTATTTGAAGCCTTCTATAGAGATTTCTTCCCTTAATTAAGAAAAAAAAATGTGATTGTTAAAGAAAATTGCAGATATTAATTCACATCGGTTAAAATATTCGGTAATCCGTAAAACTAAATAAGCATCATAAATTTAATTGAAAATAAATGAGAGTTCTAATTGAAATAAAATAAATTACCGCACACAAATAATTCCTTTATTTGAATTTGTTTTAAATGATTAAATACATGGTGAATTGATCGAGTAGTAATATAAAAATTATGTAAAATCAATACTCGGCGACTGTATACTTCCAATAATTCATTTATTCATTGAACATAAATTTTTAATACCCCTCAAAAAATCTATTAATAATTAATAAGCCGAGTTTATCAATTTTACATAATAATTATTTTCAATCTCGGTACAGATATCAAGACACGAACAATTTAACAAACAGTGACAATATTGATTGTATTTTGAATTGGATTTGAATATTTTCAATCAATTATTTTAAAAGAAGAACATAGTATCGCACAATTTAATTTATACTTGTAAACAATTGACAAAACAATGTAAGAAATTGATATAATAATATATACCTATTATTAATTACAATAGTGATATTTAAATACAGCAGCGCGGAGAACAATCATTTAATTATTATGATTTATTTTTGTTATTATTATTATTATTATTAATATCTTGAATTAATGAAATTTTTTTTTAATTTCAAACTCACATTAAACATTCAAGTGATTGTAGATTAGTTATTATAATACTTTTGTCCGAGTTTTTGTTTAATCTCGGATGGTCGATACATTTTTAATTGTTGCGATTGTGCAGGTGCTTAACACCGCGGTCCGCCTGCAGATCGTGGTCTTTATTTTCTTTTAATCATTATTTTTTCATACCTAATTAACTAACCGTCGCACAATTTATGAGAATACAAAAAAAAAAAAAAAAAATAAAGAAGAAAAAAAAGAAGTTATAGATATTTTTTTGTCTGACAAAAATTTTTAATTAAAACTATAGTAGATAATAAATTTAATAATAAAACAATATAAAGTTTATAATATTTTACAATAACAATTAATAAAATAAAAACAAAGTTTTTTATGTCAGACATTTTAATCAATCAGCACGTAATTATTGTGCGTGTATTTAAATCCTCATAATAATTAGCGACCTATAATCATTTTTCTACTTTCATAATTCTAGTGTAAATATTAGAGCGAGAAAACGACGGATATATTTATAAATTATTTATTTATATATTTATTGATTCAAACTAATAGTGTGCGTTGTTTTAAATAAAACGACGTCGTTTTCCGCTCGGAAATTATAGATGTATTTTTAAAGATTTTTTTTTTGAAAATATTTAACTCACAATAGATCCTCCAGTTTTATGGAATGATCTAAATATTGCGGTTATAAAAATTGTTATTCATGATTTTTTTTTTTTTATTTAAAATAATTCCTTAAAAAAAGGCAAATAAAACCCACTAGAGCATAGTTAATTATCGTATATGCATTCTTATCTCACTCAATAGCGCTCTTAATATAATTACACTTTATTATCGAGTCACGACGTTAAATGTTTCATTGATATTTTTTAAACCTTTACAATATATATATATATTTTTTTTTATATTATTAGATTTTTTCAATCTTATTTATTTTCTCATGGAAATAAGTCTCAAATAAAATTTTTTTAAGCTCGAAAAATTTTATTTTTACGTTAATTTTTTTAACATAATTAAAGCTTTTATTATGAAGGTCCCATTGCTGCGGAAAATTTAATTCAGATTTAAAATTAACGATTTTTTTTTTATTTATAAATAATTTTTATCATCAAATTTTTAATAACTTGAATATTTATATCAGTACAAAAAGAAATAGATTTAAAATCAAGTTAACTTGAATTTACCCAGGCATTCAAAAGTATATGACTTGATTAGTATTCATGCGCATCCGCCATTTTAAAAAAGTGTCTCCATTTTGTTAACCATATACTTTATCCGATCTAAAGGAATTTTTTTAACACAAACAGCAAAAGAACCTTCTAAAATATAAATTTGATGAAACATTATCTGGCCTCAACATATTCAAACAATTTTTTTTTATTATCCATTAATAATAATTACAAGGAACTTTTAATACTGTTGTTGTAGTACTCTTTACAGATGTTCCACAAAAATAAGCAAAGTCTACCAGAATGTTAAACTCATTATGGAATGAAGCTCATATAATTGATAAAATTATATGAACTTGATAAAAAAATGAGTATACTGGAATGACAGCCTTTGATAATAACAAAAATTGATCGCTTTTATAGCTTCACTTTTGTCGAAGTTCCTTTTAATTATTAATTTATATAATATATTTTAAATATTTTTTCTCTAATACGTACGCATAGATTGTGAATAAAATGTTACAGGTAATTACTTATTTATACATGAGCGAGACGATCGCTAAATTTATTATAAAATAAATAACTTGGCTATTATTACAAGTGATAATTGGATTTAGTATTTTTTAAACAATAATTTCTAGCGATCTCACACTTGTCAATTTAACTGGCTTAATGCACAGATAAAAACAGCCTTCTTCTTACTCTCTCGTACACTTCTTTCGTACATCTTTCTAAGAATTGTTATTATTTTGCTTAATATTTTTATCACAGATGTTTCATTTACTCGCCCTATACCGTGTGACAGCTACAGCTCACTCGTTATATTAATAATAATATAACGTATAACAATATATACGCATATTACATTATTTATTATTTAATAATAATTGTTTTACTACATCATTAGTCGTTTAATATACACCAACAAACAAGTCCCCAAATTTTTAGTCTCTCTATGCCGACAAATAGTTGTTAATCACAGATATTACTATCCTGGCTCCCTTTTTACAGTTTACATTTATTTTTAATGATAATTGATAATATTCATCCTTTTATAAACATGGAACCACAATCATTACTAAGGCCTGCCTTAGTCAAAAATATACATATACGATCGCTTTTTAAAAAATAGATCTTAACAATTTATTTGTGTTATTTTTTTTTCTTTAATTAGTATTTATTTTGCTATGCTTTCGTTTGATATTTTACAGTTATTTTGATTCCTGGCAGGCGGCTCTTAACAGTTAACATAGATTTGGTTTTTTTTTTTTTTTTTTTTTCTATTTATCACTTATTCATTCTATCAACAGCATATATTGGCATTTTTTAATTTTATTATTGTTCTTATTATTTGAAAATATTTTTTTTGATTATTATTTATTTTTCAAAACAATTACTTTCCTTTTTTTTTTTTGAAAATTTTCAATTTTATGATCAATTAAAAATAGGTTAGGTTTCATAAATTCTAATTCGGGGATTCCCCGGGAATTATCTATTAACTTTAACTACCTAACCTCAAAAATTTTGAAACCAGTAACCTAAAAAAACATTATATCAGAACAAGCATGAAGAATATAAAAATGAAGAAGAAATAAATTATTTTCTTTGAAAATTTTCAATTTTTCAAGTGAAAGTTTAAAAAATGCCAAGTTATACCGTCTAGAATTATTCTGGGGATATTTTAAAATGACTTCGAGTGAGCTCAGGGCTTCTTCAGATCTAAACTATTTCATACGTGTCGTCTTCAAATATAACTGGACTCTCATTTAAAATTCTTATTGTCAATCCGTATACATTTAAGTTGTTATAATCCTCAAACCGATTGGGAGCTTTAACAATCGAAATAAAAAAAAATATATATAAAACAATAAGTTATAAATGTGAGTCTCTTACACATTGCCTATTCAGCTCTATAATTGCGTTAACGCTTTTGGCAAGCTCAGTCTTATAAATCGTTTGTTATTAAATCGCATTTTAATATTTATCTTCACTAGTTTGTATAATTGATTTTTCATCTAATCTTGCATTGTGCCCACACTGAATAGCTACGTGTTCTTTTCTCTACTTAGCTTTGTACAAAGAGGTCCCTTGCCTCGAGAAGACGATCACGCGGTACTTGATTGTTTATTTGTTTTACTTTTTTTAATTTATTTTCACTATACGCACTGATAATTATTCATCATATCATTAGCAATATCAATATTATTATTATTATTATTATTATTATTATTATTTTTATTTCAACTTCTAGTTGTTATGTATGTTCTTACTTTCTCTCGCTCGCTTTCATTCTCTCTCGCTCTCGCAATTTCACTTTATTCTTCACATTGCAGTACAGGATTAATAGATTGTTTAGAAAAACAAATTCAGGCGTAAAGTGATATAAAACCAATTAATAAACAAAATAAAACAAACAAAGATATTACAATAGTTAATTAATCAATTGTGTTTGCAATAGTTGTTAATTCATCTTATCGCTCAATTAATCATTTTTATTTTTTCATTTCTATCTAATAAACCAATTATATTTTTAATTGCGCGGGGCCGCGGGCATGGATATTTTTGTTTATTTATTTGTTTTTATTTTTTATTTTTTTTTTTTCAACATTCTCACGAATATTAATCGTTTGTTATTAAAATCAAACGACTCAGGTACATATTAAGGCCCGTCCTGTTTTGTTTTTGTTTCACTCAACAGTTATTTTCTTGATTAGTTTTATTTTTAGTTATTTGTTTATACTTTCCACGCAATATTCACACGATTTTAAATATTTTTTGGCATTATTGACGACAAGCATACATGTTACATTTTTTTTTTAATAATGCTACGCATCTTTAACAATACACTTTTTAAATTGTATTTAAAAACAAACAAACAAAAATAACAACAATTTAATATAAATAAATTTTTAAATTGCCGGGATTCTAGCATCAGTCACCCGCGTTTCATAAATTAATTTTAAGTGCTATTATTTATTTTATAAACTTTCAATTCAATATCTCTTAAAAATTTACTACTTTTTCCACAACAGTTTTAGATAATTGCCTAAAAAATATTTTTTTCTTCTATAATATTCACAATTATTTTAAAAATATTGAATTGAAGTTACGAAGCTCGAGAACCAATAGCACAAAATAAAATTTTACAAAAAAAATATTACTTAAATTTAAAATATTCATCTTCAAAAGAAAAAAAAAATTTAACAACAGTTTATTTAAATAATTAAAGATCTTAATATATTGATGTAACATATGTATGCATGTGCGCTGAAATATATTCTCTTACGACTAGCAAACTAATCCGCCTAGTTGAAAAATAGATGTTCGCAATGGCATTGACGGCACAATATTTACCGTAACCGCGTCGCGATAAAGAGTAGTAATAGTTACACTTAACTCTCAAGATTTAACACAAAGAGAGTATTAACACCTCTTGATAAAGAGGCGTTTGTTTATACTTGTTTAAAAAGATGTGCGTCCGATTGGTTGTCGTATTAAAAATAACCTCGGTTCGCTGTATTTTTATCGCGTTCTACACGACTTATCATGTTATTATATAGATCTAGTACTTGCCTGAATTTATTTAGGCTTCGTTATTAATTAGACATATTCTACGGAGCAGTTACTTAATCCTCTGTTACTAATCTAATTTCCAGCGTAGTTGAAAAACAATAATACGTAATATCGCTAGTTATTTTCTGGAATCGCTTTGTATTTTCATCATTCTTATGTATTTTTTTTTTCTCCATTGGAAGATTCCCGGAATTATGTTTCTTTTCTTCACTCCCTCATTCTTATATTTTCCATTTAATGTATACAATATAACAATGTATCTTTTTCTGTTTGCGTGAGTAATTTTTGATGACCATTGATTAGTCAGAGTCATATTACTAGGACTATCAGAGTCCATAGTGTCACGTCTTTGCTCTTATCTTTTAATAGTTGAGTTAAATGAAATTCAAGCGGTGATCACAATATTCTCAACTTTCAAAAACAAAAAACGTTTTAAGTTACTTTAATTTATCGATCTCTTGTTTGTGAATAACTTGCTGTCGTTTCAATTGGCAATCGTTCTTAAATGCATATAGTATAAATAATAAAGGAACGTATTTTGATTATTTTTATCAGGCATTCTTCAACGTTCTCTAAATGATAGTACGAATGGTTGTTTTGTTGTCGTGGATGGTATGATGGTTTTACTGGTTATGGTCTTTCTTCCTTTCTTTATGGTTATGGTTATGGTAATGGTAATGGTAATAGTTATAGTTATATCTATGGTTATGATAGTGATTTTTTTCAGATAAATTACTTTGCATCGTTGAGTACCAACGGCATTATTACATCCCTGCTGTCACCTGCGATTGCGTCTATCAGTACTGGCATCAATTCTGAGGCTGAGAATGTTTTCCAATTATCACCAAGTATACTATTGATTTCCTGTGTTATTTATAAACAAAATAAAAAATAATAAGATAATGGAATAAATTTATATGACTACCTTTTTTTTTTTTAAAGTTCTTGAAATAAATCAATTATATATTTGAGTTGTTTAATGAATACTTAAAAACTATATAAACTACCGATACTTAAGTTAGAGTAAATTCAATCATTAAAGTCAATAAATTTTAATTATATTTGTAATGAAAGCCTCAAGAACTTTAAAACAGAGATGAGGTCTCGAGATTTAGTCTATTGTAATTTTATAAAAAAAAAAAAAAACTAGAGTACTTACGGATCGAACTTCTTTGTATTTATAATTAGACATATAGTCTTCTTGAATGTCATGTTCAGCAAATTCAAATCTTTGCAAATTATGTCCTCTTAATCGAGCAATAGCGAGCAAATTAGTATGGTAATATTTGTGCCCGATGAAAACTAGCTCTTTGAGATTAATACAACGCCAGGCTAACATGACTAAGCCATCAGGATCAGGATTTCCATCAGTTGGCGGTATCGATTCATTGTTATCTGCAGAATCAATCCACATTAGAGACTTTAGAGTTGTACTGTAGTATGAAGCCATTATGTATAGAGCTCTTAGATTAACGTATTCACAGAACAGAGCCTTGAAGTGAGTGAGCGGCATTTTAGGTTTGAGTATTTCACGTTCTAGAACGGTTACGCCTGTGTAGGCGTGCAGTAAATTCAATCTTAACTCGCAGCGAGGATTTTTCTGAGTAAACAATTCCCAAGCATGATCTGTTGTACCGTGGTAGTTTTCTTTCCAATCGTGTACGTGGACAACCAGCCGTTCTAGCGTTCCGCTGGTCAACGACTCCAACATTGTGTCATTTAGACAGTCGTAGTCTAGTGTTAGGATAGTGAGGCTTATAAATTGCTGGAAGGTAATACTGTTTAATATCACAAACTGGTAGTTCTCTGGATCTTCTTTTACTGAGGCCAATCCTAGGTGAGTTAAATGTTTTCCGTGATAATAACCTAGGACCTCCAAGATTTCGCCAGCATTTAGTACTAATTCTTCAACGCAACCTAGTGTCAAAGCTTCCAGACGTTTTGACGTTTCTATTATTTTTAATATTGATAGGTACAGTGATTCTGTCCACCTATTAATGAAAAAAAAAAAAATAATACTGAATAATAATATTATAATTTATTAGTAAAATTTTAGTTAACAAGATAAATAATCATTGAATTTTAGTAAAAAATTTTTTTGATATTTTTTTACGCATTGAAAAAAAAAAAAAAAATTAACTTGATTAAAAAAAAAAAATTTTGAATCAAGAAAAATTTATTAGTTCAAGAATTTTTTTACTCAAATCAAGAAGATTAGGTTTTTCAAAATTATATACTTGATTCAAGAACATTTTTTTTCTGTGTGCTTTAATTATCCTTTAATAAAAGTTTATGAAGATAAATAAATGATCTTACGTCTCTAATGCTTCCATGTCATCATAACTAGTAAATGACCATTCGAATGTTGAGGTTGATGGTTCAACGATAAGCCGTCTTAAGTTTCTATTTTCGCACAAATTTCTAAGTAATTTTTCCAACTCAAAACTGCAGTGAGGAATTTGACATCTTACTGTGGCATTTTGTACACTCAAACCAAAACAATCTGCTAGATGACTGGAATTTGCAATTTATATTTAAAATAAAATATAATTAAAAAGGTTTGCTAATTATAAAGGAAATCATGTGAAAAATTTATTAAGACATAAGCTTGAAAATAAAAACATAATGTAACATTTTAAATATAAGAAAAAAAAATTTTTTTCAAGTGACAGCTGATAATTTTAAGATTTTTTACAAAATTAATAAAAGTAAGCAAGAATAAAAGTGTTCAGACGAGCAGTTAAATTTTAAGAAAACAATGCAGAAGAAAAATAAAAATAATTTAATTTTAGGATATTACATCATAAAACAATGGTGATAATAAATAATAAACAATTGCAAAAAAAGTGTTTATATTATGAAAATAAATAAAATAAAATTTACCTTGACCACAATGAATTTTTGGTATCATCTAAAACGAAGGTAATGTCTTTCCAGAAAGCAGGATGGAAAAGCGCTTGTCTCCAATTCTTACAAACCTGAATGTAAAAAAAATAAAATGAACGTAAGTATGCAAATAACTACGTAAATGATAAGCTGTATGTTTGTTTTGATATAGAGAAAGTGTATGACGAAATGCAATAAAATAACAACCAGCTGGTATCTTGACACTTACCATGGAGGCATTTATTCGATCTTTATGCTCAAGGTATGAAAATATTTCCAGCATAATCACACTGGGCAGCGTTCCCCAGTACCCGTCCTGCTGATCCATTATTAACAGCTATTTATTTATGTTTATTTACACTTCTATTGATATTTAGAGAGCTGAATAAATGGCTGTACCGAGGTCAAGTCCTCCAATGGTTAATGCAAGTTTCTTCAAACGATACTTTCTTCGAGCTCACTCATTCGTGTTGCTTTATATTGCTCTCTTACTCTGTCTGCTGTCAGTTTATGCTTTTATTACGTCAATATTTAAATAAATATAAACAATATAATATATATATATATATATTGGTTCTCTTTATATTTTTTTCTACTCTACTGTGTCCCGATACGATGTCTTAATTTATAATATTTTTTACAGCCAGATTTGACACCAGATACCAGATAAATGTATGACCATCCTACAATTACGAGACACACCAGTCTCCGGGGACAACACTGAACACACAATGACAAAACGACCACTGGCCAGGCTGACAACCGACAACAGTGCCGTGAAATGGTGAAATATCAAAAGGCGACAAGATGTAAATTAAAGTTGGTAAGGCAGAAAAACTTTGTGTAAGGTTGGTATTGCAGGTTAAGTTTTTTACTAGCTGTCAGTACAATGTTTGTTTGTATATAAGTACTTGATGTAATTTACAATAATAGTAAGGACATAACCTTGTGTTATTTTATTTAGTAAAATTATCTGACAATGTGACAATGAATTGTTGATCAATTCAGCTGATAAAAGTAAATTATTGAGGAGATTAATTTGGTTATTTAAATTATTGCCATTCTGAGTTTGAAATGGAAGAAGAGAGATCAGTAACTATTTATTTGGCGACAGAAATTAAATTTCTAAATGTTCCGTATCTTGCTGAGTGGACTGTTGAAGATATTTGTATTGCGGTAATAAATATTAAATAATTAAATAAATATTAACATATTTTTTTAACTTACTAATAATAATTAATTTATAATTGTGACAGTTGAAAATTTTTTCCAAGTATTTTCAATCATTATTTCTGGTCTGTAAGCTTGAAAAAACTAAACTGATTGTTTACTTTAAGAAAATAATTATTTTATTTTATTTTTTTCTTTTTAATTTAACGACTGCTAGGATCCGATACCAAACCAGAGATGACAGCTGATAAATATAATTACAAAAGTTAAATAGAACTGTCAAACTCGTCAGAAAAATGGATCTTGATAAAAATAATTTGATGATTTTTATCAACAGTCCTCATTGTTTTCAATAATTACTTGAGTTTTATTGATTTTAATAGTATAGAGATTTAATTATTTGATTTTTTTTTTCTCTAGATTTGCAAGCAATTAGAGATTGGACCCTTAGCAAGACACTTATTTGCCTTGAGAGGCAAATCAAACAAGTTGTGGATTCCAGCGGGACACAAATTAGAAACTCATGAAAAAAATAAGTTTGAGTTTAGATTACGCTTCAAGCCTTCATCTCTCAAAAGACTGAAATTAATAGACTCAAATGCTTACAATTATTATTTTCATCAAGTGAGATGCGACGTGTTAGAAAATAAGGTAGCAGATATTGTCTATGAGAAACACAAACGTGAATTGATTGGTCTGGGTGTTAGTGATATGTATAGGTAATTATATTTTATTATTTATGATGTTACATTAATTAAAATAGTAATTGTTTAGATTTGGAGTTTTACTATTTTTCAGATATAAAAAATTGAGTTATTAAATTTTTATCTTTCGTTTTATTTTTATTTATAGTGAAGTTACGAATTATTTATTAAAAATTGACTAAATTTTGTGTCTATTTTTTTGTATTTTTTACAGAGTACCATAGAAAAAAAAAATTATTAATTGTTTGAATTTTTATAATTTTTTAGAATTGATAAAATCAAACCCGAAATTAAAAAAATTTGGAGAATTATTATTATTATATCGTTTTTACTTGTATACCTATTTTGGTTTTTACAAGACTGTAACCCATATTCTCCACATTTTTGCTATTACCACAGTAATACCACTCAAGTGCCACTTTTTGTTATCATATAACATTCATAATGTTATACCTGGCTTTTTCGGCCCTTTTAACTAACACTTGTTTCTTTTTGCGTTCAACTCTTTTTATAATCAACATGTTCTCCGCTTTTTATTATCAACATGTTCTCCGCTTTTTTTATAATTGCCATCTCCTTTTTGCACATAACCTCTATTCTCAATGCGGCTGTGGACCGACTTGTGCTTTCTGTACTGTATTCACCCTATTCCTCACCCCTTTCTATCGGTTGTTGGAATAGTGGCGATGGGGAAACCACAGAGAAAACCCATGCCAGTACAGTCGGCTACCGGAGCGACCTCCGACGGTTGGTGTTGGAACTATTCGAACAACCGTCGGGGATCGAATCCTCACCTCACGACAAGATGCACGAACGAACTAACGGGGATAATGACTTAGTAGTTTGCCATCATGCCGCTTATATACATATATATAATATTTATAAATATATGAAAAATTGATGTGGGTACTCAAATGAAAGGTCTCGATAAGTGTAACATCGAGATGAGCTTATATCTTTAAAAATGTCAATAGTTCACAAGATACAAGGTCATTTCTCAATTATGTAATATGTTATCCAGTAATATGTTACCCAAATTTTAATCTAAAAAATCTCAAAAAAATTCTTTAAATTGTTTTTAAAAAATTCAACTTTTTATAAAAAAAAAAAAAAAAAAATAAAAATAATAATAATAATCGTCTCCTGAGCCCACAAAATTTTCCCCGCCCTTGCACCCTCCACAAACCATCGTAAATATCTTCACTCCACAAACTGGCGTTAGTAAAATTGAGTTCTGGCGAGTAAGTAACATAAATATGAGTGCATCTATAAACATCACTGGTGCAGCCCTCCCTGCAGGAGCTCCAGGTGCAGTTGAAGATCCCGAGGATCTCCTCCCTCCTGAGAGTGGTGCACAGAACAGGATGGGGCGAGAAGTCCGCGGCGAGGGTGCTTATCGCGGGGTCCACGTACAGCGGGACCAGGAAGAGGAGGGCGGCTCCGCCCGAGGTCGCAACCAGTGCTAGGGCCGAGGTCGCGTAGAAGTTGAACCTTTGACGGCAAGTCCGCCTCGGCGGCTGCCGCCTGGAAGCTCCAAACCCGAGCTCCAACAGCTTGCGACGACGGAGCTCAGATTGTTCCTGCTTGTCGTAGATCCCGCCGCTGCTCTGGCTGTGGTGGTTCAGCCCGCTGTACAAATTGTGGATCGTCGTCGTCGCCGTCAGGGTCCCCGTCGTCGTCGTTCGGTGGCTCTGCCCGCTCGCGTCCAGCAGCAACTCTGAACTGCTACCTCGCATCACCCACGATTTTTTTTTTTTTTTTCTTTTCCCACTTTTCCTT